CAACCAGAGGTGTCCAGCTTGAAGGAGGCTCTCCCCAACGTGTCAGTCAGGAAGCTGTGTCTTGTAGCTTGTCCTTGATGGTTAACTAAGAGCACAAGCTGCTTCTCCTTGGGGGCAGAGCCACCAGGTCCTTCCAGCCGCATCTGCACGGGGAGGGAAGGGGAGATGTGAGGGTTGGGCTGGAGCTGTGGGGCAGGGGTGGGAGAGCAGGGCTGTGGGGGAATCCCTGTTACCGTCCCCGTGTAGGGAATCCCACGCTTGTAGAAGTCTTTGGTGTTCTCAAAGGTAACCTTGTATATTTCAGGCAAAATGTCAAAGCTCTTGGTGTTGTTCATCTCCAGCCCTGTGGAGAGAGGAGAGGGGAGCTGAGTGTGTCTTGGGGACACCAGGCACAGGTTAGCTGCTGCCAGCTCACTGCACGAAGGGTCCTGGGACATTTTAGGCTCTCCCTCTGCAGCCAGCATCTTTGAGCACTATTTGCACCTCCTACAAGTAGATCAAAACTTCTGTGGCTTGGTCTAGACCTGAAGCAAGACATGGTTTACTGCAAAGACTTTGTAAGAGGCATTGAAGCACCATGATGTGGGCCTGCCTCAGGGCCCATGGGCCTGGGAACAACCCCCAGTCTTCGCATTTTTTCCAAAGTAAAGGCATCAGTGATCATTTCTGGCATGACCGGGTTGGTGGGTGGGGAGGACGGTCCTGCTCACCACCCGGGGAAGGAAGCAGTGTCACGGAGCCGAGTGAAGGGACTGCTTTGCGTCACAAGGACTATACTTGCTGCTGGCTGTGGGGCTGAGGAGTTGGATCCTTTCAAAGCATTTTATCTTCCTGACAGTTTCTCTGGTGACTATGCGAAGTATTGCCTTGCTGACCTGTCTCACATCCCCACCTGGGCCTGATTCCTACACACGCACACCTCTAAATCACAGCATTGCCTGTGGGCTTCCCCGAGGAAGCCTGACACCTCCACGCTGTGTGCATGTGGGTGCATGCAGGGGTGAATGCAACAACAGATCCTACTCCCGAGCAGGAGGACACCACCACCCCTACCTGTCCCCTCCTCCACCAGTGATGCCTTGACTCGCACACGCTTCTGAAGCCTGCCATTGGTCTGACTAAAGGAAGTCATCAAAACTTCTGTCGAAAAGCAGCCGTTCTTCTCGGTCTGGAGGGAGGGAAGGAGTCAGCCGCGCTGGGAGCAGTCCTGGGGGTGGGCTGTCCCACTGCCCCCCGTGCTTCCAGCTTTGCTCACCTGCCCGCCAACCTCGATACAGTTTGTACTCGGTGAGGATTGCTCAGGAACGTATATCACCCGGCCGAACAAGAAGGGCCTGCACACAGTGGCCTGGACCTTCCCCTGGACGGGCTTCCCGTAGGTGTACCTGTTGGGTGGAGGGCAGGCAGGGGGTGTGGGGAGCAACAGCACCTGGTGGGTCACATCGCGTCGTGCCCCCCATCCCCTCCGTGCTCCCAGCACAGCCTGTTTCGGGCTCACCTCCCACAAATCTCCACCAGAAACTTCTCGTCTTTCTCCAGCACAGTGGAGGGGATGTCAATGGTCACCTCGAACTTGGGCAGCACTGATGGAGAAGTGAAGGGAGGAGGAGTTGTCCCTCCCAGCACAAGGACATGGGTGGCCGGGTGGCCACAACACACTGCCCACGAGGATGTGCCAAGGCACGGCTCCCTCCCACCCTACTCCTCACGGCCCTGGTCCCCACACACCGTATTCCTCCACGCTGAAGGAGCGAGTCCTTCCCTCCACCTCAATGGTGTACGTGCCCAGGGCTGGCTCCGCAGCCAGCGGGAGGGACAGGTCCACAATGCCCTGCCGTGGGCTCACGTCTCGCCACTGCGCGATGCGGTTCCCTCTGGGGTCCTGCTCACGAGGACACGCGGTGTCGGCCCTCGCTTCCCAGGGCACCCCGGGGAGCCCAACCAGCACCCCCGTGTCAGGTTCCCCCTCTCCCAGCCATGCCACATTCCCATGCCTGCACCACCCAGGAGCCTCCCTGCACCTCCCAGACTGACCTTCAGGAACACGAGGGGCAGCTGGAAGGCAAGAAGGAGATGGTTACAGGGGAAATTCAAAGTTTTCCTTAGGTTCTCCCCAGGGTGGGGACATCTCTAGAACCACAGGCAAAGGACAGCGAGGGTTGCTCATGGGATGCTGTGACCTTCCACCCCGCTGGTTTGCTTTGGGACTGATTTTGAGCCTGTGGATGGCTCAAGCTGAGGTGAGCCAGCATGGCAAGGAGAGGCAGCATCTCCCAGCACCTTTGCAAGAAGTCATCATCCATTTCATCTGGGAACCTCTTGCACTTCCAGACACACAAGTGACTGCTTGGGAGCACCAGAGATTGAACTAACCTATAATTCTGGTGACTTGTGATTTGATGGATAACAGCAGCACTTTCCCTGCTTCCCACTCACTGTTCCTATGTCCCTAAATGAAAGTTTAAGTCGCATGTCTCATGTGCAACTAGCTCTGTGGTTCTTTCTTGCCAAAGCTGTGTGAAGGACACACCACACCCTGAGCTTGGCAGCCCAGGCAGAATTGCCTGGGGCAGGATTCCCAAGGGGAAAGGTAATGGCTGACCCCCAACCTCTGCCACGGCTTGCTGAGATGGAAGGAGAGCAGCACAGTGAGCCCTGTCACCTCTCCTTTGTCCCTCATGCTGTCCTCACCTTCTTGTCACTGGCAACGAAGTCTTTATCCAAAGAGACAATTCGAAACTTCACTGGAAAGAGCAAAGGGGGACACAGGAGTGAGTGGTGGGCACATCTGCATGGGGAAGGTGGATAGAAGCCCACCCTGAGCCCTGCAGTGGGGCACTGTCCCCAGCCAGTGCAGCCAGCATGTCCTGGCATTGCTCTGGGCCAGTGCTGGAGGTCCCAGAGCACCCTGGGGTGAGCCCCCCATCTCCATCAGCTCACATTGGGTGGGAGCAAGGCTGAACCTGCTGTCCCCTGGTCCTTCATCCAGACAGACCCCATCTCGCCCCTCACCTTGCTGCCCAGGCTTGTAGACAGCCTTGTCTGTCTGTATGAAGATCCCAGGCTCCAGGGCTCTCAGCATCACCTTCTTCTTTTGGGAGACATCCAGGGAATCTCCCTGGATTGAGACGTGCAGATCCACGATTTCCTCCTTCCCCTTGGAGGGGGCTGGGGCCTAAAGGGGGGAAATGCCAGGAGACAGGCTGTCATGGTGCAGAGATCTTCTGCCTGCACAGGGAAATCCTACAAAATGATGAGGAAACCAGCCCAGCTCCCAGGCGAGCTGGAGGCAGTGGGGAGTCAAGGCATCCTGGGGTGACACTCACGATGAAGGTGACGTTCAGATGCACGTGAGGCTCCTGCACCTTCCTCTCCAGCAGGGTGATGTTGCCAGCCCCAGCTGCTCTCTGCAGCTGGACAGTCACCTGGGCAGGCTGGGGGAGGTCGCTGAGATGGACCCACAGCGTCGCTGCATGGGGGTGGTAGATCACAGCTGGGGACGTGACCACGTAATGCCTGGCAAGGAGAAGCACCACCATCAAGGGCATGGAGACAGCAGCCAGGAGCACAGCCTGGGGCAGCCACCACAGGGCCACCCCACTGCACCTCCTCCCCCTGCTTCTGGCCTCTCCCTGGCTTCTTGGTTCAGCAAAGCTAAGGCTCTGCTTGCCCACCAACACTGCGTGGGGTGGCACCGACAATAAACCAAAGCCACCAGCCCCAGAAGCTTCCAGGTGCCATGTCCTTGATGCTCATGGACAGCTCACCCCAAGCACTGCCACCCTCACCTGCAGGCACAGGGACCATTATGTCCCACTGAGCACTGAGCCAAGACTAACCACCCTCCCACCAGGTATGGACAGACATGTGGACGCAAAGAGTGCTTACAGTGCTGCAGATCCTCCAGCCGTGAGGTGCAGGATGAGAAGGAGCAGGCAGGGCAGGGCTGCTGGAGACCCCATGCCTCCAGCTGCGAACAGACTTTGGGGTGGCTACAATCTCCTTGTGTTGGGTGGCTGAAGACCTCCTTCTGTACTGCTGCAGGCTCCCCAGTGAGAGCTTCTCTTTGCCCACAGTGAGCAAACAAGGTGTGGGACGATCAGCCAGTGCGGATCTGCAGATATAGCCAGGGCAATGTTTGCCATCCTGGGTTCAAGGCTGTGATGGACTTTTGCAATTTGAGATGTTCCCATAGGCTGGAGAGGTTCCGAACCAGGGGGCAGGAACCTCCTACGCACCTCTTCACTTTGCTGTAATCCCCCAGCTGCTGGGAAATGCTGGCAGGAGGGAGCAGGGCCATGTTTCCAAAACGAAAGCGAGAAGCAAGGTACTAGAACACCGCTGGGAGCTGGTGGCGATTTCTCGGTAGGGTTTGTTCCCAGACCTTTCCTATTTTTCCAAACAATAGATACTTGGGCTGATCACAGGTCTCAAGCTGCATTTTTGCCATGTTTCCTCCAATATCATTAAAACAGGCATGAGCAAAGGAAGCCAGAGATGGGGCCAAGCCCTTTCCCGTGGACTCTGGGCTGACCCTGGCTGCTGTCCCCATACCTGTCCCCATACTGGCCCTGGTCCCCACTGCCCTCATGGACATGATGAGGGAATGTGGCTGCATGCTGGCTCCAGCCTGTCCTGCCATCCTCGGGTGTTGGCTCAGGTCAGGGTCCCACCAGGTGTCCCCAGGGTGGCACAATGTGACAGAGAGCTCAGGGCCATCACACCGAGCCCTCTGGGACATGGGGGCAGGATGAAGAGGGGACCATTGGCAGCGAGGCCAAGGGGAGATCCATATGGGGGCCTCCATCTCTCCGATCTGCACATGCTGAGCAAACACTGCGGGGAGGATTCATCGCCTGGGGCTGCTGGTGGCTCTGGAGCAGAAGCTGGAGCAAGTGCAGGGGCTGCCCCCAGCCCAGGCAGGTGGCGCCTCCTGGCCAGGCAGCTCTGCTGCTGCTCTTCCTTGTCCTCCTGCCTTGCCACCCATGCAACAAACACTCTTTCAGTTTTCATTTCAGCTTTTTATTTGTTAAAACAAAGTGAAGATTGGATGCAAATAAAGCTACAGCCCCCTTTACACATCATTAAGGAAGACAGGGTCATTGAGACCTGTATGCAAAGGGCCAGCACTTAAGACATGAAGCTGGCTCTGGCTAGGGATGCTGGGAAAGAGCCTGAAGAAAATGAGCTTTCTTGCAAGAAAAACACTTTGCTGCTTCTGTTTTCCTTGTTGTTGTTGTTGTTGTGGGTTGGTTGGTTTTTTGTTTTCCAGCCTGGTGGAGCAGGGGCAGAGCTGTGTCCGGGGCACCTCCTCTCCCTGCCCAGCCCCTTCCCCTGCCCATGCTGTCAGATCCCTTCTCCAAGGAATTGTACCAGAATCAGCTCATGGAAAACCATGCCTCCCCAGTGGACAGCACAGCAGAGGGTCCTCACCAGCCCCTGAAGCATGGGGGACAGCAGGGCTGCTGGGGAGGGAGGGGGGCACGGGTGGGTCACAGAGTCCTCATCTGAAGCACGGTGCTGGAGGCTGCACTCAGGTGAAGGGGATGAAGCAGGGGGGGGAAGACGCTCAAGCCCTCAGCTGCCTGGTGGGTACAATGGGGTCAGGAGCAGAACAAGAGCCAGGCAGCTGTAATTTCCATTCACATCGGTCTTCTGTGCTTTAAAGCCTGGAATACAACAGGTGTGAGACCGCAATCAGTCAGCCTACACTTCTCTATCCCAGAAATTCCTCCCCTCCCTCTGACACTGTCTTCCCGAGCCAGAGCCCTTCACACCTCACCTGGATCCCATCCCCAATGCTCTCTGGCCATCCTAATGGGCCAGGGAGTTCAGGACCACATGGAACGAGCTGGAGCAACCCCGTTGCATGGCACAACAAGGGGATTGAACAGAACATTGCCCAGCCAGCAGCCTCAAACCTACAAACCTAACCCCCAGAAGGAAAAGGAAGGCACCCCACTGATGGTATGGATGGCAGGAGCCTTGATCTAGGAGTCTGTAGTACCCACAGGCACCGTACAGCCTGGCCAGGGGACAGGAGCAGCTCTGTTCTGCTCTTGGGACAGCAGCTTTGGGTGCAGCTCTGGTCCCCATGAGGGGACAAAGCAGCCTGTCCCGCAGCCACCAACCTCTGCGTTTACCTCCACCGCCAGCAGCTTCGTCACGGTGTCCACATGCCCCTGCGCCGGCACCACGGGTACCTCGGTGTTGCAGAGCTCCTCAGAGTGCAGCGCCTGGGCGGTGACGGTGACGTTCACCTTCCCTGGGGATGCAGATGGGGAACGCAGCTGTGACACAGCCCTGGTTTCCCCAGCCCTTCACCAGCTCCTCCGCACCCATACCCAGGCTGGTGGCTTTCACGTCCCACCGGAAGGTCCTGGCTTTGAACCCCGAGATGCAGCTGCTCTCCGCACCATCTGCATCTTGCTGACACCTCCAGCTCCGCCGACTCTGCCAGCGTCACCCGAACCTGCGGGACCACGACCCCCTCAGCCCCCACCAGGCCACAGCCCCTGGCCCCTGCCTCCCCCCCCCCACTCACCCGCAGGGACTGCCGCAGGTAGCTGAAGACGGTGGCGGCCAGGGTGAAGGTTTTGCCCCGGGTCACGGCGTAGGGCAGCACCAGCTCCACAAAGAAGGGCTTGAAGGTCAAGAGGGTGACAGTGGGGGCTAGCCCCAAGCCCGTGGGTGCCGTGCAGAACATCCCGGCTGTCCACTCCATGATGGCGTTGGGCACTGTCACCGGCACCTCTGCAGAGCCCTCCTCCCTGCGGGGTGGTGGGAGATGGACAGCTCTTGCTGGCCAGGCCTGACGGGCAGAGCCAGCAGAAGGAGTGTGCCAACCACCCGTGGTCCAAGCACTGGTGGTCATCGCATGTTTGGGGTGGGCAGAGGTGCCACCAGTGCTCCTGGTTCTCTCTTACAACATCCCCTGCCTGCAGGACTTGGTTTGCCAGGGTCTGTCCTGGGGCTGGTACTAAGTTTGCATCTGGATGCGTCCCAGTGCCACTCCTTGACACAGGGACACCGACCCAGTGGTCTTGGTGCTGCACCCAGAGGGGAAGCTGCCCCCTGGCTTGAGGTCTTCCAGGGCTCCTTACTTACCCCACAGGGACCAGCTCCCACAGCCACGTCCCAGGAAAATCCTTCTGCAGTGCTTGGTCCTGCCTGGGTCGGGGCTCTCTCTCATCTTCCTCTTTGTCCTTCTCCAGCCCTGCTGATGGGCACAACTTGAATGTGCTGCCAGGAAGGACAGGGGCTGGGCGTCCCCCTCTGCCCTTCAGCAGCTGGTGTGGGGGCTCTTGCAGACCGTCCCTGCTCACCCACTGTTTGGAATGCCATAGAGCTGTTCAGGACAGTGTTGGTGACAGTTCTCAAAGCTGCACGCTGAAATGTGACACACAAGAGGGAACCACAGTGCGCTGAAGACCATCATTGCCAAAACGTCTTTCTGACCCTTTCTGAAATGAGGAATCATCTCGTGCTTCAAGCCAAAAAGGAGCTCCCAGAAATCAGGACCCCTGGCACACTGCAGCAGGAGTGCAGGAGGGGAAAAGGAATGCCAGGGCGCACGGCTGCACTGGGGCAGGTGGCCGTGACCTGCTGGGTCTGCTCTGCTCACCCCGTCCCCAGCCAGCCCCAACCCAGTGCTGCTAATGGGAGGCCTCTCCTTGGCTGCTCACTTCAAGTCCAGGTTCACAATGGAAGATCAGAGCTTAGCCCTGTCCCCACGGTAAGCCACTGTGCCCAGACGGACAGGCATGATCCGCACGCCTGCCGCAGGCTGGGAGCGGGGTGCAGTGCGTGGGGGATGTAGGAGGACGGTTTGTGAGCACCGATGTGGGATGGGTGGGGGACCGGGTGCCCCTGCATCCCAAGAAGCCCTCCCTGTGAGGAAGAGGAGCATAAGGCAGGGATGGGGAGGTGGGGGGTGGGGGATGGCTCCTACCACTCCCGGGTCACACGGGTCTTGAAATCTGAGAAATTCTGCTGCCTGCCTAGCGCGCCGACGTTTGTATTCGAAGGAAGTCATATCATATGGGTTGAGTGGTATAGCGTTTACTGGATGCATACCCCAATAAGGGTCAACACAGAATGCTCCATATTCAGAATAAGAGCTGTCTTCAGAAGATGGGCGTAAGTTATAGACCTAAGCCAAACAGGTGAGCGTTAGTTGAGGAAGACCTGAAATACTCCTGGCCCAGCTCCAGCCCTCATTGCTCCTGGCATCATCCCATAGCCCTGGCACCTCTCCAGGCAGGGCAGTGATGCTGCCAGCTCCAACCCCTCTGCTGGGGCCCATTGCTGCTCCATCTCCTCCTCTCCCAGAGGAGCAGGCATTGCTTCCCACCACTCGCATCCTATCTTCAATATTGCCACCCAAGGAAGCACCGCAGGGCAATTCTGTGGCTCAGGCCCTGGCCAGTAGAGCCCTGGACCCTATGCAAAGCCCCAGACTCTGTGGATGGCAGGGCTCTTGGGACCAGGTCCTCACTGCCGTCCCCTGAAATGTGCCTGGCAGTGAGAACCCACTGTCCCTGTATCCCAGCAGCAAGTCCCCTGCAAATTCCCCATGGAAAGGCACCAGTCCAGCACCGAGGCCACTCCATACTCACCACTTTGGAGCCATAGGCAGCCTTGAGACCATAGTACGATGTGGGCTGATCCATGATGTGGATGGCACACAGGGACCCTGGGGCAGCCTGCACCTTCAGGCGGACCTGCGAGCCTGCCAGAGCCTTCTGCTCCGGGAAGGACAGCTTCACCTGGGGAGAGGGTCCCAGAAAGGACTTCCTCTCCATCCCCCAAAAAAATGGCAAAGGGTGGAGAGCAAGTGGTGTGCTGGAAGCCAGGAGATGGCTCGCAGCCTCCACTCACCTGGTTGGGGAAGCACATGGCGATGTGCAGCTCAGCCCAGTCTCCCACCACGTTGCCACCAGGCAGCATCACATAGCCCAGCACCATGGCCGTGGGCACCAGCCTGGGGCCAACAGGCAGCTCCAGGGAGAAGGAGCCTCTCAGCCCTGGGACAGGGAGGGAGGTGAGGTCCAGGCATGGGCAGCAGAGCCCTTCATGACCTGTCTCTGCTGCAGGACCTACCTGCCTCCAAGGTCAGCTCCTTCCTGAGGAGGCTGACAATGGTATCTCTGGCCATGACCTGCAAAGGAGGAGGGAAGAGATGGGAAGGGCTAAATTGGTGCTTCAGGAGGAAGTGAAATGGTTCCCCAACACCCAACAGCTCCAGGGTCCAACCCCAAGACCCTAAGCCAACAGTGCCCGTGCAGGGCTGACTGGAAATGGCTCCATCCTGGCCAGTCCAGCAGCTTTATCCTCCTCCTCTGAGCTCTGTCCTTTGTGCACTGTCCCCCATTCCTCACTAGGCAAAGACCCACCAGGAAGACCACATCCACGCTCTGCAGCTCGGTCCCCAGGGCCTCCTTGTTGAGGACGTAATCTACCCGGAGTCGCAGGGGCTTTCTGCAGGGTGGCGTCCTTTTCATCCTGTGGATCTTCAAGAAACTTTGGCTGTCCGAAGAGGAGGAATTCAGGACGGTACTGTCATTTCGGCTTTCGTGCTTTGAGGGCAGAGGCACCTCCTTGAGATCACCCTGAGGGGTGGAAATCAGGAGTCTCAAAAGTGAAGACAGCCCAGCAGGATGGAAAGGCTTGCAGCAGCCACGACCACCACACACTGTGCTGTGACATCCCTGGAGGAGTACACCGGGAGACATGAGCCAGCCATGCTCAGTCCCCCAAAAAGAGTGAATAAGCATCCCACAAGTGGTCATGTTGGGTTGGTGAAGGCAGAAGGGATACCAACGGCTCCCTTCAGCAGCATCTGCACCAGGAGGAAGAGGAGATGCACAGGCTGTGTTGGAGCCAAAGGGTAAGGGTGGGAGAGCAGGGCTGTGGGGCACAGGAAACCTCCATTACCGTGCCAGTGGGGGGCATCCCATGCTTGTAGAAACCATCGGTGTTCTTGAATGCAGCTGTGGGCATTTCAGGCAGAATGTTACAGCTTTTAGTCAGGCTATGCAAATTCCCTGCAGAGAGGAGGCAGAGACGAGAGGCGCTAGGTGGCACAGCGTTAATGGCTCCATCCCTGCTTTCTCCCACATGTCACCTCCACCCATGCCTCTGTGTCCTCAGGATAGGGGTGTGAAGTTTGACCCCCTGATGTCTCACGTTCAGCATCACAGATGCAGAGCTGTGCTGGGTGGTGCATGAGGCTGGAGATGGCGCTCAGCAATTTGTCCTGGCAAACCCCCCAGGAGAGCTGGGCCCAGTGCCTGCTCTCCAGTCCCCACCCCAAGCAGTGTTACCAGCTGGTGCTGATGCAGACACCACTCTGGCCCAGTCCGAAGCGAAAGGAAGGACAGGAGAAGTAGCAATGCAAAGCTCATGAGGCAGAGCTTGTGATGCAAAGCTATCTCCCTCTCTTCAACTCATGCATGGCAGGAAAATGGGTCAGAGTCACGAGTATGTAGAGCTGCATGTTTGCTCCCCACTGCTTTCTTTGCATGTTGCCATAAGAAACAAAGCTGTCCTCTTGCAAGCTATGTTTAGGGGTGAGTTTGCACAGTGCAAAAGCCCATTTGATGGGCAACAAGCACAAGAAATTGTCCTCAGGGTGACAGGAGCTGAACTATGAGCAGCACAAGGCAGGATCTGGGTGCTATCGAAGTACCCATCTTTACTCCAAAATGATCAAAACTACCCATCTTTACTCCCTTAGCTGATACAGACAGATAGGATCTGCCATTCCTATCTGTGCTGTGCTGAAACTGGGCTCTTTACCTGATCCTAAGGAAGTTTATAACAACCCTACTCAGGCAGATAACAGCTATTTATAATCTTGACCAAAGTCAGAAAGACCTGACAAGAAAAAAATAATAACCCTAACAGCTTTCCAGTCACTGACAAAGCATCCCAACTTGTGTCAGAGAGGCAGAGAGTGCAGAATGGGAGGTGGATGGTGGGGGAACAGCTGGGGAAGGATCCTGGAATAGGAAGAAGTTCCTGAAGAGCCTTCAGGGCCTGAGGGATTGCTCCACAGATGGGAGTAGAGGAAACACCAAAGCAAGGAAGGGCCAGAGCAGCTGATGCGTGTGTATGGGAAGGACGGACACCCCAGGTGCACCCTGACTGCGCTTACCGGTCCTCCGCTCTGTCAGAATTGCATTGGCGTAGAGCCGCCTCTCATAGTCGGGGCTGGTCAGGTTGAAAGAAGCCGTGGATATCTGGGTGGAGAAGCAGCCATTCCTCCCTGTCTGAAGGAGAGAGTTGCCCACATTAGCAGCAGCCCATGGCCCGGCCCTTGGGTGTCATCTGCAGGGAAGTGGTGGATTGGGGCTCTCAGGTGCTGCTGCCTCCCACCAGCCCATTCTCCAGCACTGGAACCCTGCAACATCCACCCCAGGGCTGGTATGCTGCTCTGCCATGTGGCTGTCCCATTCCTGCCCATCCTGTCCCGAGGAGCACCCCGAGTCCCCACCCAACTCCCCCACACTCTTTGGGATGACTGGCTTTACAGAACATTGATGTGAAAGCTGGATCTCCCAGTGATGCCCAGTCACTGCACCCAGCCGTCTTCCCCAAGGCACAGTACCCCGAGATGGGGAAACACGTCCAGGATCACCACCCACATTCCCCGTCTTCTGCCCTCACCTCAGCCTCAAATGTAGCACATTTGCCAGGTTCGTTCAGATAATAGTTGTGCCACTGGCACAGTCTGGCCTCAGCCCTGCCCCGGAAAGGTTTCCCAGATGGGTACCTGTGGGGATGGAGCAGGAAGGGGATGGGGAGGCTGCAGGCAACATCGGCCCCGTGGCCACTCGCCAACTCACCACCCGCAGACGTGCAGTGGGATCATCTCGTCCGTCACCATCACAAAGGACGGCAGCTGAAGAAGCACTTGGAAGTGGGGTGGCCCTGCAGGAGAACAATGGGAATCAGGAGCCTGCCCACTTCTTCCTTGCCCGTTTCTTGCCATCCAGCATGATGGCTCCCAAAAGCCTTCATGCCCACTCACTGTTTGTCTCCACATAGAAGATGTGAGTCTTCTGTTCCACCGTGATGATGTAACTGCCAAGGGATGAGTGGGCCAGCGGGAGGGACAGGTCCGCAATGCCCTGCTGCAGGCTCACATCCTGCCATGACGCGATGGTTCTCCCTCCGAAATCCTGCACATGGGGGCACACAGTGTCAGCCCTCACCTGGGGAGTTGTGGCAGCGGTGGGGTTGACCACTTGGAGGACTCATCGCTCTGTGCAACCTCGCAAGAAGCAGAGATTGCCATGGATTGCCCTGCTGCCATGCTCAGACCCTGAGGGCATCACCTCTCCAGGTGGAACACTTGCCCCAGAAGCTGTGTTAGCTGATCTCCAGCCTGCAGGCTGAGCTCCAGCAGCAGGACACTGGGGGATGCTCCAGTCTGCACTGGGAGCTCCTGGTTTTCTACACAGATTGAAATCTCCCTGGCAATAGTCACCACTGTCTTCATGCACATAAGATGGCCCTTAGTGGCATTGCCTTGAGGTCCCCCACGCAGGCAAGCTGACCCAAATGGGGTTGGAAATGAGGATGAGGAACCCAAGCCCTTCTCCCTACTCCTTGTGATGTCTCTGCATCAGGGATGTCCTCTCTGTCCCCACTCCTGGTGCCCAGCAGCACATGTGTTCTGGGCCCCTTTGCGCCTCCCGAGGGAGCTGGCAGGATGGCACACGGTGAAGACTCACAGTCACGGTCACCAAGGGAAGCTGCAAAAACAGAGAGAAGGGGTTAGCACTCAGCGTGGAGCAGCCCAGCCACGCCTCTGCCCAGCTGCCTGTGCTCACTGTGACACCGCGGTCCCTGCTGCCAAGACCCAGCAGATTCACCACGTGAGGACCCTGTCACCACCACACCTCCTGCACCCTGACCCCATCTCACCTTTCTGTCACTGGGAATGAAGTCCTCCTCCAAACGGAGAATTCGAAACTTCACTGGAAAGAGCAAACCCCAGAGCAGGAGTGAGTGCTAGAGCCTGGGACCCAGCCTGGGCATCCCATCCCCAGAGCCCATGAGCTCTTCCAGCATCTCCTGCCCCTCACCGGTTTGCCCAGGCTTGTAGGTAGTTTTGTCTGTCTGTATCACAGTCCACAGACCTGGGGCTTTCAGCAGGACCTCCCTCTGCTGAGAGACCCTCAGGGAACCTCCCTGGATGGACACATGCAGGTACGCCACCTCCTCTGTGGGGGTAGAAATCTGCCCCCAGGGAAACAACAGAAATGGGTGCAAAGCCTTTACGGTGGGCTTGGGTGTATCATGGGAAGACAATGTAGATGCAGCTCAGCAGGTCTTCGTGTCTGCCCTGTGTCCCTCTGCCCTCCATTGCCCACCTCGGACAGCCCCCATGTCCCCTCCCCTGGCTCCAGCAGTGGCTAAGGGATGGACATTCCCTCCTGGGGCCCTCAGTCACTCACGTTGGGGAAGAGGGGCCAGTCCAGCTGGAGGATCTTGTCGCCCGTCTCCTCCAGGGTGACATTAGGGACGCCATGGCTGCTCGCCAGGTGGAGGGTGACCCGCACGGGCCCATCCAGGTCCATGAGGTGGATGTGCACCTTGCCCCCGTGTGGGTAGTAGATCACGTAGGGGAAGAGCACCAGGTATCTCCTGGGGAGAGGACTCCTCAACAGTGGGCAGGGACCCCCACCAAAGACCAGCACTCCCTTCCCATTCAGACTCCCAAGGCAGGGGATACCTGATTTGTTCTACCCCTGGATGTTCTCCGTGGGGCTGTGCCACCCAGCCTTCCCCGATCTGCCCGGTTCATAGACCAGAGCCCCCTTTGCCCATAAACACCTCTGGAAGCAGCTGTTGGTTGGGTCTGGGGGGAGAGGAATGATTCTGCTCATGCCCCAGCTTGTCTGTGAGGTTGCACCTACACCAAAGCAGCCCAGAGGCTCCAGCCCCAGGCACAAAGTCCTCTGCACTCACAGGAATAACACAACACACCACCCCGAGCACTTCCCCCCCAACCAGCAACCACAGTCAAGGCCAGGATTGTCCCTGAGCATCACCAGCAAGCTAAGACCAACCATCATCCTACCAAGCATGGACAGATGGACACAGAGAGGGCTTACGGCTGTGCAGATGCTCCAGCTACGAGGTGCAGGAGGCAAAGCAGCATCAGGCAGGGCAGGGCTGCTGTGGAACCCATGCCTGGGGAGAACGCAGCGGCTAGGCAGACTGAGCCCTCACACCGCACCTTCCCCCTCTCCCTTTCACATTCACCTCCCCGCTGGCCGCAATGAAATCCAGAGAGGTTCCTGGTGGGGGCCTGGCCATTCAGCTAGGACAATGTTTAACCACACGACCCAGGGCTCAGTGAGTTCAAGGCTCCAGGCAGCCAAACCCCACCTGCAGATGTGGGCACGTGGCAGCACCACCGAGCCAGCACAGAGCTGCAGAGCAAACAGCGAGTGGAGAAACCTGGCAGGAGGGAAAAGAGAGAAGGGGCTCCCTGGGAGTGGAGCACCTCCCCGGGCATGCTGCTCTTGGCCATCTCCATATGATGGTTCCTGACCCGGAGAGCTCTTGTTTGCAGGACGCTTCTTTGCAGTTGCTAGTATTGTTGCCCAGCAGAAGCTAATGGACAGATTTCCATGATCTTGCAGAATTTCTTCCAGCCATTCCCAAGAGCAGGAACAATGATGAATCAAAGCACTGTTCCCTTTCTTAGCTATCGTTTGCACATCATATTTAGAGAATTTTAGGACTGCTGTCATGTGAGCCTTGCCCGCCCCACTTCCAGCACTGGGGGCAGCCACACACTGTCCTGCTGTCACCCCGGGTGGGAAGTGACCCCAGGGTGCCCAAAGCCCTGCATGGCTGCAGGGAGCAGACAGAGGAGGAGCTCACAGGAGCCCCACAGGGCTGGCAGATGAACGTGGTTGTGCCAGGTCCCTCCTGCTCCAGGTGGGCATGGTCCAGGCCTTCCTCCTTTGTAAACTTCATTGGTGCCCCTCCTGTGCACGTACTGCTCACCCCCACGGCACAGGGGACAGGCCCCGTGTAACTCCCACCCTGCCACGTGTTCCTCGTCCCGTCCGGAGCAATATCCCCAGGAGAAGCCGTGGTGTCCGTAGGGGTGCTGTGTGTGCAGCATGGCCGTAAGGAGACGGATCCCCCCCCCACTGTGCCCTCTCCCCTCAGGTTCAGGCACCACGCACAGACACCAGCTGTGGATTCTTTAATCTTGCACCATCCTCTACATTGAGGTTGCTCTTCCCACGTGGCAATATCCCCCTCCCCACGTTCCTCCCGTCCCTCCCAGCCTCACCGTGTGCTCTGCACCCTCCCCAAGGGTGGCTGCATGAGGACAGCGCTGCCATTAGGACCATGGCTTGCAGCTTCCCCTGGCAGGAAACAACTGAACAAGCCCACAGGTGAACCACACCACGAGGGACAGAGAACAGTGCAGTGAGCTCTACCTGGCACACCCAGCCCTTCACCCCTTGCATGGGCAGGATCCATCCCACTAGATGGAGCCCACAGGCTGGGCCAGCTGCACAGCACCAGGGCTGGGGGAGACACACGTCATTGCAAGGGGGTTCTGGGGCACCTTGCTCTGTTTTCAGCGCTGCCTCCCACCCTGCTCTGCTTCCCCTTTTACCAGGGCACCATCCTGCTGCAAGCCCAGAAGACATATCTACAGGGGACAGGGGGACAGTGTGGCCCAGCCTGTGACTGCACCACCTTCCTGATGCCCCAAGAGGTTCTGTTCCTTTGCCTAATCACTGGACCCAGCTGTGTCCCCCTTGTGCCATGGACTGCCAGTCCCCTTGGTGGCCCCAGCACAGCATGGGAGCGGAGGGTGCTCAGCGCGCTGGTTCCCCCGCTGATTTGCAGCCATCTCAGAGAAGACATCAACCATGGCTTTGCGGACAGTCTCTGTTAGCTCGGGGACATCCTTCAGGCTCAGGCCCTGGGTTTCTATCTTGGGGAGGACTTGGATGGTACATGTCCCTGGAGAGAGAGGGGAAAGGCCAAGGAGGCTGCTGGACAAACCCCCCAGGAGTGAGGTCTTCCCACCAGCATCCTCCACCACTGGCTGCCTGCCCACATGTCTCCCAGAGACCTTCATCCCCTGCGGGCCCCATCCCCACCACCAAATTTTCCCTCCAGCAGCAGGGCTTCTTCTTTTCCACTTACCAGAGGTGAATTTCTTATCCTTGGAGCTGAAGAAGTCCCAGTACGGGGAGATCACAATGGGGAAAATGGGAACCTGCAGGAGATAGGGGGTCAGGGGTGTCCTCCATACAGACTCCAGCTCCTGCTGTGCCCTGTGCTTCAGCAGGTCCCTGCCACCTCCCTGGGCCCTGCAGACCCCAGAAGACCCTAATGTCCCCCATCCTCCTGCCCCAGGGTGTGTGCCTATCCCTCTCTGCCAAGGGTGGGTGGAGGAGAATGCCTTACCTGAGCCTGCACAGCCAAGTGAAAAGCCCCACGCTTGAAGGGCAGCATGGATTTGTCCTGGTTCCTGGTGCCTTCAGGGAAAATCAGCACTCGGATCTGCACAGGACAGGAAGGGATGTGAACACGGATCCCAGAGGTCCCCTGGCCCAGGACTGGTACACCCCAATCCCCGCTATGTTGGTGCCCCCCCATGCATCCCACTGCACCCTCCTGTGTTTCTCCTCCTCAACTGCCCCTGCTGCCTGTCCCCTCACATTTTCACGCCGTATGGTCTTGGCCGTCTGTGAGATGACACCGATGGCATCTCCCCTCTTGTGGCGGTCAATGAAGATGATGCCACTGAGCCAGCAGGCCCACCCCACGGTGCCCATGTACATGAGCTCCTTCTTGGCGATGGGCACGCAGCGGTCGGGGATCACTTCCACCATGCCTGGAGGAGAGATGGGAGAAGAAACGATCAGTCCCTGCCTGGTAGCTCCCATGACCAGCCAAGCTGTGACTGCAGTGACCCAACATCATCCTCCCTTCTTGCAGCCCTGAGCTCCAGCCCCACCAGCTTCTCTACCCCACACCTCCTGTACAAATCCTGGTGCTGGCCTCTCTGGAACACCCCGGCACAAGCCTGGTCCAGCCCTGCAGAACCCCAAAGGCTGCCCAGGCAGCGATGAGTCCCTCCTCTCCCCTGCACTTACCCATGAGGTCAAGGGAAGCTTGGTGGTTGCAAACTATCACATAGGGCTCCTCGGTATTCAGATGCTCGGAGCCCCACACCTGCATCTTGATGCCGTACAAGTGCTTGAGGGGCCGGATCGCAGCACGCAGGAGCCTAGGGCAGAGGAACATGTGTGGGGAGCAGATCAACACAGAGAGGGGCTGCTGGATTTCTTCCAGCCCTTCACAGTCACTCAGGAGCAAGGTGCAAGATGGATCAGCTAGAGCTGGTCCATACGAGCAAATAGCGTGTCCCAAGGTGGGTCTGTGCCCAGTCTCAGCAATCCTGTGTGGTGGTTTTCTCTTGTAAGCACATCTGTAGCCATCCCCAAGGTGAGAGCAGTCGCTGCCTCAGTAGTAGGAAGTGTGGCTTTGAGCCACGAAGAGTTGCCACCATGAGCAGGTGGGAGAAATAACAAGGTTCTTGGAGGGCTGATGTCCAGGGAAGGTGAAGAAGTGAGATGGGAGGGGGTAGGATGGAGGTGGAGGAGGCTTTGCCAAGAGCAGAGAAAAAAAGGCAGGAAACAACTCAGCTTCGTTCATTAGAGCAACTCAGAATAGCTTCAGGGGTCCTGCAGCATCAGGAAGGGATGGAAGTTTCTCATCCACATGGATGGACAGGAAACAAGGAAGAGCAGCGTCACCAGAAAGGGTTGGACAGGAAGGGTGACACCAGGATGGCAATGCTGACAGTCAGTATGAGAACAACAAGAAGAGTGAAGGGACAATGGGGCAATGGGGATTGCAACACCCAAGGAGAAGATAAAGCCCAGTACGCTCTCATTCCAACAGTGTTGAAATGGGGCACTTTCTAACCCATAGCATGGAGAGCATCCGTGCCAGGGACCTCATATCTATCAGTGACTGTTCCCAGAGAACCCACAGGGGACAGGGCAGTCAGGAGGAGCTGGGGACCAGGCAGGCAGGAGAAGAGATTTGGGAAGAGTGAGGAGGCAGGGGAAATTCATGGGGAAATTCACAGTGCCTTGTAGGGCCATTGTGCCAGAGGACTGAGATTTTGGGAGACCTGGGCATGGCAATCCCTGTGCCTACAGAGAAGCAAAACACTTGTGGCAATGCCCCAAAGCCAGGATTAATGACAGGAACCTGCTCCAAGCCGGAGGCTTTGTGATTTGGAGGCTGAAGAGGAGGCAGAGCAGGGCGTGCTGCTCTGGTGGAGGACGGCTGTGAGGTGTCGGTGGGACAAGGTAAGGCACTGGTGACTCATGGCTGCATCACGCCGGGGAGTTCCTCTAAGCCGGAAGCTTTTGCCCCAGCGCTCAAAGCACCTCAGGACATGTGTGTGTGTGCACAGCATTTCCGCACAGACAGGATGAGAGAGAGAGGCTGCACAAGGGGACCGATAACATCAAACATCTGACCACACTGCTGCCGAGGGCCCCAAATCTCTCAGCACCCACAGTCAAGCTTGCCAGATTGCACAGCCTCAGACATCTTGCACTCTGACACAATTACATCCCTTCTGGTATGCTATCATTCCCAGGAATCCAGCACCAGGATTGCAACACCCTTGGAAGCAGACAAACCTTCCTCTCGTGCTCAGAGATGCTATCGCAGCCGCCACCACCCCCAGCTCAGCCGAGCCTCCCCTCTGCTGTGGGGCAGCACCGGCACGGCTCACCGGCACGTGGCAGCGCTGTGCCAGAGCTGATGGCACCGAGGAATCCCACAGTCCCTCTGCCAAAGCGCAGTCCCCTGAACAGGACGTGGCTGCACTGCCAAGGAGGCAGGCATGGGTACGTGCTTGTATCCTGCTAATGACAGCACTTCGAACCCTTGCCAGCCTCCCCATCTGATGGCCCAATGCTGCAACGGCCAAGAAGGATCCCTTGTAAACGATTTCATCCTCTGGGGACCAGCTAGTCCAAAGCCAGGTGGCCACCCCATTGCAGTGTAACCATCCCTTGCCTTGGCCAGCACCCCGCCACCACACCACAAGATGCAGATGCACCCTTCCTTGCCACAGGGATGTGGCCACAGCTCTCCCCGTGGCTCCAGGGCTTGACTCAGCCTCACTGCACAGACACACCGCATAGTCCCGGCTCTGGGTACAGCCTGGGAAGGAAAAAGCAGGTCCACAAGACCTCCAAACTCCTCCATCACTGCCAAGCCCCAGATGTCGCAGCGGTGGAAGAACAACCCCAAGCCATACTCACTTCATATTCTCCACGGAGCGTCCCCGAAGAGCTGCCAAGGGGGAGAGGAGAGTGGCCATGGCCACAACCCAACAGTTAAAGAAGGCCACCTTGCAGAAGTAGTTGAAGGCGGCATTGTGCTGGTAAAGCAGCAGGGCAGCGAACAGGAGGAGGAGCAGCAGCCCCTGGAGCAAGACAGCCTCCATCGTGCTGCCTGGGCACGAGGGTGCTGGAGAGCTTAGCCCGTGTCCCCAGGAGCTGGGGAGGAGGACAGGGCTGCCAGGAGCACGGCAGGAGACACTAGGGTATCAACAGAGCCGCATGTGGGTGTGTGGGGCTGGTCCTGGGGAAGGAGTTGTGTGCTGCTCGCCCTGTGCAGAGGCTCGAGTATGGACTGGCAGAGGTGGGAGGCAGGCTCACCAGCCGAGGGTGGAGAGCGGAGGTGAGTCAACACCATAGACCCTGGGTCACCCACGGAGTCACAGCTGGGATGTGCCTATTGCAATGCTTCCGACTTGATGCAATCAGCATGCTGCTTATTATAGTGCTCACGCTGGGGGCACCTCCTGGGGTCACGGGAACCCCTGATATCCTCCTGATAGCAGGAGCAGCTCTGGTCCATACCCATCACCCCAGCGAGGCTGGCCGCAGTTCCCCACACCATCAGGACCCACACTGCAGATTATGAGGCCACTGGAGCACACCTGGCTGCTCCCCGCACAGGCTGGCCAGCCCCCGCCCCAGCTGGCAGCCAGGGGCCGCGTTGCGTTAGGTGTTTATGGCAGTGCAGTCAGCGTGCACAGGAGTGTAATTAGCCTCTCCTCCTGCTCACTCGCTGTCACACCAGGCATGTAAGATTCAAGCCCATTCCTGGGCTGCGGAAGTCTGGAAACTGGTCTTGCTTTTCAAAAGCAGCGTTCTGACATCGCAAAACTGACTGGCTTGGTGTCAGCCAGCTCAGCCACCAGCATCCCATATCTGGGGCCTCACAGCCCCACTGCTCCATCCGTGCACTGCTGCCCACACCCCTTGGTTCCTCCAGCCCTTTGGTCAGAGGGCTCTGCTCGTGCCTTCCTATAACAACCCCAGCACCACATCTCCTGGGTCACACCCAGTGGCTCCAACCCTTTTCTGACATGACATACCTTCTACAAAACCACCCTGCTCCACTCCCACAGCAGCTGCTTCCACCCACACCTTCTCCCCACCTCCGGTGGCATGGGAACAAGCAGATGCCTTCCTGCTCCTGGCCATGCCATGCTCCCTGTGCCGTCAGCTAGAAGTGCCCCAGGATGGTCTCCTTCTCTCCTGCTCTACGCAGTCGGTCTTGTAGTATCTTGGGGTACTCCCACCCAAGGGAGATGTGCCTTCACGCCCAACCCAACACAGCTCCTCCACTCCACGCTGGGGCCAACCTTGCTAGCATCTCCCACAGCTTCAGCAGGAGCCAGGCCTTGCCTTGCTGCAGAGGAAGATCCATCTGTGGCAGAGCATAGCTCAGTCCTGGGCAGGGGGAACATGAGCTCTTCCTTCCATAGGGACCCCAAAATAGAGACAGGGCAGTCCTTATTGCCCAGTAGGGGCAGAAGGAGGGGATTTCAGGGTCAACTGCCTGGACACCATTTTTCTGCATGCTCTCAGCTCCACGTAACTCCCAGCCCTAGAGTCTCCTACTAGGAGCTAAGGCAGAGCCTCCTGATAACCGGGCTGTAATGCTGCTGGCTGCGTGGAACTCCACAGCCCTCATCAGAACCCCATAGTCCCACCAGCCCACCCACCCTGGTGGCATCAGAGCAGAGCTGTGAACCCTGCAGCAGGGCTGGGGAGGTGGCAGAGGCAGGGACCAGCTCCTAGCACCCATAAAATGCCTGAACACACTCCCCTCACCTTTTTACCCAAACAGGGGGGGGAACCAAGCCCTGGGGAACCCCACACTCACTCAAACAGGAGCCCTCTACAGGATGGATCCCTTACTGGGATCAGCACTGGGCCAGCACTGTGTGGAGCTGTGGAACTGTGTGTTCCCATTGCAGGAACAGCACTTGGCCATATCCAGCCCTGCCCGTGCTGTGCTTGGCCAGGAGCATCAGGCACTGGTATTCCCCCTCCTTTGGGTGCAAGAGGCTCTCAGCCCCCCCTCACCCCTGCTGCTTGGAGGAAGCCCTATGCTCAGGCACAGAGCCAGCAGCCTGGGTAATTACAGATGCTTAATTAGTGACAGCAGGGAGCTCTCTTAACAAAGCAGATTAATTACAGGCAATGTGCTGCATTGGGAGCTGAAGGGACACCTGGGCTGGCACGACCCCACCCCACCGATGCCAGCATGTCCCACAGGGACAGAGCATGGTGCTGAGCACCGCAGGGCCCTCGTGGCTTGGCAACGTCACATTGTCCATCTGGGATTGGAATTTCACTGATGAACTGGAGCTTGTCCCTCTTAAGCAGCCATCTGTGTTTGGTGATGGGCTTCGTGACACCCAGTGCCTTGAGGTGGCTCACGGGGAGGAGGACAACATGCCTGGCAAAATGCACTATTTTGATGCATTTTGCTGCGCACATTGTCCTCCTCCCTGTGGGCCACCCCAAAACTGTCAGTACCATAGGGCACCCACTCTCAGCACACACAAGGTCTTCTGGGCTGGAGGCCAGGGACGTGCAGGAGAAGCCACCTCAGGGTGCAGGGAGCTCACTGCCGCTGCTCCAGCATGTCATAGTACTCTGCAAAGAGAAAGCAGGGCCTGGAGGGCGTGTGAGGGCTTGCACGGAGGGAGGGAGCAGGAAGGGCTCAGCCCTTGTCGGGACATGTGGGAAGGTTGATGTATGCCTGGGGGCATCTCCCATTGAAGGCAGGTGCTATGGGGAGAAGTTGTCCTCACCTGATGATGGCGGGACATTGGCTCCTACAGTCCCTGTGGCGCTGGGGGGAGGAGGAGGTGGCACTGCACTGGTGAAAAGGACAAAGAACAGGAGTAAATGCCAGCCCTCCGTGTCCCATCTGGTGCCGGAGATGCTGTCACACCAGGGGCTGCAGGACACGTACACACAAAGCAGCACCCTTAATACTCACGGCTCCCCATCCTCCACTGCTGTGTCCTGGTAGCGCACGACCGGTGGTCCCCCAGCCCCAGCCAGGACCGGCCATGTGAGGATGGAAGTGGGACCGGCGTAGGGGACATAGTGGTGGTGGAAAACCACGGCCTCCTCTTCCTCTCCAGTCTGCAAAGGCACCATGAGTGGCTGTGGGGAGGAACAAAAGGCAAAGAGATGCTGGGCTGATCTCAGCAGCTGTCTTCCTCGGGCTCCCCAGGACAGGATCAGAGTCACAGAGCAATTGAGGTTGGGATCTCAGGAGGCCAGTCTCTCCAGCCCCTGCTCCAGCTGGGGTTCCCAGGGCCAGGTCCCAGCGGCTTCTGGAGATCTCCCAGGAGGAGCCCCCGCAGCCTCTCCTGTGCCAGCTCCGCCACCGCCAGGGCACAGAAGCGCTTCCCGGTGGTCAGAGGGCACCTCCCGGGCCCCGCTTCGTGCCCGGTGCCCCTGGGCCCAGCTCTGTCCTCCCCACGGGGATTTACGGGCACGGCCAGGATCCCCGCAGCCTCCAGGCTGAGCAGCCCCAGCTCCCGCAGCCTCTCCTCCCAGCGGAGCTGCTCCGGTCCCCCCACCTTCGTGGCCCTCCCCTGGGCTCTCTGCAGCCTGCCTGGCCTCTCTGGTACTGGGGGCCTGGCAGCAGTCCCAGCACTGTGCGGGCGGCCCCAGCAGTGAGGAGCAGAGGGGCAGGATCCCCTCCTTCTGCCTGCAGGCAATCCCTCGCCTGGTTCAGCTCAGGCCACCACCAGCCTTCCTCGCTGTAGGGCCCGCTGCTGGCTCCTGCTCAGTTTGGGGCCCCACAGGGCCCCAGGGCCTTGCCTGCAGAGCTGCTTCCCAAGGGGTGCCACCACAGCACTTCTCCTGCCTGAGCTCCATGAGGTTCCACATGAAGAAACAATACAGGGGCATTGCAACCTGAGATAGGACCCCAAAATGCTGCCCATGGCATCTGAGCATTGAGCAGCCACATGCAGGGTCCAGTCTCCCACAGTATAGTGAACTGGTGGGGACTGGGAGGATGCGCACGAAAGATGCCAGCTAGCAGTGAGCAAGGCAGCTGCCTGCATCCCACCAAGAAAGCAGCATTTGTTTCCCCGCACGGAGATTAAATGTTTCATATAATTTTGGTTTGAGATGGACTTTTAAATGAATGCCCTTGCAGAGCTGTTCTGCCTAATGAGCAGTGCTCAGCCTTTCTGCTCAGCCCAACCCTGCACCCTGCCCACGTCTGGCAGACCTCAGTTCTTCCCAGCTGCACTAAATCCCCTCCAAGCAGCCTGATATGATCCATGCTGGGGGTCAAACCAGCCCAAAGAGCCCCAGACCCTCCAGGAGCTGCAGAGGGCTGTGAACATCCAGCAGCTGCACTTCAGGGGTCCCATGCTGCTATGAAATGGGACCCAGGTGCTATCCATCCTCCTTGCCCCATACCTGGGCAGCAGCTGGAGATGGCCCGAACCCGAAGGACGTCAATGCCGACACGGCCAGACTGTTCATCACCACCTGGTGCATTTGGGAGTTTTGAATCATCATCAACTCGATTAAATCTGCCAGAGAGGAAGGGGCTCTGCGTCAGAGAGGGATTAGAGCGAGGGCATGGGAAACACAGCCGCCGGCTGAGCGGTGTGGATGCAGCCCCCAAAGGGTCCCTGCTGGGATGGGGTGGCACCACAGCTTGTCCCTATGCCAAGTATCAGGAGCCAAGCCAGACTGCCCCACGCCCCAATTTGGAAGGCCTACATGGCATTTAAAAATTATTTTGCTTGGATAAAGCTTTAAAATAGACATAGTTAAGCCTTTCCTTATTTGCAAATGTGATTAAACATCTGGTCTGGCTCGACGAAGGCTGTTCACAAAAGGTGATTAGCGGTGCTGGAGGCGGCAGACTTTCCGCCCATTCGGAGGAGAATTGCTGCGGTCCTGGCAGTGCTCAGGACTTGGCAAATCCTTCCTTGGCACCGGGGCAACAGTGCCAGGGAGCCAGGCGGTGGGCATGGTGCAGTGCGTGGGGGCTCGGAGCTCAGAGACCCCCAGAGACTCATAGTCCCCATAGGGACTGATGCCACCTCCAGTCCCAGAGCAAGTACCTATTGAGCAGGGCTCAAACCCAGGTGGCCCTGCACATACATGTCAGCATCTGAGTCCCCTTGGCTGGATGCCTGAGGCTTTAAAACATCCCTGTTAAAACATTAACACATCCCCAATGAAACACCACCGTTTGCTGCAGGCATGAAGTTCCCCTGCAAGGTGCCTGCAAACCTGCTGGAGGACGATCTCCAAGATCCTGCTTTGTGCATGAGCTTCCCACACCAGTTTGGAGCATGCCCTTTCCTCCATGTATTTTTAGACAGCCCAGCCTTCCCCGTCCCCACAGCATGTCTTTGGTCATAATTTGTCCCAGGAGCCAAAAATCCCTCTGGAGCTGATATATAAAAAAAAAAAAAAAAAAAAGTCCCCCAGGAACATCCCAGTGTTTTCAAAGCCAGCCCTGACTTCAAGTTTGGTAAAACCACCAAAAATTGCATCCTGTAGGGCAAAGACACCATCAAGTAAAGGTGTGGCCAGCCCTATGAGGTTGCAGCCCTTCCCCCTGCCCCCCCAGGCGTCACTCATCCTAAAGAGGCTGAAAAAAAATAAAAGGATGAAATTAAGGTGGTTTTAACATGGGACTATGGTCACATGGGCCTGTGGTCACACACCTTCCCGCAGGTGCGGGGCTCTGGTGGGCAGGACTAGAGTTCCAGGAAGCTGCTGGAGGATCACCACCGGCTGCTGGGACACCTGGCACAGCACCGTGGGGACATGGCACAGGTGGCAGCTGAAAGGCAGAAGGGGAAGGAAAGCCCTGGGGATGGAGGGTCTTGGAGGAGGGGGCAGCTTGCACTGACCCCCCTTTTTCCAGGGGTGCAGTCCTGCAAGCGTGGCACATCCCCAGCCCTGGGGAAATGTCCTCGTGGTGCAGTGAGCACTTTGCTTTTTGCAGGGGACATTTGCATCTCACAAATAAAATATATATATATATATACACATATATATATATATATATATAAACAAATAAAATAACAAAACCAGCATCTGCTGCTCCAGACCCCACTGCCTACCTAAAACCACCACCCCACTCCCTCTCCTCCCACCCCAGCCCATTTTCCCCACCATATCCTTGCAAACCCTTACTATTCCCTTTGCCCAGAGGCAGAGCTGCTCTGCAGGGCTTACCCCATGTGGGATGATGTAGGTCCTGGCCGCCAGGTCCCCCCAGACCCCCTTGGGGTCCCCTGCTGCCCCGACCTCCATGGCTCAGCCAAGCAGCACTGCAGCCGGCAGCTCCAGCTTGTTGCTATAGCTGCTGGGGCCAAACAAAGCCTCAGGCAGGTTTGGCAGCCACAGCAGCGTCCCCACACTGCTTTTCCCCACTGTGCATCCCCAGGACACCCCCCACCACCAAAGGGGTGGGACAGAGGTGTTTTGTGCTCCCCACCCCACACCCCATGGTGTTTCTGGGCCTGCAGGACAATTGTCCCTGCAGCAAACTAGGGTTGTGGGTTCATTCAAGCTCTGTGTACTGGTCCTAGTGGCTGGGGAGCACTGGTCCCAGTGGCAGGGCTGCTCAGCCCCATTGCATTCCCACCAGCAGCATCTCACAGCTTCGGCCATATGCTTTTGGAAGCTTTCCTAAAAACCCAGGTCCCACAGCCCCGTGGTCTCCATCAGTGCCGGCCATCATGGGAGGTGGGAGATGGCTCTGCTCCTGTCTGCTCCCTGGGTGGGAGGCAGGAAAAAGCCAACAGGAGAACACAGACAGGGAGTCTGGTGGGATGTAGTCACCTGTCAGAGCAGCTCTGACTGCCTGGCTTGCTCTCAGCATGCCACCCCTTTGTTTGGGTCGTATTGAAAGGTCCTGTCAAACACTGGCAGAAAGCAGCTGGAGGGGCCGGAGGCAGCTGCAAAGCAGCAGCGTGTCCCTGCAGGGCTGAGCTGTCACCTGCACCAGGGACTCAGGCTGGAGGAGCAAACACAGCCAGGTTTCTACATGGGAACACTGGGAGATGGGTCTGGCCAGTGCTTGGGAAAGGCTCAGCTCTGCAGGGCTCGGCAGTGCCTGCCATCGGACAGCGCCCTGCCAGCACACCGCAGCTGTGTGGTCTCTGTGGATGGAGGTCCTTCCACTCCATGGGATGTCCCTCGGTCCTCAGACGCAGTGTGCCCCCGTGCATGACCAAGGCACAGTGCTGCTGGGGACATCAGTCAGGTGCCACCGCAGATCTGGTGCCCATGGACCACTTCCCTCTTCTGCAGTGACCAGCCACAGCACACCCCCACACCCCTGCCCCATGCCGACTTGGCATGCAAACCCATTGCAAGGAAATTTTCTCCCCAAATGGCCCAACCTCCAACTGTCCTCAGATATCTTTCCTCCACCTCCGAAAGCTCTGGGACTGCTCTTCTGGGTGATTATTTCATCAATATAAAATCCAAAGTCCCCTCTGTCCCCTAGCATATAGGTCTGTGAACGTTTCCCAGGAACCCAGCCTGGAGCAAGCCCTGCTCATGAAGAAGGAACAGATCTCAATAAAACCTCCTGTCCTGCCCCAAAACAGCACCAAGACACCTCCAGATGGGCAGGAGCACCCACTCTGAGGTGGACTGCCTTAGCCCAAGCCCTTGGCTCTAGCCAGGCTATTTTCTGCTTCATTACATTTTGCTCCATGCTGCTAATTTCTCTAGGCCCCTCTGGATTATTTCACTGCCTTTTGCTATAGCTCCCAAATTCACATTATTTGCACATTTAATTACCGTGCTGATTGCCCCTTGCTTCTGGCAGAGCCTGGTGTTTTCTGAGCAGAGCCTGGGTATCCGCTTTGTCAGTGCTAATATTGTTCTCATCTGTAGGAAGGACTCGAGCACTGGAGCAAAGAGCTGAGCCATTTGCAGCACAAGAATTTCTGCCGTGGTCAGACGTGGTGTGAATGTTCTCAGACCTCCCAGGGGCAGGCTGAGTCCCTTTGGGGGTCTTATTGACTGTTCTTTGTCCACAAGTGTGGGTCTGGTGCAACCCCCAGCCCTGACACATCCCATGCAGCACCGCAGGGCAGGGCAGAGGCTGGGGCTCGGCTCTGGGTAGGCCAATGCTCGTCTGCAGCCAGTCCATGCAGCACGTCCCTTTTTAAGTCCCCCAGCACATCTGTCATAAAGAGAGGAGGTCTGAGCATTGGTGGCAGCAGGAGATGCAGGCACCCACGCCTGCCAGCCCAGCTCTCTGTCTTTAAAGCGCAGCACCATAGAATTAGGGCTGCAGGGATCGGCGCTGGGGCAGGAGCACTCATGGCCATGTGGGTGATTCTAAAGTTCTGCTGGTGGACGCCTCTGTCCCCAGTAAGAGACACCCTGATGAAGCCTACCCCTAGGCTGAGACATGTGCCACAAGACACCCTTGAGGATGCTCAGTGGATGTTTTTATTAGCAGCTCTCTTTTTGGCAGCTCCCAAGCCCTTCTTGTACTGTGAATCTGAATTTCTTGTTCTGGAAAGCCAACCCAAAATCTTCACCCTAATTAAAGCCCGAGGACAGGACTTCAACCCCAAACCCTGCTTGTGGAGGGGGGGGGAGGGTTCCACTAGCAGTGCCTCTGCTGTGAGAAACATCTCAATTTTCTTCAGACAGGATCTTCTGTGAAGCTATTTTATTCACGATTGCAATGGTGGGCGTCCTGTCAATCAGGAGAGCATTTTAGTAAACAAAGCCAAACTTTTTATTCCATATTACCCGATGCCTGATCACCTCCCCTGTTTCCTCATTGGCTGAGTACTACAGGTTCACAAGCTACTCGACACTCCTCTATACCATACACGTACAATTTTTCTTTTTTTTCAACCCTTTAGTTTCTCCTTTCTTATGTTTTGAGAACTTGTGTTCTTTGTTTTACTGTTCTCACACTGCTCATCCTGTTTTTCTCAAACTTCTACCTTATTTTAGAACAGTGAGGCTTTCTACTGTCCACTTATCTACTTAGCATTTCTCCTTATTATGACTACACAACTACCTTGGTATACAGAAAAGTAATTCTCTACTGCAAAAACACAACTTTGTTTCTCACACTGCTGCTGGGTGCAAGCAGAGGAAGATGCTGCACCAGGCATCTGGAGCAAAAGCAATGCAGTCCGGCCCCTCTGGGATGCCCAATGCTCTCAGCATGAATCTGTGCTCACAAAGCAAGCAATGAAAGCACCACAGCTTCGGCAAGCTTTGGTGAACCAGCCGAGCTGAGGAACATGGAGAGCCAGGCCGTGTCGGATGGCACCACGCTGGGAGCGGTGCTGTGCCGTGCCTGGATGGGCTGCACTCCCCTACAGCCCAGCAGCAATAACTGGGGTGACTGGGGAGGGCGGCCAGCATGAAGCTCGTCCGTCATTCCGTGCCCAAATTGCAGCTGGGGCAATCCCCCAACATGAGGAAACAGACAGCAGGCAGCAGCCTTGCCTAGGACTCATGGAAGACAAAGGAAACCAGATGGAGGCAATGCATCCTCCCCTGGGCACTGGGCATCTAAACCAAAAGTCAGTTTGTCACTGCACATCAGGACAAATCAAGGACATGCAGTGAGGGCTCAGCAGGGGCTGTCCCCTGTGCTCCGTGCCACACCCTCACATGCACCTCTTGGGGCTGCTCTGCAGGTCCGGGAGCATGACTGGGTGGAAAGATCTCACTTTGAATCCCAGTTACGAAAAAATAACGTTTTCCTTTCCAGGAGGTCTTGTTCTGAGGTCTCTTCCAAGCCACCATCCAGCCACTCTGGTCTCACGCAGCACCATCACTGGTTGGTTCCTCCCAGAGCCCAAAACTGAGCACGAGGCTGTTGGCAATGGCAGGGGAGGGGGCTGCTTGGGGAGGGGAAGGGCAATGCACAGCCCTCAGCATGCAGCAAGGGTGCTCTGCAGCCCCCCCCCCCCAAACCTCAGCTGCTCCTTCCCACCCTGCAGACCAAAGCAGCCACCTCCAAAACTTGTCTGCTCCCGTCCAGTGACAAGCCCTGGTGACATTGCCACCAGATGGCACCAAATAAGCCAGCCTTGTGGGGACACGCGTGGCTTGGGGCCACCACGACCAGCAGGCACAGCCTGCCTTCACCCTGCTCCCTCGCCCCCATCTCCGCCAGCACAGCCTGGGATTATTTGCACCAGTTATAATTTTATTTGATTAAAGCAGTGTCTGACAAGGCAACCTCCCACTGCTTGTTTACGTGCTGTTGGAAAATTAAATGATTAAAATTGGGTGTTTGCATTTTGCTGGAAACTATTAGAAGGTAATGAGTCTGGCCAGGTCCCGGAGGCTTTTTGTGTCAATATAACTGCAGGCTCAGACTTTGCTGCTTTGTGCCTGTGAGAGGAGTGTCAGTCACTCCTAATAATGTCATAAAAGTGGTTTTAAATACTAAGAGCCCATTTCCTTTATTTGCATTTTAGGGGTATTTAAATTACATAGCAGTTATTTGAAAGACAAGGTGAATTATTCCACTAAAGCTTTTCCTGAACCCGTTTGCCATTCCCCCCAATCCTGCCCCGACACAAGGGACAGCACAGCCCCCCTAGCCCCCTGCCTTGCTCTAAGAGCACTAAAAATTGTGAAGTTTGGGCCAAAATTCCATGTGCTAAAGGGGTTGGTGCTTTGCAGCATGGGGCTGAGATGTAGATATACATCTATAGCCATGGAGAAGTGCCCAGGGCATGGCTGGCAGGGACACTGCGCTGGGCATTTTGTGCCACCCGCTCTGCTCTGCACCCAGCATCCTGGTTGCACCCAAGCACCAAGATCATGAGCTCAGTGCAGATTAAAACCCTCCGTTTTGCACTTTGCTGGGGTTTCACGCAGCTTTCTGGAATACAAGGCGACCTGTCCAAGGACTTTGAGCATGCTTGGATGGGGCAGAGTTAAGTTTATCCTACAGAGCCAGCCACGCACCCATCTTCTAGCCCTTTCCGGCCTTTTCCCCATTCTAGAAAGGGGATCGGAGGTGTCCCAGCCCATGCAGGTGAGCAGGCAGGATGGGCAGCTGCCCACAGAGCCTCCCATGCACGCAGGGCTTGAAGGAGCATCCCTGCACCCTGTGCATGCACCCATCCAGGCGTGCACACGCGTGTCAGGGCACGTGTTTGCACATGAGAGTGTGCACCAACCCAGCACCACGACATCCCCGCGGGGCTCCTCTAGCACCAGACAGAGCTGGCTGGGGAGCAGCGTGCCCCTCAGCACGCCCCCTGCACCCCACCCTGGATCAGTCCTGTCTGCACCCCCACTTCCCAAAGCCTTTGGACATCGGGTTTCCAGCTCAGCTGCATCCAAAGCGCAGGCAAGAGGACTCCACGGCCCCCCCAGTGCATGCCCCTGGGCACAGCTGGAGGGGGTCCCAGGTCTCCAAGGGGTGCAGATAAGAGGGTGCAGGGGACCGGGCCATGGCAGTGCCAGGCTGGGTGTCCCCCCCATGCTGCTCCTGGCATCCAGCCCTGTGCGTGGGGAGGGGGAGCAGAGGGTGGAGCCTGCACACGGCCAGACCCGGGAGCTGTGACATTCAGGCTGGCAGAGAGAAGGAGCCGTGGGTGCTGGGCAGAGCTGGGGGGACACTGGGAGCAGGTCAGGGCCACCTTCGGGGACCAAGCACCCCCTGAGGGAAAGTGGCTTGAAGGGACCTGGGTACAGGACAGGGCTGGGAAGAAGCAAGGAGAGCAGGGGCACCCCTGGGAGCTGGGGTCCCCCTGGTGCTCAGGGCCATGCAGGAGGATCTGGGCTGGCCCCAGCCCCTCGGGGACTGAGCTGGGACACCCACAGACACGGCACGGGGCTGGCTCCAGCCATGGGGTGCCCGTGGCAGCTCCCCGGCTCCTGCACGCTGCTGCTCCTGCTGCTCGCGATCCCGATGCTTTGGGTAAGTGTCCCCAGGGAGGACGGGGATGGGGAGGTCAGGGGGGCAGTGAGAGTGGCGGGCCCCTGCCTGTGATGACCACCTCGGGGCCCACCAGCCCTGGGGAGCGGAGCACCCGCGGTCCTGGTGGGGTGGGTGACCCCACGGGGTCAGGTGTCCCCAGCGTGTTCCTGTCCCCATCCACATCCCTCCCACTACCTGTCCCCATCCCAGCCAGCTGGCAGTGGGGACACCAAGCTGCACCTGCTTTCACAGGAGCTTCGGGGGGAGGATTTGCTGAAAGGCAGCAGGGACAGGCAGGGAGGGAGGTGACAATGGCAGCACCCCGGGGCTGTGACACCAGCTCCACCAGCAAAGCTCAGGATGGGATGAGATGGTCCAGGGCACCCCCAAGGAGTAAAACCCCGTGTGTCCTGCAGGGTGGCTCCCAGTAACACCATGCTCCCCAAGGACTTCGGGTGACTTGGGGACCAGTGAAGGGGAAAAGAAAGCAAAAAGGAAGGGAACAGAAAGCGAAAAGAAAGGGAAAGGAAGGGGAAAGGAAAGGAAAGGAAAGGAAAGGAAAGGAAAGGAAAGGAAGGAAGGAAAGGAAAGGAAGGAAAGGAAAGGAAAGGAAAGGAAAGGAAAGGAAAGGAAAGGAAAGGAAAGGAAAGGAAAGGAAAGGAAAGGAAAGGAAAGGAAAGGAAAGGAAAGGAAAGGAAAGGAAAGGAAAGGAAAGGAAAGGAAAGGAAAGGAAAGGAAAGGAAAGGAAAAAGAAAGAGAAAGGTGTCAGAGGGTGCTTTGGGGCTTTATTAGGAGAGCGATGGCATCAGCTTGTTTCTCACATGGGGAAACTGGGGCACGGCGCAGGGTTGGCTCTGAAGGGAGCACAATCCTGTACCTGCTGTGGTGCTCCAAAGTCCTGTGAGCTTTCTCAGTGTTTTGCACAACGGCCACCACCAAAATGCATTTTGCAGGCCAGGAATTTCCTTGCATATTTTGCATTCAGCAGCAAAAGGAAACGAAACTTCCTGGAGGAGGCGAAGGGGCTGCAAGAAGCAGCCTGGACAGGGCAGGGAGGACAGGGCTTTAATTCCCATTTGGTCCATTTGCCCATCCTCATGCATCCCCTGCATTTTTGGGAGCCACGGGGTGTGCTTTTCACTGTCTCATCACTCCTGCTAACAAAACTAAAACCTTGAAGGAGGAGGGCGGGGGAAGGATTAGCCATGCCTGAATAGGTGTTTTTTTAAATCTTTAATTACATGGTTCTCTTGCATCTGTCCTGCTGATGGGGTCGGCCCCTCTCTTTTTAAAGCCTCTGCACGGCGTGTGCATCTGGGCAGAGCGGTGCCCTTAAGCATCACTTGCTTTTGGAGGGAATTAGAAATAATTGCGGCGGTTCTTTATGATGTTTACAAGTCAAACAGTAGAAAGCTAAGGAAATGTCAGGATCTGAAAGCACAGCTACGTAGATAGGCTCTCCTGGGGCTGGCTGCAGTAGAAATAGCGAATATCGGCTGGTTTCCTTCCTAGTCAGGCTTTTTAATGCCCGGCGTCCTGCCGTCTGTGCATTCCCTCCCCAAGGTGCGAGCAACGCATCCCGACTGCTCTGTCGTCCTCTATTTCCAAGAGCAAGAGGCTGAGTGCTTGGAGATTATCAAGAGTGAAAGCCGAAATCCAGCCCCCCCCACCGCCCACGGGCAGCAAGGTGAGCACAGCCCTCCCCACACGCAAGCACATTTTCCTAGGGACAAAGGGGAGGATGTGCTATGGAGGGCTTTGGATGAGAGTCTACGGCAGAGGGGTTGCAGCATCCTTGCAGAACCCCAAAATGTGCTGCTGCAGGGAAATGGGGGCTGAGATGGCACCTGGGGGGGTATGGGTGGGCAGGGAGCTGCAAACAGCCACAGGGGCTGAGGCCACCCACATTGCGTATGGCATGTGCAATAAAAGGATGGCATAGTTCTGCCCCAAACAGATCATCCTGCCCTGGACCTGCCCCAGACCGAAGTAGAGGCATTGGGCACGGGCACCGCAGAGTCCTGGTCCCTGCCACAAGCATCGCACAGCATGGCGCCCCTTCTTGCCTTGCTAATTCAGTTAGTTTCAGTGCAAAACATGTTTTGAGCAACTTAATTTTTACATATCCGGGACTTTTAAACTGATTAACTAATTGAAGAAAAAAAAAGAAAGAAAAAAAGGAAAAAAATAAAGTGCTGCTTTTGTACATTACTTTTTTTTTTTAACTGCATTTCAATTTCCATCCAAGAGCAGCTTGGCTCAAATTCTGGATAAAAATTATCACCTAGTGAATAAGAAATGCGTCATTCAATGGATCTCATCTAATACAAATGTAAAAATGAAGCATCTCAATAAATGCATGTTAAGGTGCATAATTGCATAAGTAACTGTGCAGAGATATAACGTATCCTCCTGCTTAGCAGGGAAAAGCCAAGTTGATTGGAAAAGGTCCATTGTGCAGCCCAGATCGTGCCAGCCAAGGAGAAAGAATCTAACTCTAGGAAAATAACCAAGAGGCGCAATTAATTAAATTCAGTGTTTAATCCCAAGTTTCCTGCTTGGCTGCAGCCTCCACTGCCCACCTGAACTGAATTTTTCCCTTCCCTTTGCTTGTTGGTGCCACCATGGGGAGTGTCCTGCTGAGAGCTGGCATAAAGTGCTGGGGGGATGCTGTCCTGGGCATGGTAGCAATATAGCGAGCACCAGGACAGGGACCTGAAGCTTCAGCATCATGCTGGGGAACCCAGCTTGAAACCTGCTTAGAGATCACTTTTGCAGTGCTTTTTCTTCTAAGTACGTGGTACTTGTGGTGTTCACTGCAGTGAGGTGTTTGGAAAGAAACCACCACCCAGCAAGGCTTCTGCAGATCTCCAGATGCCAGTCGGAGCAGCACAAAATAGGGCACCAGCCCTGGCACATCCGCATACAATTAACCAGTGGAAATGCTGAGCTGTAACTTCCCATCAACTAGCATTTTGATGGAAAAAAGCTCCTTTCTGCCATATCAAGAAGAACACCATGAGGATAGTGTTTTGCTAAGGGAAGTTTCAAAATCTGATGAACTAGGGTGCTTTGGGGCAACCCAAACCACAGCCGTGCGCTTTGGCTGGCGGCAGCCTGGGGACAGCATGCGGAAGTGGTGGCTCCTGGGGACAGTGTGGGGACACCAAAGCCACAGCAGCCTCCTGCAGGCATAGGCAGGTTTGCAGAGATTCGCTGCTGGTTTTTCTGCTCAGTTTTTTGCTCTGTCCCTGCAGAAGTTGCCTCCATCACCTCTTCTCCATGGGAACGTTTTGCCCATTCTCCACAGTGCTTAGAAATGCAGTGTTTTGATTTGTTGTTGTTGTTGTTGTTTGTTTGTTTGCTTGTTTTGTTTGTTTGTTTTGTTTTGTTTTGTTTTGTTTTGGATTCTGCAACAGCCCAGGCAAACAGAGTGGGAAGAGGGATTTAAACCTTTCCCCCTGATCCCAGCGCCTTTATTCCCTGCAGAGCTCCTCTGGTTCCTGACCAGGCATCTCACAGCTCTCACCACTGCATACAGCAAAAGATGCCTTTATACAGTGGGGCAGACACATCCAGATGCTCTGCACCAACTCCTAAAAACAAAGCAACCCCTCTCAGCAACAGTCCCAGCAGATGACAAATGAAGACATACCTCAGTGCTGTAATGCCAGCCCTGCAAAGCCCTCCAAGCCTGGCCAGATACCCCCAGCCCACCCCGCTGAAATCAGAGAAAACTAATTAGATGTGTCTGAGTCCCCGTTCCCTGGCTGGGAATAGCTGTAGCTCCAGGTTAATAATGTGTATCTCCAAGGTTAATCACGTACGTGTGCAAGGAGGGGAGCTGTCCTGGACGTGTGTGTCTGTGTGTCTGTTAGTGCTGCAGCACTAACTCTTCAAGGCCCTGCATCTGCTCCACTGTGCTCCTTTCCAAAGTGATTTGGGAGTCATTTAAACCCTGGATTAGTGCTAAAGAGGGGAGCACAATGTGGCTTAGCTAATTATCCTCCAGCAAGTCTAGTGGTGCTTTCTCCTTTCTTCCTCCTTCCTCCCCTCTCTCTGCCTCATCCCCTCCTCTGTCCTGGCAACTTTTTTGCAAGTTCTTAGAGGAAGGAGCACTTCTGGTGGCCCTGCTGCTCCTGGTGTGGTGGGAGCCTCCCCAAGGGCATCCCATATAGAAATGAGGCTGCTGACTCCCCCAGGACCCTCCAAATCCTCCCCTGTCGCATCCCCTTCACCAGACAGGACTTACAGGGGTGGCACTTTGCGCCCTCCCTGCAGTAGAAATTCAGCTCAGGAAACCTGCGTTATTTCAGGTGCCACCAGGGAGTTCCCAGCCCTTCCCTGCACCCCTTGGGTTGTTCCCAGAACTGGGATGCTCCCGGTTCCTGCCGGGTACAGCAAGACATGGTGATGGCCAGCCGGTCCCCGCTCTCCCATTACAGCCATGCCATGTTTTTGTGGGGCTGGGGGCTGTCCCCTCCCAGCACGTCCCCTGATCATCCCGTCCCTTCCCAGGCTGCCAGACGGCGTGGGACGGAGTAAGCTGCTGGCCAGCTGTGCCCGTCGGTCAATCCCAAGCCGTCGCCTGTCCCGACATCCTGCACGTCTTCAAGAAGTCCAAAGGTGCGGGGCTCTGAACCCAGCCCCAGATGCTCATCCCCACTCGCACAGATCCTGATGCCTCCCTAGCCCTTTCCTCCGGTCCCACAGCTCCAAAACACAACCCAAGGGGGGGGTGGATGAAAGCAGAGACACAGGGTGCTGCCACACCAGGGATATCCCCAAGCCCTCTCATCACCCAGTGGATACTTTCCCTTTTGGGCAGAGCATTTGGGGGGCATTATCCTCCAGCTGTGTGGCACCGGGCCAGTCCCCCAGCTGCTTGGTGCACTTCTTTCTGCATCTGCAGACTGGACTAATGCACCTGACATGCTCAGTACTGCCCCGAGCCGCACTGGTGAAAAATATAGCACAGAATCATGATTATTTCAGGGCCAGAGCAGGCGCTGCTGCCCTGGGAGCAGCTGCCTCCATCCATCTCGGAGGCAATGAAGTGCAAAGGAAAGCACCTGAATGGCCACCAGGTGCTCCCTTGGCTGGGTGTAATTGAAAAGGTGATGGAGGGTTGGTGAATGCTTGCATTAGGGGAAAAATGAAGAAAAAAAATGCTTAGGGGAAGCTTGATGAATGGAGAAGTCCCCATCCACCCTTCCTTCCCTCCTACTGTGGGTAGTGACGCTGGTTTTCGTGCCCTGCCCTGCCCTGCCAGCACAGCACTGATGGGATGTGCTCGTGCTCCTGTAGTGCCCACCACCCCCCGCTGCCAGTGCCACCACGCTGGTGGACAGTCCTCCTGGGAAGTGATTTAGGCACCATCCCGGAGTTCAAGGTGTGGGTGGATGTTTTGGGGGTGCTGGTGCAGAAGCCGGGGCTGGCACGAGGGGCGATGGTGCTCTTGTGAGGTCCTGTCCTGCCACTGCAGCGCTGATCCAGAGGAACTGCACCGAGGCAGGATGGAGCCTCCCCAGCCCACCCTACTACAACGCCTGCGAGCTGGAGGACATCAGGAGTGGCAACGACACTGAGGCCAAGGCAAGTGGGTCCCATGCTGTTGGGGTTATTTTGGTGGCCTCATCCTTGTCACTTGTGGGGATCAGAGCTTGTTTGCATGGTTGCAAAAGGCAAAGGCTTCACCATCTCCCTGCCCATGGCAGATGAGCCCCCCAGCCTGTGCCACCTCATTCGTTTGGTGCTTTCCCTTCCAGAAAGGCTACTTTGTCACCATGAAGGTGCTTTACACCTGCGGCTACTCCACATCCCTGGCAGCCCTGTTCCTGGCCATTGGCATATTCTCCTGCTTCAGGTAGGGCTCGACGCTGGCTGCTCTGTGAGCTGGACCTGGAGGCAAACCGTGAGCAGAGGATGGCTGCTCTCCACCTCTCCCCTCCCGGTGCTGCCAGCACCATCCCTGCACCACGGATGGCCAGGGACAGACAGACATAAAACCCTCAGGCTGCCCTTTCTTCTCCTGCCTGGACACGGTGCATCTCTTCCACCCATAGGAAGCTGCACTGCACCAGGAACTCCATCCACATCCACTTCTTCACCTCCTTCATCCTGCGTGGGGCTGCCGTGTTCATCAAGGATGCTGTCCTCTTCTCAGACGAGTCCATTGACCACTGCACAATGTCAACGGTGAGGTGCTGAGCCTTGCACAGGCACTGCGTGTGCTGGTCTGGAGGGGTCTGGCTGCATTTGCAGCAGATTTAGCACTGCAAAGAGGGACACAGAGGCTGTGAGGATCTCTGGAAAAGACTCGGTGGACCTTGGGAGGTTCACAACAGCTTAGCTGGATGGGCCCTGTCTGCGAGAGAACATGTTCTTGCCCTCAGAGCCATCTCTGGTCTCCAGCAGAGCTGTAGCTCTGCACAACCCCAACAGAGCTCACGTGCACACAAACCTTGCAGCTCCAGATGTGCAGGTTTGGGGTTGCCAATAAGAACAGAAAGGACACAGATACGACATCAAGGACACCCACAAATACAGGTTTCTAAAGGTCCTACAATAACTGCATAGGCCATGGGCCAACCTGTGCGAGGTGCCAGGCTGGAGCATTGCAGCATCCCTGGGGCTGCACTAGAAGGGCACCACGGGTCTCCTTAAGCAGGCAGACGGGAGGCCAGCCTGTCCCCTGTATCCTCGGGATGGGGTCTGCCTCCCAGCCAGCACCACTGAGCTTTTCTCCTCCCAATCCTCGCAGGTGAACTGCAAAGCAGCCATCGCCTTCTTCCAGTACTCGGTCCTGGCTAACTTCTACTGGCTGCTGGTGGAGGGCATGTACCTGCAGACCCTCCTGCTGCTCACCTTCACCTCCGACAAGAGTTACATCTGGTGGTACATCCTCATCGGCTGGGGTGAGTGTGCCCCCCCCCAGCACATCTGCCCCTTCCAGTGAGGTCCCAGCAGCGCAGAACCAGGCAATCACTGATCCCAAGATCATCACTGATCCCCAGCCATCACCCAGATGGCTCCACTGGTACCAGACATAGAGACTTCACAGCATCTGCTGCCCACCCATCCTGCATGTGATCGGGATGGGGCACAGACAAATCCTTCCCACTCCCCTCCTGTATCTGGGTGCTGCAAACAGCCGTCCCGAGAGCCAGGTTGGGTGTAGGAGCTGGCAGGAGGGTGGCCAGGAGGTGACACACACACATAGGTGCAGCACCATCAGTGGCCACCATCCCATTCTAAAACTTGAAGGAACCCTCCTGCCACCTCCAGGGCCTCAGGCCTGGCTCTGACATAGGTTTGGAGGGACAAGGGATGGAAGGAAGGTGCCCAGAGCCCTGTGGTGATGCCACATCCCTGCCCGGGTCCTGTCCTTGCAGGTGTCCCCATGCTGACGGTGTGCGTGTGGGTGGCCACCAGGCTGCAGTACGACAACCATGGGTAAGTGCAGACACCCCCCTTCTTCCTCTGGGTCAGCTTGACCATGTGTCCCCTGTGCAAGTCCAAGGGGACAAACCTCTTGCGTGGGAGGCTCAGGAGGGGAGAACTGGGGCAGCAGTTTATTGTAATGCTCGTTCTGTTTTCTGGTGGGGCACAAAGACACCCATGCCAATGGGGTGAGGGGCTGGGACCTGGGCTAAAAGGGAGCGCGTGGGTTTGTTCTCCTCTCCCACAGCTGCTGGGATGACTACACCAGCCGGTTCTGGTGGGTGATCAAGGCTCCCATCCTCCTGGCCATATTTGTGAGTATGTCCCCACTCCAAGCATCCCAGGGGGCCTAGATGGATGCGGGGACCCAGCTGGGGCTCTGTGCAGATCCTGAGCCAAGGCTTCCATGGCAGGTGAACTTCCTCATCTTCCTCAACGTTACCAGGATGTTAGCACAGAAGATAAGGTCCCCAGACATCAGCAAAAACTATAAGCAGCAGTACATGTGGGTACACAGCTCAAGCAAAGGGCAGCTCCCCTCACCCTGGTATTCAGGAGGCCCCGGGGCTCCCCGAAGGAAGGACCATCCCCGGGGCCCCCGGGCCGCTGTGACCACCCGCACTCAGCCCCACTCACGCCATCCCTCTCCGCAGGAGGCTGACCAAGTCCACGCTGCTCCTGATCCCCCTCTTCGGGGTGCACTACGTGGTGTTCGCGCTCTTCCCCGAACACATCGGTGTGGATGCCCGGCTGTACTTTGAGCTGGTCCTCGGCTCCTACCAGGTGCAGATGGGGGAGATGGGCAGGTGAAATCCCAAGGTACCCATCCCATCCCATCCCATCCCATCCCATCCCATCCCATCAACACCAGGAGCCCACAGGATGTGCTGCTGGGGCTTGCGTTCAATCCCATACCTGTGCTGCCCTCAGTAAGAGGCACAGTGGGCGCTAAATGTAGGCAGCAGATGAGCGTAGAGGGGTCTGGCCCCTTCTCTTGGGTGGAACATGTTCTTTCTGTGCTTTCCAGGGGTTCCTGGTGGCTCTGCTGTACTGCTTCCTGAACGGGGAGGTGAGTGTCACCCCCATGGCATGCACAGCACCCACCCCTGAGCACCACTGACTTGCACGTGGGCACACAGACTCCCCCAGGGGCTCACTCCAATGTGCATCACATGTGTGCAGCCGTGCCTGTGTGCGCACACGGGCACACAGACAGGCACAGGGTCCCCTCTTTCTTGCACTCCGACTCCACCCTTGATTGGGGTGCAGCTCCCACCCCTCTGCAGAGTGATGGTGGTGCCCCTGGAGCCAGCACCAGTCCATGCTGTCGCTTCAGGTCCAGGCTGAGATCAAGAGGAACTGGGGCAAGTGGCAGTCGTCCATGGAGAGCAACGTCTTCAACCTGGCCACCCAAGACTTCACAGCATGACAAGGATGGCGTCTGGGGGGAAATTTCTCCCTGTGGATGGTGGTGGTGGTGCAGCTCCATGAGTACAGCCCCAAGAACCACAGTAAAAGGGGATTTGTAGGTTCTGGGTCTTGCACCTTCAGAGGCTGATGTGAGCAGCCCATGGGGAAAGGCTCTGCCCACTTGGGTGCTGGTGTCTGTGGAGGCTTCTTACTGATACGTGCTGGGGTCTCACCTACCCAGAGCTCCACGTGCAATTCACTCAGCAAGGCAAAGCATGCTTCTCCTCCTTTTCTGCCCTGGGGCTGGCTAGGAAACACACATATTTTAAAAACAACATCTGGCATTTTTCATTTGTCACCAGAATGGAAACTGAAGTGGCCCCAGTGCTGAAGGGATTTACCAATGTTTTTTCCCTCCCTCTTTTATTTACAAAATCATTTCCCTTAGGGGAAGATGCCTAAACATAGCCCCTGGCAGCCATGCTGGGGGTGGGAGAAGCAAATACAAAGACAAACCAAACCCAACAGCTCTACAATCCCCCAGTGCTCCCATTACTCACATCCTCCCCGTATTTCTGAGATGTTTCCCCTATTCCCATGCCTGCCACTTCGGCCACTCAGTGCCCAGCACCAGAGGGATGGGATGGTTTGCCAGGAACTGGTGGGCATTTGCCGATAAAATCTTATTCTGTAATCCAGCACTGCTTTTCAGAGGCTTGTTTGCTGCACAAACCCAGACCACAAACTCAGTGCCAAGCTTGCTAGCTGATGGAAACCCTGCCGTCAATGGTAACACCTGGAAATACCTCTGGAGAACGAACATCTGTTTTTTGTATGTCTGGTAAAGCGTCCAGGCTCTGGGCGAGGGACAAGGGATAGAGAGGACACAGCAGGACCACAGGAGGGATGCGGCTGGGCTGGGCTGGGGGTGCCAGTGTGCCATGGCCTGCAGGCATCAGCTCTGCCCGGCGTCCCCTCCAGGCAGAGTTGCCCCCATGCCACAGCCTGTCCCATTTGCCCCACAAGCAGCCCTCACTTGCCCCACGCTAAGCTCCTGCCTTGGCAAACAGCATCTCCAGTAGCAAGAAAGGCCTCGGATGCCCTTTCCCAAACCTCCCCCAGCCGCGCTGCTTTCCTGAGACCCGAGCCATCCGATCTCGTCAGAGCCTCTCAAGCTTCCCGGGTTGTAATTTCTCCACATAGCCACATGTCCTTCCTTAAATAAAACCCACGTACTGGCCCCTTTCCAGACTGCCGGATCTCCAGAGATCCTGCCTGCTCTCACGAAGAGGCATTGAGAAGGAAGCAGAGCCCCAGACCTGATTTGAGGTGAGATGGAGGATGCTCCGTTAACCAGCCCCACGGGCCAGCAGCATCCTGCCTCGCCAGCCAGGAAACCTCCTGAGGGGTACAGCAGCTGCCAAATAAATGCCTGCCTGCAGCCGCCAAGAGACCGCAGGTGAATAAACATCCCTCTCCATCATTAGCAAGGAAGATGAGGGCAGGGAGAGGAGGGAGACAGATTGCACCAGGGCTGGGGATGCTCGGAGGGAATGTCACCATTGCCATAAAGCTTTGAAAAGCACTGGCTTTTGCATGCGTTTGCAGCTGCGGATGGGCCCTTTTTGGTGCTAAACCTGCACCCCAACTCTGGGGGAAAGCCACTCTGGGGCTTGCTGGGCATCGAATCTATGGCATCCCAGAGCACAGTGGTGCCCACAGAGGCAGGGCTCCACCTTGAGTACGGGGGGAGGGGGGGGGGGGGGGGGGGAAGGCTGATGTGACCCTGCATCAGAGACTTTGTGACAGGTTTGCAAAAAGTTTGCACAGGTTTTGTGTCTCTACCTGCATCGTGCCCTATTACTTCGGATTAGGGGGCTGTCCTCCGGCTAGTGGGCCACGCAGTGGGGTGTCGCAGGAAGCGGCCACCCATCGCCCACCCATCGCCCACCCGTAGCCCACCGTGCCCTGGGGGTGCGGCCGGGGGGGTGCTGGGTGTGGGGGGGTGTTTTGTCTGGAGCCGGTGGGTGGCACTACGGCCCCGCTCCGCGGGCACTGACACCGGATCCCCGGGACAGCCCCGAAGGCAGCAGCGGCCCCGCAGCCGCCCTCTGGCAAGCTCGGCTGGGGACCCCGGGCTCCAGCACCAAGGGACCCTACAGGCAGGAAGGTAAGGGGCCTCGCCGCTTCGGGGGAGCAGGCAGCCAAGCCCACACATGTCCCAAGGCTTCAGCAAGATTTGGGACCCTTCTGCCCGCCCCTCTTCGCAGCGACGGGGCTCGGGGAGCTGTGCCTTTGCCTGTAGCTTCTTCCCCTGCTCGCATCCCTGGATCTGCCATGGGATGCCAGGCTGCACTGCTTGGGCACGCCAGGGTGCCCCGCAAGGTGCCCATGCTGAGGGTGCCCCCAGTGCTTCACCCGCTTCTTCATCCCCACTCTGGGATGTGCCCAGTTCTGTGGTGTGGGGACTTCGCCCTGCTGCTGCAAGTGCCCCTTCCCCATGGGTTGGATCCTGCCAAAGCTCAGCCCCGCAGAGTCCTCACAGAGGCAGCAAGGATCTGGTGGTACAGGAGGGTCAGGATGCACCCAGCACCGGCTGCTTGGGGGGAGCTGCAAGCAAAAGCACCTCAAACACCCAGGCACTGCCCTTATCCCACCCTGTCACCCCAAAGGCACTTCTGCTGCTGGTTTTGCACCCACATTAGTGTCACGGGCACCCCAGGCACCTCAAGCTCCCGTTCTGGTTGCAGAGATGCAGCCAATCTATGCAGGCAGAGCTGTGCTCTCCTGCATGCCCAGTGCCCTGCTGAGCACCCCAGGGTGCCCCCGGCTTCCCGGAACATATCCTGGAGTTCTACCTTTGTATGCCCTCCACCAAGTTTGCTCTAGGCTGTATGCAAAGCAAAACACCCCATGCAGCTTGTAGGGGCTTCCCGGTGGTGACAAGGTTGGGCTCGAGGCAGCTGAGGGCTGGGAAGCTGACGGAACCACCAAGCATCCCCCAAATACCCTGCTACAGCCAAGAGGGCAAGCGGAAAGTCCCCAGAGCCACAGAGGGGGGACGGCCCTGTCCCTGCCCTCCACCACCAGATGCACTGGTTTTAGCAAACTCCTCAGAGCAAAGCTCTTCACCACCTCCTTCCTCTGGCTTTGGCTGCTCGCTGATTTTGGGAAACTCGCTGCTGGGTGATTTAGGACAAGGTAAGCATCAGAAGGGTGGCACAGAGCTGAGGTGAGTCCCCTCACAATGGTGAGGGGACTCACAATGGTGAGTCCCCTCTGGAGCAGGCTGGGTGGTCGATGCACCCCAAAAGGGATGAACCTTGTGAGATGAGCACAGACACCCCTGCACCTTCCTCCCTGCCCTGGGTGCCCGCTGTGTCCCCCATTCATCCCCCCAAAACATGCAAAGAGCACCCAAAAGCCCTATCATGCAAGGCAGGGCAAGATTCCCTTTAACACTGTCCCTGATCTGGGTATGACCTGCAGGTCTGGCACAGCATGCAGCAGGGGACACGGAGACACAAGACGTGATGGTGCTGAAGCAGGGCAAGCCCAGCACTGCAGCCGCCGTGGGGTGGATGTGGTCCTGGGCACCCTGCTCTGGGTGGCAGCAGGGGTTGGAGCAGAGGGACCCAGAGGTCCCTGCCAGCCTCGAGCACTTGGCACTGTGGTTTGTGGGGTGCTGCTGGTGCTGTGGTTCTGTGCGGCTCGTGTGGGGCAGGAGCTGGAGCCCCCAGAGCAGAGAGGAGGAGCTGAGGCCAGTGCTGGGTGCTGTGTGGCTGCAGTAATGCTGCCAAAGGGCTGCAGATGATGTTGGCAGTGGGGTTGGCACCGTGTCCCGTCCCCCCGTCCCGTCCTCCCCCTCGCCTTGCAGTTGTCCCGCTGCACTTTCCAATTGCGCGTCACTTTTGGGAGAGGTGAGGAGGTGCTGGCTGGGGTCCCTCGCCACCTCCCCATGCCCAATTTGGGGCTAGAGCAAGCCCGAGGCCACCTCAACATCTGGCACATCCTGCTGCGCTGCTGGGGACATGCCGGGTGGCCACGTACCCAGCTCGGGGCATGGTCGGCTGGCTGTGGAGCACGGAGGGGGGGTCCGCCGGGCGATGCAGACGCCGCCACCCCCTTGATTGGCGCTGCCGGGGACGAATGCCACAGCTGAGACGTTGGAGGCTACCTGAAGGACCCTGCATGTCCTCAGGTTTCACTCATGACCATCTGACAGCAGCAGCAGCTGCTCTGCCAACAGGCACTCACGGAGCCAAAGCCTCCAGGAGTCGAAGGAGAAGGAAAATCTGGCCCCGAAAGGTCTCTCCTTGGGATTTTGCTCTTTTCACCCAACGGTAAGTGCCGGATCCAGCCCTGGGACAATGCCAGGCCACCGGGCAGGGGCTTGGATGTCCCCAGGTTTCTCTTTCTGGCAGTGCAAGCTAGTGACAGGGTTTCACCGTGGGGACAGCGAAGCCCCCGCAGTCGTCACCATTTCAGAAACTCGGTATTCTGGGGGTTTGGGGTTTTGATCCCCCCGTGCCAAAAACAGTCAGAAGCAGGGGGTAGAGTCCCTAGAAAAGGGCCGGCAGGGTGTGGGGACATGGGTGTCAGCAGCCACCGGAGCTTTGGCAGCTTTATGGGATGAGAGGGGCGGTGGGGGGAGGTGACGGGCCACCCATTTGCGAGCCGCCGGCCGGAGGAAGAAAGCAGTGGGCACGGCTGAAAAGTCACAAGTCGCCTTTCTCCTGGCTTCTCCTGGAGATCTAAATATAAACCTCGGCCTGTCCAAGCCAAGGTTGCAGGAAAGGTCTGCGCAGTGCCTCGCAGTGTCCCCTTTCGGGAAGGCTCCTGTCCCCACAGGGAGGCGGGACGCAATGGGACTCCTCTGCTGTGATACCGGGGCCGCCGTGGTGCAAGGCCATGGCCCCCGTCAGCACACAAACCGGCAGCACCAAGGTGCGACTCAGCTCAGTTTTGGGGTGCAACCCTGCAGCCCTACTGTACGGGGCTCTCATTGCTCATGGGACCACTTTGAAACCCCAGTCTCATTTTGGGGTCAATCCAGAGGCATATAGTCACCCCAATCCCCCCACCCATCCCACTTGGGGGGATCTGGGGCTGATCTGCAGAGCGAGGTCTGCAGGAAAAGGCAAGCATTTCCTCCCCGCCCACCCCGTCACAAGGGGCTGCAGCGAGCAAAACATGCTGCAAAACATTTAATAGCAGCCATGGCAGATGAGCATCACTTGCATAAAACCCCAGGGACAACAGGATATGCCCAGTCAGTCCTCAGCTTTACGGGAAAGGTCCTGCACCTGAGGTTGAACGACCAAGGCTGTGAGCTTCTCCAGTCCATGCTAGGAAAATGCCTGATGTAGCAACAGTTCATGGGGACAGGGCACGTTTATGGGAACTGGGTAGAGCACACAGTGTCCTGCTTTGACTCGGCCATGCTAATATTTGCACAGCACGTGCTGTTTTCCGTGCTGCAGTGTGTACGTAAGGGTCTGGTGAGCATCACCCAGGGCAAAGGGACCCCGTGGAGTGGCTTCATCTCCCGTGGGGAAACTATGCTGGATTTGGGGTAGGAGAGAAACGGGCAGCAGGGAATGATGCCCTGAGCAGCATTGCCTCTGTGTTCATCAGGTTGCGCTAATGAGGTTGTTTTGTTTGGGGACAGGAAGGAGATCCTTTGGTGTAGATGAGGAAAGAGGAATATATATATATATATATATAAATATAAATATATACATATACATATATATATATAGGAGGTATGGGGGTCTTATGGGGGAAAATGGGCATCCTGTGGGATGCTGCAGACACCCCAATATTGCAAACCCCACATGAGCACCAGCCTGGGAACCTGCTCCCAGCACTACTCACCGGTGACCCCGGCATTTTGGCTGCCTGTACACCCGCAGGCAGCAGCACGGCGCCGAGGTCCCCTGGTGAAGATGGGGGTCCCCGATCCCACCTCCACCCTCCCTTCCCCCCCACCGTCCCCTCTCTGCCTTCATTGCCGCCATGCCCAGATCTTTTCCGAGGCTGACATGGGAGCTGCTGGCAGGGCCGGGAGGGAGGAGCAGGGCTTGGATGTCACCCGAGTGCCAGCAGTGGGCAGGGGGCAAGCGCAGGGTCCCCGCTTTAACCCTTCCCAAGCCTGCACCACAGCCAAATACCCCAAATAAACCCCAGCGGCCACCCATCCCTGGTCTCCCCTGTCACCCCCCCCTTGGGACGAGGTGACAGCCCTGTTCCCCTCTCCGGGCAGGACAGGGTTAGCGCGAGTTGCTGCAGGATGTTGCAACCTCCTATTTCCATCTGCGGCCAGGAGAATATCCGAGGACTTCACAGCTTCCAGCCTATGCGTGTGCCACCCCCACCTCCAAGTACACCGAGGTACCCTTGGGGGTAAAAAGGCATTAAAGTGCCCGTGTTCATGTAAATCCAGGTCAATAGCGACTGGTGAATATCATAAAATTAATTTCCACGCGGCTCATGATGCCAGGTGTGGGAGCAGAGGCAGCTCTGTGGGGGCAGATGGAAGGGGAGAAGTGGTGCAGGTGCCCTGTGCTATCACAAGGGTTGCATGAGACCCTGAGCAAGACAGATAAGCAAAAATCTGCCACGCTTTCTTCCATTTTAGGGTGGGTTAGGAGAAATGGCTGGATAGGGTTGGTCTACGTGAATCCCATATGGGGAAGGGCAGAGCAGGGGCTCAGCCGTGGTCCCAGGGGCTGGTGGTGGCATGCCGAGCACCACGACTTTGGGTCCCCAAAGCCAGCTGGGGAGGACAGGGACCCCTTCGTGAGCAGCTGGCGAGCAGCACCCTGGATGCATGTGCAGGTGGCAGGTGGCATGCAGGGCAATGTATCATGTCCTCCAAGCAAAGCTGGGGAGTCCTTGTCCCAAAGTACACCCCGAGGCAGCAAAGAAAAGATCTCACCTGCAAATCCAGCCTTTGGTGCATGCAGCTGTACCAGCGATGCCAGCACTGCTTTAACAGGCGGTGAGAGACCTCAGCTGGTCTACACCGGGCTGGGGGACCGCAGTGACGCCGAGGAGCAGAAACTGGCTGCAGTATCACTGTCTGTCTGTCCTGACTTGGCAAAGGCATTTGTCAGCACCAGCCTCGCTTGTTTTCCAAGGGCAGCTTTCCACAGACCAAGCCCTTTTGCTCAACTTCGGGCAAATCACAGCCTGCAGCACTTCACCCAGCTCCCCAGCATGATGGATGCTGCTTGGAAGCATCCTGCATTCCTGCATTGCCAAATATACTGAGTGGAGGGTAAAAAAATATGGTGGGGACAACAAGCAGCACTGGGAGGGTGATGTTCATGGGGACCATCAAAAACCTCAGTAATGCATAGTTTAATGCTGGCAAAAGAGGGATTATTTTCTTTCTTGCTCTCCAAGCCTGCCGAGCCTGCCACCATTTGAAAGCAGAGCAGGGGAAAGGATTTGTGTTATTCTTTTTATTTGTTTTACTGGTGTTACTTGATTGTAATTAAGCCTTAACATCAGCTCCCTTTAAAGCAGGGCAGTCTGAGAACTGTGAGCTCACAGTGGGCTGAGAAACACAGCAGCAGAGGAGACATGGTGACCCACAGCAGGGTCGGACAAATCGTTTGCTTGCAGAAGAAAAACTTGGAGACTTCGCATATCTTCCAGATAGGCTTTGCAAAGTAGTTACAGCCAAGCATTAAGGCATGACCATATATCTGGGGTAGTAAACATCAGACTCTTAAATAGCATGTTATCGTCTTACAGAAAGGAACATAAACTTGTTTATAAAATGGCTAATTTCGTCTGGCACAACTGAGCGGTGTTTATCCTAGTTGCTGCTAGAAACTCATATAATCTCAAACACACTAATGCAGCTCCAGGCCCTGCTCTGTGTGGCGTTAAATCACCCATGCGCGTGACTTAAAGCAAAGCTCTCCACCCCCAGTGCTATCCCTGGGCAAAGAAAAACCACTTCACTTCAGATTTTTCTCAATTTTACCCACTGTTTTTTCCAAATCTCAGGGAAAATACAGTGGGAAGTAAACACCCCGCAGGACTTTCTCAAACCGTGACATCCCTAAAACCATTCCTGAAGGTGTTGGGTTTTTTTGTCTCCAACCATCAAGCTTTGCAACAAGGAGCCATGTCACCCTTTGCACTCAGACATCCCCAAAAAAAGCTTAAATGTCCCCAAGCTGAAACAAAACCCACAGCAGCCGATGGCTTCGCCATCCTCGCACACGGCTCCTGACTCCCGCTGCGTCCCAGCCTAAACCAAGCAGAGTTTGGGAATGTTTGTATGTGGCCCTTCTGCCATACCCCATGGTCCCTCCGCTGAGCACAGTGGTGTAATGAGGTGTGAAAGGCAGCAGGGGACAAGGACACAGAAACCTCGGGTATTTAATCCTCATAAAGTCTGTGGCCATATAAATGCTGTTGTGACAGCATGGAGCATCCATGTCCTTGGGCTCGATCTGAGCCAAATAGGTTTTTGTGGGACAGCAGTGGGTATCCCAGCCCATGGGATTTTATTTTTTAAAGTTAAACCCTGGATTAACGCACACAGGGTTGGAGAGGGGAGCGGCTATGTGGGTTTGAGCACACAGGATGCCCACCTGCTGATTCAGAGCCTTCCATCTCCAACCTGTGGGCAATGTGCATCCTTGCCTTACAAGCTCCATTTGCAGCAGATTTTGTGGCTGAGAACCTGTCCCCAAGCCATGACTCATCCCCGAGCCCATTGCTCCCAACTGGGCCCAGCTGCATCAGCTGCCTCACCCCGACTTCCTCACAGGGATAAAAGAGTAAGGGGTGGGTAGGGCCAGCTTATCCTGCTTGCAGGCAGCTGCTGGATGCTCAGCTGGTGGAAGTGAGGTCTCCAATGAGGTTTTGAGGTGCAGGCAATGAGGAGGGTGGTGCTGCAGGGTTGGGCACATGGGGGGCTTGGGTTGTGTGCATGGCAGGGTCTGGGGTCTGCTTTCAATCTCACCCAGCCCCTGAGCTGCTGGGTGCTGGTGTATCTGCCCATGTGTTAACTTCTCACAGCTACTGTAGCAGCATGGGGGCTGTTAGAGCTCTCCTGGACCTGGCTTTGGTGCATGTGCTAATTGTTCTCCTGTTAATCCCTGCTGCGGGGTGTGCTCCCAGTGTTATGCACGGCGAGCACTTGGCAGAGCATTGCCTTGGTGAGTGAAGCTGATTTACACTTGTTGGTGAGTGGTTGTTTCCCATCTTGGACTTATGGCTATATCAGCCTCTTTTGAGGTCTTTCCAGAATGCTTCTTATTAAAGAGGATGATACCTGACAGCAGGCCTGTGGACAGGTAAGGACAGGTTCTCCAGACCCCAATCAATGACTTTGCTGTGGCACAGCAGATCATCATAGGGTTCCTGTGTTGTGGACATCCCTAGAGATGGACCCTCATGGCAATGGTGCCTCCACTTGAGATGCCCCAGTCCTATCTCTGTGCCTTAACTTGGGTGCCCGGTCCTGAGCACGAGGGAGAACCAGTGCATCCCTCTGGGCTTAGCAGGCTGGTTCTAAGGTACGGGGAGCTCTGGCATTGCAGGTGCTCTCCCAAAACAATGCCATGGGAGATGGGCTGAGCAGTTCTGTGTCACCTGCAGCCACCTGTCCATGCACAGGCCCACATAGCAGTCAAGAAATTCCTTCCCCTCTTCCTCGGCCCCCAGGAGGCTATTTTCTGTGCAGGGGTGAAGTGCCAGCTTTGGACAGAGTGGCTGTCCAAGCACGCTGACTGCTCACCCTGTTACCCTTCTGTCTGCCTTGATTATCCAGGACCAATTACGCAGCATCTCTGGTAGCTTCCAAACCGCCCCTGTTATTTTGGAGGCTGACTTATTTTTGTGGCCTCAGAGCAGCAGAAAATATCAGAGGAAACTGAGTTTCCATCAAGGCAAAGACTGCATGAAGCTGTTCCCAGTTGCCTGCTGGTACTTGGTGATGCTGAACTGGAGGTGAGATGCTTCTCTGTGGTGACCCATGGTGTTGGACATGGGCAACGTGTCCAAAAACAACACCCAATGAGCTGTGTACATGGTGGCTACTAGGGGTGGGGAGTGGAAGGAGGTTGTTTTTATCCCTGCAGGAGCACTGCAGATGCTCACAGAGGCTTTGGGGTCCCACCAGCCCTGCTAAGCTGGTGCCAAGAAAGGAAAGCATGCTGTTTTTTTTTGTTTTTTTTTTTAAAAAAAAGGCATGCTCCTTAAACCTCAGCTTTAGTTGCTGTAAAGATAGAAAATAGTTTGATAGTTTGAGAGGCTTGCACTTTTTGATAGCTTGGTTTTTAAATATAGTTTAAAAAAAACTTGTCCAGATGGAAAGGAAGTCTTGGTGAGCAGCCTCCTGTTCCCAGCACCTCCATTCTCTGGGGACCCCGTGTCCTGGGCAGGGCTGGGGCTGAGCACCCAGGCCAGTTCATGCCTGGGCAGCGACTGTTGCTGCTCCCAAACCACTTCCACCTATTGGAGGTGCAAAGAGCTGGATCTTGGTTTCTTCTAGCAGTTCATTTCAGGCTGGGATGCACCAGGCGGGGAGCAGAGTCCAGCCCCAATGTTACTCCAGCACCTGGGGGTGGCTGTGTCCCTGGTGTGGTGGGATTCTGCTGTCAGCCCCACACTGCTGTGGGGTTGGGGACCACTGGGGCAGGCCTGCATTCAGCCCCTTCTCTTTTGGAAAGCAGTGACTAGAGGTGGCTCCGTGTGGGAGCTGCAGACCTAGTCCTGCACCTGCTGTCACCCCAGCATCTCTGGACATCCACAAAGGGAACAGTGTGGGTGCATGGGACCAGGCACCACAGAAAAGCAGCTCACAAACGCACAGCATCTTCATGGCCAGAGCAGTATCCCCTCGGAGCCCCTTCTGCTCGGCCCCAGGCCGTGCCGGTGGCCCCAGCATCTCCCCTTGCTCTGCACCCTACAGCTGCGCGTCCCCACTGCTGCGGGCCTAGTTCTCAGGGCCGAAAGTGAAGCCGGTGCCACTCAGCCATGCTCCACTCCTGCGCTGGCTCCTGCCAGGGAGGAATGAGCAGAGTCATGGGGCTGCTGAAACCTGACTCCGGCCCTGATGGCTGGCGGCAGCTGGAGGCCCAGCCACCTCCGCCACACCACAGGCTGGGTGTAGCAAGCGGGGCTGGGGCCTTGCTGCGGGTTTTGGGGGGCAGCACCCATCTGGGGGCCTGGGGATGGGTGGGGAGCAGCACCCGGTATGTTGCTGCCTTGTGGGGCAGCATGTGGCTGAAAGAGCCAGAGCACAGGCATGATCTGTAACGTAGGCTGGTTCAAAGTGCTCCACAAAACCCAGTTTCCAGGGAAAATGAGGCTGGGTACACCAGCAAGCTGCTGTGTCCTCAGAGCCTCCAGGACAAGGGAAGGGTTGGTCCTGCTGCAGCACCCACCAGTGTGTCCCTGGTGGGACCTGGGCTGATTGGAGCCAGATGCAGCCCTGCACCCGCTGGGCTGGCCGAAGGGAATGGAGAGAGCAGGTTTCCAGAGCTGCTCAACAGAGCCTGAAACAGGTCTAAGTTGGGAATATTGCCAGTGTCATAGAGAGGACAATCCAGCAGTGAGTTTCCTCTAACAGATCAATGTGAAAAGCAACAGCGGTGTCCTGCTGCTGTGGGCAGACCCGGTGGCAGAAATTTCCATTTTGCTTGCTTCCATCAGGTCCTAGCCTTGGGCCTGGAGTGGCAAGCCTTTGGTACCTGAGCTGGGCTGTGGTCAGCACCAGGCTGTGTTGGCAGAGGTGTGACTCAGGATATCCTTTGTCCTTTGCAAGGACAACAATTCTCCCCGTATTGAAACGGGTTCAAAACTGAAAATTGGAGCTCTTGATTTCTAAAGGCTGTCCCTTTTCAGCAGCCCAAGGCTGCCTGACAGGCAGCAAGTTGCTCCCATCCCTATACCAGCTGCGTTTTGAAGCTGATTGCAGCCCTGGAGTGCAACCCTGTGGGGGGTAGGGGCTGCTTGGGCACAGTGATGGTGGGGGTCCCTGCCCTTTGGTTGCGTCTCGGGGTGGGCACTGTGCCGCTGCAGGGATCACCAGCCCTTGACAGCAGGAAATCCATTTTGCATGCTAAGATTCAATTCAGCAGCACTAGTAAGGGAGCGTGGCAGTCCCTAAAATGCAGTTATCCACCACAGCTTGAAATCAATACCTCCCTTTGCCTTTGCATTTATCGCTGGGATTTAGAATCAGCAAAAGAATGTGTCGATACTGGCTGTGCACCTAGCATAGCTTTTCCCACCAGAGCTATAAATGTCCACTTCTCATTAATTACAAAGGGCTAGAGGTTTTGGTCTCCCAGCTTTAAGCATGGTTAGAGGTTGGGGGTAGGAGTACTGACACTAATGCTCTTTCAGGGGCAGCTGTCCAGCAGTATTGTGCAAAGCATTGGTGCATGGAAGAGTTGATGCTCAGGGCTCTGCTTGTTAGTGGGATGCTTGTGTAGGGGAGGGTGTGCATCTCCACACCTCACCTTCCCCAGAATATTGGGGCAGTGCTACAGGCAACACTGGTCTTGAATTTCCCTATTTCAGTATGTTGTTTTTTTTGTTTTTTTTTTTAAGCAAAACATCTTAATCTGTAGTTTTCAGATCACTTTTTTTCATCTCTGCACTTCACTTTTTTTTAACAATGGTGAAACCAGAACAAAAAACATTTCCCTCCACCTTCGACTCTGACACTGATATTTTTCAGAAAGCTAATTTTAGTCAACTTCAAGATTCTGGGTGAAACCCCATGAAACCATCAATTTCCTGAAAATTCACCTCTGATGCAAGCTGGTTTTTGTGGGTGCAGCAGGCAGCAAGGTGGAGCTGAGGCAAGATGCTACCAAGCAAGAACATCCCTGGTGCCCAGAAAGCCCTTGCTGGGTGCTACAGCCTCTGGGTGCTGTCACCCATCTGCTCTGCACCTTCTCTCCAATGCTTTTAGTTGCTCTGCTTCTCTGTAGAGCCACCTTATCACTTCCAAATGGCTCATCCTATTCTGGTTTGGAGGGTGGACCTGTGCTAGTGCCACTATTGCTTTCTGGCTCGAGATAACCCTGAACTCCTTGCTGTTGGGCACAGAGCCACAGGTCACTTGTGTGTCCTCGTGGGGATGAGAGCTGTGGAATGGCTGCTGGCCCATGGGACCGGGCTCCTCTGGCTCAGGACCCTCTTGCTCTGAGCTATGCAAGCTGCTTGCATATAAAAGGAAAAACAAAGGGGAAAGAGCAGGGGTGGTGCTACGGGTGCTGGAGGTGTCTGGTCTCATTGAACAACCCTGTCTTGTCTTAAGCTGCACATTGAATGAGTTGGCTGGTACCAGGGTTGCAGCTGTTCGGCTGGTGCAGTGCCCTGAGAAGTCCCATGAGATAGTGCCTCATGGTTGGATCTGTGTGGAAGAAATGGAAAGGGTGCCTGCAGGGTGTGTGTGTCCATCTACGTGCAATCCATGCATCTTTTTTTATGATTACAACAGTTCTGGAGCTGCTGGCTGAAATAAAGCCACCTGCAGAAGCCCACTGAGGTCTTGCCACCATCCAGCTTCAGTAGCCAAGTCTCTAAATGCCCTCCACATAGCACCACCCAGCATCGACCCCTCAGCCCACCCTCTCCCCAGCAGGCCGAGCGCAGGTGTCCTGCGAGCAGAATGAGAGCATGGCCGGCCTGCCGCACATCCCGGGCCCCGAGAACCTCCGCCCCTTCACCCCCGAGTCGCTGGCTGCCATCGAGCAGCGCATCGCCGAGGCAGAGGCGCTCAAGATAAAGCGGCAGCAGGTGGAGCTGCCCGAGGAAGAGGAGCTCAAGCCCAGCAGTGACCTGGAAGCTGGCAAGAACCTGCCCCTCATCTATGGTGACCCCCCCGTGGAGCTCATCGGGACACCCCTGGAGGACCTGGACCCTTTCTACAAGGATAAGAAGGTGAGGGACAGAGCTTAGCCCATGAGCTAAGCAAGACACCCTGCCCCCCCCCCCCCCCCAAAAAAAAAAAAAAAAAAGGACCTCCCCTTCTTTCACCTGTGCTTCTGCGTATCTTCTGAGCCCACCTTGGAGAGCCACAGCCCCAAATTGCTCTGGTTGCTTCTCCTCTGAAGCAGAGCATCCTTTCCATTACAAATTCTCAAGCTTTTGGAGATTGAAAATATGCACAGAGCCCTCACCTCTAACGGCACTGCATCCTCCATGGGGGTATAGGGATGTGCAGCAGGACTAATGCATCACCTCTTTTTTCTCTGCAGACTTTCATAGTCCTCAACAAAGGGAAGTCCATCTTCCGCTTCTCAGCGACTCCTGCCCTCTACCTGCTGGGTCCTTTCCACCCCATCCGGAGAGGAGCCATCAAAGTGCTCATCCATTCATATCCTTGCTTCACTGTTGCCAGGGCAAATTCTGATGCAGGAAGGGCCAACATCCCTGTGAGAGGGCTGAGAGAGGTGTTTTGTGATGCAGTTCTCATGGGCAGGTTCCCACCATGGCCAAGAGCCATCCCAGTGCTTTTGCCCCTTCCCAAGGAGTGGGTTTGGGATGCCCTCGTGTCAGTCAGCACTCCGACACCAAGAGCTCAAAGCATCAGTTTGGTTGGAGCAGGGAAGATGTCTACATGGTGGGCTTCCTAGGAAGAAGTCCAAGTCTTCCAGGTCTGGAGAGACTTGGAAAGGAAGGAACATGTTTACAGGGCAGAGGATCGTGTCCCAAGTGGGTGGCAGTTGAATTTGGGAGCTCAAGGCATTCTTTGGGAGAGGGGAGGCAGAGGAACCAGGACACTGGGATATGGGAAAAGAGGCAATATGGGCAGCAATTGGACTTCTGGAGTGGGACAAACAGGAAGGATCTCAGGAGCAGGAGGGGTCCTAGGGCAGGTGGGAAGCAGCCCCAGTAGGGGCAGTGACTGTGACAGAAGGAGCTGAGAAGTTGTATCCTGGGGTGATGGAGAGGAGGGAACACCAAGGAGATGGGAAGGGGAGCGGAAAGCGAGGCCAGGGCCATGCATGGGAGCAGGGGACTATGGACAAGTGTGAGCATGGGACAGAGCTGCAGGAAGAGCGAGTCAGAGCTCGGGGACAAGGTGGGAGCCAGAACAAGAGGAGCAGGAGTGCTTGCCTTCCTACCCCCATTAGTACCCATGCAAAGGGGGAATTAGGCAGCAGCCCCAGCGTTTCTCCTTGACCAGGTTTTAAATTATTCAGCATGTTCATCATGATCACAATTTTAACCAACTGCGTGTTTATGACATTGAGCAACCCACCGGCGTGGTCCAAGAATGTGGAGTAAGTCTCTGCGGGTCAGAGGGGGATCCAGGCAGCCTTCAGAGAAGAGGTGTCCTTGGGAGATGGTGGTGGCCCTCTCGATCTCCAAAGGGATGTCTGTGCTCTGCACCTTGCAAAGGGCAGGAGAGTTTCAGAGCTGCCCAAAATCTGGTGGGGGCCCCCTGACAGGAGACCGCTGTCAGTTGGGTTGGGCTGACCATGGTGGTGTGGGGAGGCTGAGCAGATCCACCAGGCCAAGGAGCATGGAATGCCAGGTGGGAAGGGGGAAACGCAGCATTTTTCTGCATGGACACGTTGTGGCAGGGTTTTGCAGAAAGTGCAGTGGTGGTGGGACGTGCACAGGGACCAGAGGTGATGCAGGGTAGTCACCCATGGGGGTGATGCCCGAAGGAGTCCTAGTTTGCCCTGTGAACTGAGGTTGTGGGAGAACCTCCCTCAGTGCTGAAGCATGTTAGGAACACAGCAGCCCCTTGCCACACACTCCAGAACTTGCTTCCAAAAACTGTCCCATGGCACTGGGCAGAGGCAGGGCCCAGCAAAACCTCCTGGGGCCCAAACTTCCTCCAGAGCTGGCCCTTGGACCTGGATAAGCATCCCCTGGGTCACCATTCCCATTTCAGATACACCTTCACTGGAATTTACACCTTTGAGTCCCTCATCAAGATACTGTCGAGAGGCTTCTGCATTGATGACTTTACATTCCTGCGTGACCCATGGAATTGGCTGGACTTCATGGTCATCTCCATGGCGTGAGTGCGGTGGGATGGGGGCAGGAGACCCTGGGGGGGGGGCCCTGTGGAGAAGGGCTGGGAACTTGGGGGGTGGTCACCTGGACCAGCCCCTGATACCTTCTCCTCTTGCATCTTGCAGCTACATCACTGAGTTCGTGGACCTGGGGAACATATCTGCTCTCAGGACCTTCCGCGTCCTCCGTGCCTTGAAAACCATCACAGTGATACCAGGTGGGACTTAAAGAATGGGTCTTCTCACCATGCTTTCTCCTTCCTTGAGGTCAGGGTTTTCAATGTTCAAAGCTCTAAAAAAAAAAAGAAAAAAAGAAAAAAAAAAAGAGGGGAAAACATGATATTCAAAACTTTTAAATCTTTTTCAACCCAGTAATTAAGCATCTGGGCCAGGCCCAGCTGATTTGACACCTTTAATTTAGCTGCACTCACTCACTGTTTGACTAAATCTTCTGTCAAGCCAGACATGATGTTTTTAGGGCTTCTCAGAGATGTTCCAAGTGCTAACATTGGGTTTATGGGCCTGATTAATGATCCTGATACAGTTTTCACAGAATTACAGAATCATCTAGGTTGGAAGAGACCTCCAAGATCACCTAGTCCAACCTCTGACCTAACACTAACAAGTCTCCTCCACTAAACCATATCCCTAAGCTCTACATCTAAACGTCTTTTAAAGACCTCCAGGGATGGTGACTCCACCACTTCCCTGGGCAGCCCGTTCCAATATCTGACAACCCTCTCAGTAAAGAAGTTCTTTCTAATATCCAACATAAACCTCCCATGGTGCAACTTCAGCCCATTCCCCCTCGTCCTGTCACCAGGCACATGGGAGAACAGACGAATCCCCACCTCGCTACAGCATCCTTTAAGGTACCTATAGAGAGCGATAAGGTCACCCCTGAGCCTCCTCTTCTCCAGGCTAAACAAACCCAGCTCCCTCAGCTGCTCCTCATAAGACTCCCTCACCAGACCTCTTGCCCTTCTCTGGACTCATTTGAGCACCTCGATGTCCTTCTTGGAGTGAGGGGCCCAAAACTGAACACAGTACTCGAGGTGCGGCCTCACCAGAGCCAAGTACAGGGGGACAATCACTTCCCTAGCCCTGCTGGCCACAGTTTCCTATACAAGCCTGGATGCTCTTGGCCTTCTTGGCCACCTGAGCACACTGCTGGCTCATATTCAGCCAACTATCAACCATCACTCCCAGGTCCTTCTCTTCCAGGCAGCTCTCCAAGCACTCATCTCCCAGCCTGTAGCTCTGCTTGGGGTTGTTGTGCCCCAGGTGCAGGACCCAGCACTTGGCCTTGTTGAACTTCATACAGTTGGCCTCAGCCCATCAGTCCAGCCTATCCAGATTATCCTACCCTCAAGCAGATTGACACACACACCTAACTTGGTGTCATCTGCAAACTTACTGAGGGTGCACTAGATCCTCTCATCCAGATCATCAATAAAGATATTAAAGAGAACTGGCTCTAGTACTGAGCCCTGAGGAACTCCACTAGTGATCAGCCTCCAACTGGATTTAACTTGATTCACCACGACCCTTTGGACCTGGCTATCCAGCCAGTTTTTAACCTACAGAAACCAGTCCAAGCCATGAGTAGCCAGTTTCTTGAGGAGAATGCTGTGGAAACAGTATCAAAAGCCTTGCTGAAGTCAAGGTAGGCCACATCCACAGCCTTTCCCTCATCCACTAAGCGTGTCACTTTGTTGTAGGAGATCAGGTTCGTCAAGCAGGACCTGCCTTTCATAAACCCATGCTGACTGGGCCTGATCGCCTGCTTGCCCTGCAAGTGCCACGTGATGACACTCAAGACAATCTGCTCCATGAGCTTCCCTGGCACTGAGGTCAAACTGACAGGCCTGTAGTTTCCCGGCTCTATCCTCTGGCCCTTCTTGTAAATGGGCATCAAGTTTGCTAGCCACCACTCGACTGGGACCTCCCCTGATAGCCAGGACTGCTGATAAATGATGGAAAGCGGCATGGCCAGCTCTTCTGCCAATTCTCTCAGTACCCTTGGGTGGATCCCATCCAGCCCTATCAACTTGCGTACATCTAAGGGCTGTAGCAGGTCGCCAACCATTTCCTCGTGGATAGTGAGGGCCACATCCTGCTCCCCATCCCCTTCCACCAGCTCAGGGTACTGGGTATCCAGAGAACAACTGGTATTGCTGCTAAAGACTGAGGCAAAGAAGGCATTAAGCACCTCCGCCTTTTCCTCATCTTTTGTGACAAGGTTTCCCCCTACATCCAGTAAAGGATGGAGATTCTCCTTAGTCCTCTGTTTTGCGTTGATGTATTTGTAAAAAGATTTTTTGTTGTCTTTAACAGCAGTAGCCAGATTGAGCTCCAGATGAGCTTTGGCCTTTCTAATTTTGGCCCTACACATCCTTACTACATCCTTATAATCCATCTGAATGGCCTACCCTCTTTTCCAAAGATCATAAACCCTCTTTTTTTTCCTAAGCTCTATCCACAATTGTCTGTTCAGCCAGGCCAGTCTTCTTCCACGCCAGCTTGTCTTTGGGTACGTCAGGTCAGATCGCTCCTGAGCCATTAAGATTTCCTTCTTGAGGAGTGCCCAGCCTTCCTGGACTCCTCTGCCCTTCAGAACTGCTACCCAAGGGACTCTGCCAACCAGTGTCCTGAACAGTTCAAAGTCTGCCCTCCAGAAGTCCAAGACAGCAGTTTTACTGATCCCCCTCCTGACTTCGCCAAGAACTCTACTATTTCATGGTCACTCTGCCCAAGACAGCTCCTGACCACCACATCTCCCACCAGTCCTTCTATGTTTGTGAACAGAAGGTCTAGCGGGGCACCTCTGCTGGTTGGCTCACTAACCAGCTGTGTCAGGAAACTATCTTCCACTCTATCCAGAAACCTCCTAGACTGCTTCCTCTGAGCTGTAGTGCATTTCCAGGATATATCTGGGAAGTTGAAGTCGCCCAAGAGAACAAGTGCTGATGATTTCACAACTTCTGCTAGCTGCCTGTAGAACTTCTCATCCATCTCCTCATTCTGGTTTGGCAGTCTGTAACAGACCCCCACCAGGATGCTTGCCTTGTTGGCCTTCCCACTGATCCTAACCCACAGGGACTCGACCTTATCATTCCCAGACTCGAGTTCTACAACACCGAAAGACTCTCTAATATAGAGAGCCACACCACCACCCCTTCTGTGCTGCCTGTCCCTTCTGAAGAGCTTATAGCCAGACATTGCAGCACTCCAGTCATGGGAGTGGTCCCACCACGTTTCAGTGATGGCAACCAAGTCATAGCTTGCATGCTGCACGATGGCTTCCAGTACCTCTTGTTTGTTGCCCATGCTGCATGCATTACTGTAGATGTACTTCAGTTGGACCATTGCCTTCTCCCCGGCCCTGACATTGTTCCCCCTGGCACACCTCTAACAAGCCTTATTTCATCCCCATCCCCCTTCTTACCTAGTTCATAAAGCCTAGTTTTGTCCCCACAGCTGGCTGCTCTTGTGCCAGGGTTGGGCTATTTAGTGGATTGTGGTACAAGTGCTAAACAGTGAGCACTTTATATTAACCCAAATATTCAGCCTAGGGTATTGGGAGCTTGTTATCAAATAACTCTGGTATCTGTTTCCCGCATCTGATACAATTTCAATGCCCCATGTCAGTACCAGCCAGTGGAAGCATACAGAAACCATAGGTCAGACCCCCAGAAGAAGTGTGAGATTGAGCTGTGAGTGATAATTTGTTGTCATGGAAAAATCCTGCTTCATCTTTTGTTCCTGTAGCTTCCACATCTTTTGGGTTCTATTTGAAAGGCTTTATTTTGCCTCCATCAAACAGGCTAAAATCTGCCTTTAGGAAAATGTAAGCTTCTTTCTTGGTCCCAGGGCTCTTATTTCTGGAATGACATCCCCCCAAGAGGCTCTACAGAAATAGCAGTTTCAAAAATAAGCTGTTTTTGAATGGCTGTCCTAAGCATTTTCCCAACATAGACAAGCCCTTGGAGATCAGGGTTTTACCTAAATAGTTTGGGCAGGGGGGAACTGGCATGATGACAGAGCTAAGAACTCTGCATCTTTGGAGAACTGCCTCCATACACATTGCTCCGAGCTGCTTTAAGATCAACGTCAGGATGTCCTGGCATCACCCATCATGCACACAGATAGGAACAACAATTCTTCATACAAAACCCGGTGAGGATCCACGGGCAAGCCTCCTCCCTGCTGCCGTCTGCGAAGGAAGCAAGTTAATCCTAGTGCTTAATGCAAACTGTCATTTCCATCACCTCTGCTCGAATGTCTGAGGGTTTTTCTGCCTGGAATGGACCAGCTGGGCTCCTGGCCACAGCATACGCAGGGGTTTTGGACCATGGAGGCTTTTGTACAGCCAGAACCAAGAGCGGTGCTGAGCATCTTCCAGCTGGGCTGGCGAACTGCTTCCCCATGTGCCACAGCAAAGTGATCTGTCCTGGTGGTTTGGGGCAAAAATGGCCAGATTGAGGCATTTGGGAAAAGTGTACAGCCAAATGGGATGGGCTTTGAGTTGTGATGCTGAGATCAAAGCTCGTGCAGGGAGGCCTGGCTGCCCCCCTCCCACGGGGACAAATCTGGGGAAGGGTCGATGCTGCCCAGCCATGTGTGGGGACAGAGGGGTAGCCAGGATGCAGTGTGGGGCAGGGCAGTGGGTCTGGGTCCATGGGGTGAAACTGGTGATACTGCGTATCCCCACCAGATCCAGACCCTCTGGGGAGCACCATAGCGTGATCTCCACCAGCCGCAAACCAGCAATTAGCTCAGCAGCAACGCCTCCCTCCTAGGGCTGAAGACGATCGTTGGGGCGCTCATCCAGTCAGTGAAGAAGCTCTCGGATGTCATGATCCTCACTGTCTTCTGCCTGAGTGTCTTTGCCCTCATTGGCCTCCAGCTCTTCATGGGAAACCTCCGGCACAAGTGTGTGCGGTGGCCCCCCCTCAATGACACCTTGCTGGGGGACTTCGGGCTGGACAACGACACATTGGCCAATGCAACGCTCTACAGCAACTTCACCGACAGTATTGACAGCAACTTCACCAGCAACAGCACCTTTGATTTTGAGGCCTACATCAACGATGAAGGTAAGTGCTTGCTGCTCTCCTTCTCCATCGAGCACATCACACTCGTTGCTCCTTGGTTTACCCCTCTCTTCCTCCATGTCCGACCAAGATAGTTTGTTCTGATGGGTCTTCCTGCTGAGGTGCTTCAACAGGGTTTGGGTTTTACAAGGAGATATGGATGGTGGTTGAGATGATGGATGTGCATACTCAGAGAATGGACAGATGGGCTTAAATCCTCCTTGTCAGGGAAAATGCAGTCCCCTTGGCATGCTAGACTCTTCCAGAAATGTTGCAGGCTAGGGAGGCAACTGGACAAAACGGCATCTCCATCTCTGCCCTGGGATTGCAAGGTCTCACTCTTCCTCAACAGGGTGAGCTCTGAGGGATGACTGCTCTGTCTGATCACAGCAGGGGGATGCAACCCTCTAGGAGGAGATGGGACTTGGGGTGGACAACCAGAGGGATGCAGGAATGACATTTCCCATTTTCACTATTGCTTCAGAGCAGGGTCCTTCCCCAAGTACTCTGCCTCTGGCTAGCACGATGTGCAACACCGTGACAGCCAACAGGAGAGAAAGGAGGAGAGGTGGGATCAAGCACAGGTCCTTGGACAGATCTTCATGTTTGCTACGTTACTGCCACTTCTTAGAGATGAGTTTGGCCCAAAAAGTGTTATGAGTTTTTCTTGTTTCTCTTGTTTTTTATAAAACACTCCATGAAAATGTAAAGATCTTGGAAAACCTATCAGAAAGGTTTTCATTTGCCTTTAGTTGTTGTTTTCCTATGGAATGGACTTTTGACTAATTGTGGCTTTATTCCTTTTTTTTTTCTCCCAACTCCTTCTGGCTCCCAGACCCTGGGGAAAGCCCAGTCCCAAACACAGGCTCTGACTTCAAACTTCTGACCAAACCTCACGTTGTACAACCAAATTGAGCACTTGCCAGACCCAGTACACCCCCAAAACAAAACAAAACAAAAAAAAAGAAAAAAAAATACAGGAAGCGCATCCAAAAGCAATACTGTATTGGAAAACACTTGGGAAAATTCACGTGGGTCACAGAGTGAAAGAAGACTTGCCTAGAGCAATCTGTGCCTTGGGGATGGTCTCTAACAGAGAGGTTTCACATCCCATTTTGGGCACTCAAAGCTCAGCAGAAGGTTGGGTTACGACACGGCTGAGCTGTTTTGACCAGCTGTGGAAGTAGCTCTGGCATTAATTACAGGAAGGCTTCTATGCAGGGGTGCAAATTCAATATATAGAATCTAATGAGCGCAGTGCAAATAGCAACAGCATCCTGCAGCTCTGCCTTCAGGTTAGCAGCTCCTGGGGCCAAGCCAAAAACACGTTGCCTGGAGCTTCATGAGTGGGACAACACTTCCCACAGAGGTTAAATAAAAGCCGGGTTGCAAGAAGGCACGCACGGCCAGGGGCGCTCCTAGGAAGCTCCAGAAATCCCAGTATAGGTCCCCGTTGCTGTGCTAGGTGGTGCTTGAGGCCATGGGTGGGTGTCTCGAGGGGCTCATCTCCGTGTCCCTGGGGGCAGGTGACTGGTGGTAGCACGTCTTGGCAGCTGCTGTGGCTGTGGGTCTGTGTCTGAACTTGAGGGATGAGCTTTAGGGAGTTCTGGTCTCATGGCTGTGAACAGGTGGGGTTTTCCACCAGGGAGGGGCTTGTTGGGATGGGAGCAGCAGGATGGGGAAATGGCAATGGGCCATTTCCCCAGGCTTTTTGGATCCCAGGCTAATGGTCTGCAGAGGTCCCAGTGTTCACTCATCTGAGCCCTGTCACCTCCCAGTGCTTTCATCCATCCCTGTGAACACCTGTGCTGGTATCGTCCCTTTGACCATCTGCTAGTCCACCTTCCCGCGAGGCCTGGCCCTGCCACTTGGCTGTTTTCCAGAGCTCTTTGTGGGCTTGGAGCCATCCAGCTGGGCAGGTGAAACAATGCTGCGAGGTCTGAGCTGGCGCCAAGTAGTGCAGCACAGATAGCAAAGTCAGCAGGCAGGAGACAGCCCAGAGCCCAGTGCTGGGAGCTGGGATGGTTTCCCTGACAGTGAGGAGCTGCCAAGAATTTGAAAGTCAATGTTTGTGTTTCTTGTTGTTTTTTGTTTGTTTGTTTGTTTTCCTGTGTCCTGCTCTTTCCCTATCTGCGAAGCAAATTTCTACTTTCTGGAGGGAGCGCTCGATGCCCTGCTCTGCGGGAACAGCAGCGATGCTGGGTGAGTGCAGCTCATGCTGCTGGCCCCTCTGGCTCCCTGGGGGGGGTTCAAGGCAGCCTGCAGGACCACTGAACAGTCTGGGCATGTCAACGGCACCCTTGTGGGCATGTTTCTGCCACAGAAAACATAGCATGTTCCCACCTGCGGGCTGGAACAATCAGCTCGTTGGAATAGGCTGCCCAGAAAAGCAGTGTATGCCCTGTCACTGCAAGTGTTCAGTGTTGGGTCAGTGGGGCTTTGATCAACATGATCCAGGGAAAAATGGCCCGTGGCAGACATCTAGAGGGTCTTTAAGGGTCCCTTGGAACCCAAAATGCTCTGCAGGCTGAGGGTGCACATGGGGCGGTGGCAGGGCCTGATGCTGGCTGCCCTTTGGCAGGAAGTGCCCTGAGGGATACGAGTGCATGAAGGCAGGGAGGAACCCCAACTACGGCTACACCAGCTACGACACCTTCAGCTGGGCTTTCCTGGCGCTGTTCCGCCTCATGACGCAGGACTTCTGGGAGAACCTCTTCCAGCTGGTAGGTGCTTGTGGGACCCTGGCGCATGGCTTCAGTCACCCATCCCTCTGGGCACTGGCCTCAACTTTTATTTTATTTTTTTATTTTGTGTATTTATACCTTCCATGCAAATACTATCACTTCAGTGCTGCCCCTGGCCTAGGACAGGTAAAAAGTCACTTGGTTGGCTACTTGTGGGATCGTTAGTTCAGGGAACTAATGAGGATCAGCACTAATGAGGAGTCTTGTCCAGCTCCCCACCCTGAGTGGTGCAGGATGCTCTCAAAGCCCAGCTATGCTTCAGGGGTGCTGTCAGCATATCAGGGAAATCAGGGATTTACAGGAGTATCTGGTACATCTCCAGCTTGAGATAGTTATCCCCCCTTACCCTCTCTCTTAGGTTGGTTGTCCCCCGGACTGAGGTATCCTATAGGTAGAAGCTGCAGACACCATGAAATTCTCCTGGCCAAATGGATGCAGCCCCGGCTCCAGGACTGATTAGATAAGAAGGGCAAGCCAGTGCCTGTGTCCTCTGGAGGCAGTGGCACCCAGATGCAGAGTTAGAGAAGAACTTGTCCCAGGGATGAGACCTGAGCAGTCGGGCTCTGGGACATCAGCCCCTGTCCCAGGGTGCAGGTCTGTTAATGTCAGCCCCATCTCTGTGCACACCTGCCCCGGGCTACCGATGGGCACAGGGCAGTGCGGATGGCTTTGGCGAGACCTCCAGCCTTTCCACACAAATCCTAACCCAGTACTGTGGACTGCGGGAAGGTCAGCTGGGCAGTGAGCAGCCCTCAGGGAAAATGGGAGCAAAATCTTATATCAGTACCGTGAATGGGAGGGTGCCCAGAGCAAGGATTCTCATTCATTACTACCAAACGAAAACCATGCTGAGGAGGTGTGGCAGCCTGTTCCTCCCCTTCCCACAGACCCTGCGTGCAGCAGGGAAAACATACATGATCTTCTTCGTGGTGGTTATATTTCTGGGTTCCTTCTACCTGATCAACCTCATCCTGGCGGTGGTGGCCATGGCCTATGCGGAACAAAACGACGCCACAATGCTGGAGGCGCAGCAGAAGGAGGAGGAATTTCAGCAGCTCATGGAACAGCTGAAGAAGCACCAGGAGGAGCAAGAGAAGCAGGTTGGTGGAAAGCATTTAGGCCACAATGAGGGACCTTAGGAATAAAGGGAGAAAAGGAGAGGCAGTGACAAGTGTGGTCATATTCCTATTTCCGTAAAATCTAAGAATAAGCCCCTCTTGCTCCCTACCAAGCAAAGGTGAGAACTGAGTACCTATTCTGGGGTCACCAGCTGAATCCAAAAGTTGACATATTCTCGAGGGGGGGGGGGAGGGGGGCGGGGGGAGAAGGTGGTGGGAATAAAAGGCTGAAAATATTAAATTCCCATATCCACAGACCAACAAAAGGAGCACTGGGAGGCAGCAGAGAGGTGCAGCACAGGTCCAGCACAGCTTGAAAGGAAGAGGTGAGAAACGAGGCAGGAAGGACACCAGAGCTAATAATAGGTACTTCTGCGGCACATCAAGAGCAGGAAATCTAGCAGAGAGCCTGCAGGGGCAGATTACAATCAGGGCATGAAAGAACCACTCAAAAGAGATAGGGCAGTTGCAGCAAAGTTTGATAATTTTGACCAACACTGGAAACAGAAGAGAAGACCCAAGAGACCATGAATCTTGCTCACAGAGGTTCTGGTGTCCTTACAGGAGCAGAGAGACAGTTTTGGGGGTCCAGCCTTGCAGCTGTGCCCCAACATGTGCACATCTACAGCAGGGTATGCCCTGGTATTCATTTCAGGTGGCATTATCAGGTGGTCTCTGGAGGTGCCTGGTGTCCATCCGTTTGCTCCATTGCAGTTCCAGGTTATCTTAGCCCCTTTCTGGTCCATGGGTTTCTCTCTTCAGCACAATTCACTTACAAAAATGTGAACAAGAGCTCTCTGATGTTTGATACTGCTGCCCAGACATCTTCTATCTCTAGTCATCATTTTGGCATACGTCAGCAACGTCTGCAGGAGACATGTCCGTAAATCTAATCATTAGTCTGGGCAAAAGACAGCTTCCTCACATGTAGAGAGAGATACAAAGCAGTGTTTTCCTCTCTTTAGAGCCTCTCTCTCTCTCTTTGCTTATCTGTGCTGAGCCACAGCATCCTCCAAGGAAGTGGCTTGCTCTTATCAGGCTGCTGCTGTTCACAGGATGGGGCTGAGCAAGCCCTGCCCCAGGGATGGGGACTCCAGGGCCGGGTGTGAAGCTGGTACCCTGGCTAGTTCCCTGGCACATCAAGCAGCGAGTTGCCTGAAGGCTTTATTAAGGGATGATTCTCATTGATTGCCACCTAGAATAAAGGAGAAGATGGAGGGAACTGACTGAGAGGGAGGACAAAGTACCTATGAGAAATGGGTACTTGGATCCATTAACATCCAGTGACCAAGCATGGAAATCTCAGTGTATTGCAGCCACAGGGAGCGAGAGAGGTTCCTGCTCTGCCACGACATGCTTAGTGCTACCAGTGGGCATTGCAAGCTTCAAATATTAATATCACTGTCAGAGAAAACAGAATGAAAAAAACAGAATGTGCAAATGAAGAAACTGTAAACCAACTTCTGGAAAAACAGTTTTGAAATTCTGACCCAGTCATTCACAATTTTAGTGCAAGTCCAAAAGTCTTGGACATCCCATTTCACCGAGACCCCAGAAGAGTTTGCTTCCCTTTCCATTTGAGATGAAAGCACATTTCAAAGATTAAAATTTCCCGCAAGACAGAAATTAGAGGTTTTGCATAGTTTCATCCTTATGAATTATTCACCCTGGCTTAGCGTGGCGGGGTACGCATTGAGAAGGAAAGGCTGGCAACATCAGGCACGTGCTGCTGAACCGTTGCCATTCCTCATCACTGCTTGTTAGGATGTGAGCTTGTCAGTGAGTTATCTTTGCCCAGATCTTGCAGCAGCAGACTTTGGGGTCACAAAGTCCTTGCTCAGGACAGTTTTAGGACTCAATTCATCCCCCTCTGTAGCATCATGCCCCACAGAGGTTTTGGGAAGCTGGTGGATGTGTGGGTGATGGAGATGTGGGTGGCTGCAGTTGCAGGACAGGCGGTCCAGCAGCGGCTCCCTGCGCAGCAGCACGGCCGAGAAGAAGAGCGACTCGGACCTGAACAGTGACCAGGACAAGGCGAAGGACTGCAATGGGCGAGTGGTCCCCAAGGTGGTGCTGGAGCGGTCTGCCACGGTGATTGAAGTACGTGCTCCGTCCCAGCCTTCTCACCTGACAGAGTGCAGCACCCTGCAGTGCAGGGTGTCATGCCCCAACACAACCCCAAAGCTCTCTTACAAGTGCCCACTTTATAGTGGGTCCTAGCAGCCGTTCTGCAGCCAAACTGCAGCTCCCACATTGCACCCCAAGGTCTCTCTAGACCATGCCCCCACGCCCTTTTATTTATTTTTTTTCATCTTCTCAACCTTTAAGTGCATTAAAAACACAGTCATCCCCTGTGGCCTCCTCTTTTAGTTCAACCCAGGCAATGAGACGGAGAAATCAGACTCCAACCACCTCACTGTGGGCAACCAAGATGGGCCAGGCCTTGAGAAGAGAGTGGGGAGTGCCATCAGTGTCATCTCCAACGCCGTGGAAGGTACGTCCTCACCCGGGTGCAGACTCCGTGCACCAGCTGTTTGAGCCCAACCAGGGTGGGTGGGTGGGCAGGGGGTGCTCAGCGTGTGCCAGGGGCTGTCACACATCTCCAGCCCCATGCAAGGGGCGGCTCTGGGTCCAGGGTCTCCATGTGGGGTTGATATACAGCAGTGGTGTTGAAGCAAGGTACTTCATCCCATTTCACAAGGGTGCTGCCCAGAGGAAATCATTCAATTTCTCATGCAAAAGAATGGGATTGCAGTTGATTACAGCAGTCTTTGGAGTTAATCAAGAACTGTTGAGCAGTTTCCCAAGAGCTCCTATCTTAATTTTAGCAAAAAGTGCCACAGGCTCAGCAGTACCAGGCTCCTGAGCCCTGCCCTCCTGGAGAGCCAGTGTGCCCAGGCACCTTCACTCAGCCCACAAATGCATCCTGTAGGTTGCCTAGGGCTGGATCTAGGACCTCAGCAGAGGTCTCTTCTGGTGGGTTCACACTTGGCCCACCATGGGGAGGGCAGGAGAAGCCCAGGCTGATGTCAGTTTTTCCTTCCTGCCCTCAGAGCTGGAGGAGGCTCACCAGAAGTGCCCACCTTGGTGGTACAAATTTGCTCACATGTTCCTGGTCTGGGACTGCTGCCTTCCATGGCTGAAGCTGAAGGAGTTTGTCAAGCTGGTGGTGATGGACCCCTTTGTGGACCTGGGCATCACCATCTGCATCGTGCTCAACACGCTCTTCATGGCCATGGAGCACTACCCCATGACGGAGGAGTTTGAGAACGTGCTGACTGTGGGGAACCTGGTAGGCAGCTCCTGGTGCCCCGTCCTTCCCTGTTTAGAGCCATAGCAGCCAAAGCCTGGTGGGATGATCCTCACCACTCCCCTCGTCTCACCAGAACAGCATGCTGGAAGCCCTTCCCAGCTGCTGAGAAGGTACTCGGGAGGTCTGGTCACAGCATCCCTGGGATGGGATGGGCTCCAGGACTTTTCAGATCAAGGGGCAGCAGCGGAGGTGATGTGGTAGTGGGGCTCCATCATCCCCTGCTCTCCTGCTGCAGCTTCTGGGCAGGTGCCCATCTCACCTGGTTGATCCCAATGTGGATGTGGCTTTCCAGGGCTGTTCTGTAGGGCCAGCTCCTATATCTCAGCCCAGGTCAGGCAGGAGCTGCCGCCAGCCCTGGCCTGAGCCGCAGTGGCCTCATGGTGCTGGGTGGCTCACGCGTGCTGGGAGGGAAAGGTCCCTGCTGAGCAGAAGGTAGTGGTGCTACCAGCATTAAAAATATATAATAATAACAAATAAGACTTCCCAGTGAAATCACTGCAAATCTGGGCTGTTCTGATTTCATGGGCACATTTAACACCAAGCTGTGGCTGCTCCTCCCTGGAGCTCAGGGTAAAGGGTTTTCAGCTGGATGCAAGCTGCTGGGGGGACAGGCCCAGGAGGCCCCTGGTTGCTCTGGGAAGTTCAGCCAAGGGCTGGGAGAGAGGGGAGGGAGGACTTCATCTTCTCTCCTGCCACCTTGCCCTGCTCCAGCACCTGCCCGGACCTCTCCGTGCACAAGCACGCGGGTGACACATGCCGGGGCCCGAGCCCCAAGCAGGCAGGATGACGCTCAGCACATAGCTGCTTTGTCTCTGGTTTCATTCAGGAAATACAAGGGGATTAATTGGCTGTTGCTCGAAGCAGCATGGTCACGCTGCAAAAAAACAGCTCCAGCTTCTCCTTGGGGCCGTCACTGGTTTCTGTCTGTGTGTAGAGCCAGTAGGAGAGCCAGCACAACCGTGGGGCTTTGCTGGGGAATCCAGGTGTCGCCTGGAGCAGGAGGAGCAGCTCTCCTTCAATGGGATGTGTCAGGGAGCAACCTCTGGGGTGCTGATGCAGAAGCCTTCCTGCAGCCTCCCCTTCCAATCCACAATCCACATCCAGGGCAAAATTTGTCACTGGGCACCCTCTATGCATTCTATGTCATGCAATTACATCGAGGATGTTAATTGTCACATTGCTGATCCTGCTCTGGAGTAATGTGATAATGCACAGGGCTGTTGTAGCCCCAGGAAAAGCAATGTGTAAAAGTTGTGTCAGCTTTCATGGTGCCCAGGGGAGCACCAAGACATCCCAGTATCATCACGGCTCCTGGTGCTGGGAATTCCTGTGATTCAGCCAGTGTTTTTACTGGGTCCCTTTACCAATGGAACGTCTTATTTTTAATTTCGACCCGCCAGCACATGCCTTGGCCAAGTCTTTCCAGACCCAGCCACCAGCGTTCCCCATTCTCACAAGTCACACTGGGCAGCAGCTGGGAGATGGTTCCCAATGGAGGCTGGACCCAAAGGGATGAAAAATAGCTCCAAAATGAAGTGCTACCCACTCCATACAGAAGCTTGGCGCTCTGGCTTTTGAGCAAACTGACAGTGTGATGTTCCCCACAGGTCTTTACGGGAATCTTCACAGCAGAGATGGTCCTGAAGCTCATTGCGTTGGACCCCTATGAGTATTTCCAGCAGGGCTGGAACATATTTGACAGCATCATCGTCACCCTGAGCTTGGTGGAGCTGGGTCTGGCCAACGTGCAGGGGCTCTCCGTGCTCCGCTCCTTCCGCTTGGTACGTGCCATGGGGCTGAGCGGTGCCAGGGGGTTTGGGATGCAGGCAGCACCAGGGTGGAGAATGGTTTGTTCAAGGTCCTTTGTGGTGGCCACCAACCCATCCCAGGTTAAAGGCAATACAAATATCAAGGAACACAGTAGCCTGTGCTCTTTGTAAAGCTGTTGGCTGTTTAATCCCTCCTGCCTTAACAAAACTGCTACGTGGAGGTCTGGTCCCAGCCTCTCGGCCTTGCTGACACCTTGTGGCAATGAAAACCCAGGCAACTCACCACCCTGTCTCCTTGCTCCTCGCAGCTGAGGGTTTTCAAACTCGCCAAGTCCTGGCCCACCCTCAACATGCTGATCAAGATCATTGGCAACTCAGTGGGTGCTCTGGGGAATCTCACCCTGGTGTTGGCCATCATCGTCTTCATCTTCGCCGTGGTGGGGATGCAGCTCTTCGGGAAGAGCTACATGGAGTGCGTGTGCAAGATCTCCTTGGACTGCACACTGCCCCGCTGGCACATGCATGACTTCTTCCACTCCTTCCTCATCGTCTTCCGCATCCTCTGCGGGGAGTGGATCGAGACCATGTGGGACTGCATGGAGGTGGCCGGCCAGACCATGTGCCTCATTGTCTTCATGATGGTCATGGTCATCGGGAACCTCGTGGTGAGTACCAGAGGCGGGGGAGCCCCTCGGCCACAGGTCCCCACCTCCATCCCTCGTGCTCTGGACGATGCCGTCCAGCTCAGCTCTTCTACAGGGCTGCCCATGAAGGTCTGGTCTTGTTGGAGCCGTACAGGAGCAGAGGCCAAGGGCCTGACCTCCCTCCCGTATAGCTGGTGGGGCTGTGCTGTGTGCTCAGGTCTTACCAAAGCAGAGTAGGACACAATCTCTACCTGAAGGGCCTTCTGCTGAAACCAGATCAGGAGCAGAAGGGGAAACCGAGGCACAGAAAACTTTATGACAGGCTTTAGGCAAATACGAGGACAACTCAGGGACCTGAGAGGGCTCATCTTCAAGCTGCATTTTCTTTTCCACACACGTCTTTGGGGTTTCCACCCCCACTTCCCATGCTCTGGTGACAAGGGACAGAGGCAGAACAATAAACGCATGCTCCCAGCTCACCCCAGGGCTGACCCTTTGCTCCATGCCACTTTTGGGAGCAGGTCGTCAGTATTGCTGTGCTCCAGGTGGTATCCCAGGGGCGCGCGACCCCCCTGCAGCACACAGCTCCTTCTCCCAGGTCCCAGTGGGCCCCATGTGCCCCCCGCTAACCTGAGCTGCTCACCGCTGCTCACTGCCTGCAAGTTCCAGGCAAGCATCAAATCCTTTCTAAACTTGGTAACCCACTTGCTGGCGGCTTTGAAGCTTGTTTTGCAGGCTGTGTGGGCCCCGCGCTCCCTTCTTAAGGAGCAAGGCAGGGGAGGGAAGCGCGGCGGCTTGCCGAATCGCTCCTATTACTTGCTGGGGTTGTGTAAGCCCTTTGGAATTTGCTTTGAAAAACTATCTGCCCGGGGAGCTGCTGACGCCTCCCTGCACACGGTGCATGGCTGCTCTGGCCCTGGATGGGTGAAAGCAACTCCAGGGAAAATCCAGACCACCCCCCTCCTCCTCCGTGGCTTGGATCAGGGTAGGGCAGCATGGAGTGTCCCACTTTTGAGGGCAGAAAATTAGGATTTGGGTGTTGTGTTGCTTCCCTGGCTCATGCAGTGTGTTTGGGGCTTGGAGCTGGCCCCTGCAACAGCATGGGTTGTGCTGGGGTCTAGGCTGGGTGATGCCAGGTAGATGCAGCACGTGGCCCCATAGCAGGGAATGGCCATGCCTTCCTCAGGGGACCCCATTTATTTGTGTTACAATGCTGAACCAGGCTGAAAATCACCCGTGATCAGCAGGAGCATCTCCAGGGCAGTTTACAAGGGGTGCAGGAAATGGGAATCCCAGCCAGGCTCCCTGAAGACCCTCCCCAAGGATGTCCTGGAGACCTTTCCCATTCTGGAGGCAGATTTGGGAGCAGGGCAGCCCATGCACCCTTCCAGGAGGCTCTCCTGGAGGAGACATGGGACTGGGGAGGTGTAGCCATCCCTGAGCTCGCACCTCAGCTTTAGGGCAAGCTTTGCAGCTCCACTCTGGGCTGCAGCACGGGTTTCATTTAAAGCGAGCTGGAGAAGCACAACCCACAGCCACCCACAGAGCTCCCCCCTCTCTGCCAGGCTCTCCTGGCCATGTCTCAGGTATTTCCAAGTGCTGGAGCCTGTCCCATGAAGCCTCTCCAGCATCCCGGCTGCAGGGGGGGGATGTTTCTTCCCCCCTTTCCCCTCTGGAGCAATAAGGCAGCAGCCACTCGTCCTTTTCTGTTAATGACACTTAGAGCATTTCCTTTCGAGTTATTAAGGGAAAAGGGAGGAAGTCCGTCAGGTGACAAGGTAACAGACTCCTGTCCAAAAAGGCAGAGCCAACAGAAACTATTAGCTGTAATTGGTACCTAACATGAGTATTAAACTGATGGGATACTGGGGATTTATTTAAAGATGCGGTTTAAGTCATATGGTATGAGCCATGTGAAAACAGCAGTGACCTTGAATAGCAGCTAATTCCCTTCTCAGATACGCTGCTGGCACAAAAAGGCACAAACACTGACAGCTGTGGGCTTGGCCCTGCGGCTGCTCTGCACAGCAAGCGTGTTTCTGGGTCCTGCCGATGCGCCCAGGCCCTGCAGAGAGCCCATCCTGCTCCATCCTCATGTGCTGCTCTGGGTGCCTGGCACACCACGAGCCGGCCCATGCCATCAGTGCAGAGGTGCGCTGGGGTCCAAGCACGTTTCAGGCACGGTGTGGTGGGAGAGAGCTGGGGGAAGCAGGAGGGAGCCCAGGTTTGCTGAGAGATCATGTGTTGCTATTGCTTCTGGGAGGTGATGAAATGCTGCTCCCCGTGGGGAGCTGATAGAAAGGGATGAGGTGATGGATGTGGTGGCTTCAGGATGCTGGAGGAGGCCCTCAGCAGCTTACTGGGCATCCAAGCTACTGGAGTAGCAAAAAGCAGAGAAAAAAATGCAGTTGGAGGGCAACAAGCAGGAGGTTTCTCCCTGGAGAGAGGAGTAGAGCTGAGCTACTTCCCAGCTGGTGGTGGGCACCATGGGCTTGGATCCCATGTGGTGACCAGTGAAGAGACGAGTGGATGGAGGGACACCCTGGGGGACCCACATGGAGGTCGTTTGGGAAGAGCGAAAGCAGTGACAGGCACAGGACGTGCTTGCAAATGGAGCAGAGGGGTCACTGCAGCCCAGGGAGGAGCAAGCAGGAGCTGGGCCATGCCTGTGCTCTCCAGGAGATGGGGTCAGCATCTCCGCTGGTCCCCAGAGGTGGGCAACGGAGGGAGAGCATCCCAGCAAGAAGCTCAGTGAAGGCGGCTTCTCCGTGGCCATCGCTGGTCTCTGCTGCTCCAGTCTGCAGGGACGGATGTCATCACTGGTGTTTGCTTTTGTCCCCTCCAGGTCCTGAACCTGTTCTTAGCTTTGCTGCTGAGTTCCTTCAGTGCCGATAGCCTGGCAGCATCGGATGATGATGGCGAGATGAACAACTTGCAGATTGCTATCGGCAGAATCACCAGGGGGATCGACTTTGTAAAGAGCTCTGTCCTCATGCTGCTCCGCAGGCTGTGGAAGGGGAAGAAGGTGGCCCCAGAGGAAGAGCAGGAGCCCAGCAAGGGGGACAATTCTGCGCTGAACCACGTGGACACTGGCCAGGAGCCCAAGTCGGAGTACATGGACGGAGTCACTGGGAAAGAGTATTTGTTCATGGATGAACTGGACCACATGAATTTCATTAACAACCCCAACCTGACGGTGCAGGTTCCCATTGCCTCGGAGGAGTCCGACCTCTATGAGGAGGAGACAAGCACCCAGTCAGACACCGAGGATGCCACGGTGAGAAAGGTGGGTGGCAGGGCTCCAGCCCCAAAACTGACCTTGTGTTGCCCACAGAGTGGTGCCATTTTGGGTTACTTTTCACTTTTCCACAACATGACATCTGGTATGGCATAGACCAAACCTGGAGTGTTTCAGCAAAAAAGAGCTCTCCAATTCCCAGCATGAGATGGGGGGGTCCAAGCAGAGGTTTGGGCTGGTTTGAGTCAGGATATGGGGTTGTTGCAAACACCAGGGGGACCTCCTGCACCCCATGGGGTGGGTGCAAACATCGAAGCACTCGGTTTGGGGTTAAAGATGTCCAAGAGGAATTTGATGCCAGGAAATCTGCTGATGGCACTAACATTGGATCCACTGCTAATGCTTCTGAAAACATCATCAGGGAGGGTACAAAACCAGATGAAGCTTAGCACAAGTGAACATGAAGCAATGCATTTTGCATTGAAAGCTGACATCGAGACACAGCGAGGGCTGTCAGGGCTTGCGGGATGCCAGTCACCTTGCTGCTCTGGGGGGATGAGAGGGAGTTGAGACAAGAAATTTAGGAAAACAACAGCAGGCACGCTAATGGTGTTCTTAGGGGAAATCGCTGCTTGCCATGAGGTTGCGCCAAAAATGTGGGGAAATTCAGGGCAGTGAAGATGCCGTGGTGGAGAGGAGCAACCTTATTGACCCAGGAAGGGAGGGGGCTTTGTATGAAGAGGCAAATCCTGGCTATTTGTTGTCAGCTGGGAAGAAGGTGGTGTTTTCAGCTGGGGGGGCTGCAGGGGAAAGGCGGCAGGAAGGGCTGTGGCTGGCTGTGAGCTGTTGAATTTGTTCTGCTCTGATGCGCTCAGAAGGGACAAATGTGCCAGAGCTCCTTGGGCAAGGGAGCTGCTGTTGTCATTCTTGTCATTCGCATTAATGTTGGTAGCAGGAGGCCTGAAAACTGGTGTTTCTCCCCGCATTTTTCCTATTATAAGTCCAATCTAGTAGCACAAGCCCCCTCCCCCCCCCCACTACACGCAGGCCATGCTGTAGCACATTAGAAGTGAGGCCACATTGTACAGAGGTGATGCTGTTAACACCAGCCTGACAATAGCAGGGAGATGCTTCCAGTCTGGCCCATGGGGTCCCCAGGGACCTCAGTTCCTCATCACCATGATGTGTGACCCAGAAGCTGTAGAAAAGTCCCTGTGTGTGGCTACCAGAGGGGTCCCAGCACAGCTCCAGCACCCCAGGGCTGATGTTCTGAGAGCCACCCCGGGCTGCTCACTGTGTGCAGGGGACAAACCACCACCTGCAGCCACCAAATACCAGCTCATCCCATCAGCTGTGCTGGTTTTGGTGAAATTCAGTCAAACAGTGGCCAGGGTGCAAGCCAGGGGGATGCACGAACATTGCAGCCTCTGCCCCAACAGGCAGGAGGGGACACGGGCTAGCAGGCAGCACTAGAAATGACTACCTAGTAATTAGAAATCAGGCGCTAATTAGCTCTGGGATAGGAGCTCTGGGCCTCGGGGAAAAGGCTGCAAGCTCGTGTTCACATGCCATTGATCAGCTCCAGATGGAGCCAAAGCCCGACACACCACCTCGTGCTGGGGACATGGCTGCTGGTGACTATGACAAGCTGGGAGTGCTCAGAAAATGCTGATAAATGTGCTCTCCCTTCAACAGCAGCTCCTCTACGAGACAAAGATATTTTTCAGGGTGAAGTAGCTGCAGCAAGGCAGTGGCAGCTGCTCTCCTCGGGTGCTCCTGCCTCTTTGAGCTGATTTATTGCCTGCAGTGAGGGGACAGGGACAGCAGTGATGGTGTGCTAGGACTGTGCAGAGTCCATGCCGCACCTCGGGGCTCTCCCTGGGTGCTTTTTGCCTCGGAGCACCATGCTTCTGGGCAGGGGGACGTCTGGTGGGATGGTCTGGGCTGTGGTGCCAGAGCAGGAGGATCCTCAAGTACCGCAAATTAGTGGGGTCGCAGGGTGTGCAGCACTTGTGTGCAGGAAAAGGATGGGGATGGCTATGGATGCTGGTGAAACACCGTGCTGGGCTGGAGGTGTTGTACAGGGCGTGGGACAGAAATAGCCCTGCAAGCCTGTTGGATGCAGGCACGGAGTGGGGCTGTCAGAAGGGATGGGTTTGGGGACCACGCAGTGGGAGCAGCACGGGCATCCCAGTCCCTGCCACAGGACCTGCCCCAGGCACCAGAGATCCCAGAGCTGCTGGGTTACAGGAGCCTGAGGGGCACCTCTTGGGCACCTTTCCCCAGCCTCCAGAGCTGCTGGGCTGGTGCCGCCCCACCTCATGCCCTTGCAAGGTCTGTCCTGGAGGCAGATGGTTTCCGTCTGTCCTTCCCTGGGGTCACAACTTGCCTGGCTCCCTGCCGAGGCCTCCTAATCCCCTTTCCACTCCTCTGCTCCCCCAGCCTCAGCAGGGAGCTGCCCTCTGCTCCCGCAGAGCCACCAGATGCCACCTGGTGCCACTGCTGCTGCTCTGTGCTGCTCCTCGAGGCAGTGCCATGCATGTGCCCAGCACGCAGTGCCCCAACTGCAAGGGTCCCCCGAAGCAATGCCTGCTCCTAGAGCTGTGACCATGGCCCCTGGGTCTGCTGGCAAGGACAGTGCTTCAGATTACCCCAGTATCATCTGGGTGTGTGCCCTGGCCTGGTGGAGAAGGGAGCAGCTCCTTTATGTGCTACTGAAAGCACGAGCAACCTCAGGGAAGGATCATCTCCTTCCACACAAGCCAACACCATCCTGCATTCCTCCCTGTGCCATCCCCATCCCAGGTCTTCTGGGTTCTGGTTGCTCCCAGGCAGGACAGGTCTGGAAATCTGCTCCTCCAGCACGTGCTGCACAAAGTTTCCTCTGAAAAACAAAAAGTAAAAAATTTCCAGGGGTTTGCCAAGGTTTTCTCTCATTATCGGCCCCTCCGGGCCGTGCTGAGTGGTGTCTGGGAAGGCAGCCAAGCCGAGTGGTGTGGCGGGATGGAGCAGGCGGGAGCTATTTGGTATGCAGGCTTTGAACTTGGGTGAACCTCAGCCTACAAGCCCTCCGGCATGAGCCACACCAGCGGGACGCGAGAGACGTGCCGTGACGGCCAGCCGGGCTTCCACGGACCTGCTGGGACCGGGGCGCCTGGCAGAGCCCCTGGGTCGGGGCACAGGGAGCAGGCGGTGAAAGCTGCCTGAGACGGTGGCACAAGGGGATGGGACGTGGCTGTGATGCGAGGGTGGCTGGGCACAGGGGGCTTCTGGCTCCTCTGAACCTAGATGAAAGTGAAGCTCGTGCAAGCTCACGCGGCACAGATGCTCCAAGGCTCTCAGCTCTGGCTGATCCCACAGCCCCGCTCTGGGCTGTTTTTGTAGGAAAGGGACTTTGGAGCAGCCGCCGAGCAAAAGCCCCCACGAAAGGCTCCCAAACCGTTGGGCAGGCTCCCTCACTGATTCCTGGCACTGCACCAGCACTCAGGAGGATAAATCCATCCTATTCCCATAAAAGCCCGATGTCAGATAGTTCCTTTCTCTTTGTGTTGGGTTTAAATCTACTGCAAAGGGCTCACAAAAGCTGGGGGCTCACACTTTGGGGAATCAACCAAAAATGTGCTGGGGGTGCAGAGCCTGCTCCAAAAACTTGGAAAGCTTTAGAAACATCTCCATGATGAAGACGGAAGTTGTAGAAAATGAGTCAAAGGGGATTAATCACTTGTGGTAGCAAGAACTAGCTCTCTCCGCATGGCCGGTGCAGGCGGCGGCTGTGACAGTGCCTGTCCCTGCGGCCGGGGACACGCTTGGAGGAGCCGTCACCTGCTTCTGGGGGCAGGGAGCTCTGGTTGCTGCTCATCGCACCAGGAGCCGCAGCATATTTTGCCCCCAGCAGGAAAAGGGCTGAGATCTGCACTGACAGTGTGGTGCCCCCTCCCCAGAAAAATCCAATGGCCAACAAAATGCCACGCGGTGTCTGTGTGGTTGTTTCCATGCCAGAGGATTCAGCACGTCTACTTGTCCCATTGGGAAAGTGTTTTTGTGGCCCCACGTGGGGTCTGTCCCCATGGGAGGAGGGCACCCTACTGGGGCATCCCCCATGCCTACCAAGTCTGTTCCCAACACACCTCCCGTGGAGCAGCCCCTGCTCCTGCTGAGCTTCTGGAGGGTGCCCATGGGAGCCCATGGGTGCCACTGCCCAGCCCAAATCCTCCTCTTTACAGAACCCCCTCTCCAGCGACAATGCCTCGTCCCTGTGCAGCACCGTGGATTACAAGCCACCGCCGCCGGAGGAGGAGGCAGTGGCAGAAGAGGCTGAGGAGAGCAACGAGCCTGAGGAGTGCTTCACCGAAGGTGAGGGATCAAGCAGAGCCAGGCAGCCCGTGGAGAGGGGGTGGTGGACGTGGAGAGGCTGTTGCAAACCAGTGCTTGCAGTGTTACAGTCCTAGGGCTCGCCTAGCTCAGACCAAGCTTCAAATTCTCCTGCCCTTGTGGGTGGGCATCCCCATGCCCAGCAGGATCCTTCCCCAGCCTCCACCTGGGAGGGGTTAAAGCATCAGTAAAAGCACAAAAAACTTCTCGCTGGTGGAGAGGCAACCCAGGCTCTCTGTCCCCATTCCCAGCCTGTGTGAAGAGGTTTCCCTGCCTCTACGTGGACATCACCAGCGAGAGAGGGAAGGTCTGGTGGAACATCCGGAAAACCTGCTTCCGCATCGTTGAGCACGACTGGTTCGAGACCTTCATTGTCTTCATGATCCTCCTCAGCAGTGGGGCACTGGTAGGTCCCACCCCACCTTTCACCCCATCTTTGCTCTGCAGCAACTCCCTGCTGCTTCTCCTCCCACCCTTAATCTCGGCTGCGAACCATCTGCACCTTCAGCTTAGCTTGATGTAGATGGCTCGTCACTTTGCTGCCTCCATTTCTGGCTGGCAGGAGATGCTTTATGGATAATTGATGATTATTATTTCACTGTTCAGCACTTTCAGCTGCTGACGGGTGTGCTTTCCCAGCACCTGGGTCTCCATTTGCATCGACCTCACTAAAAAGCTGTACATCGGCCTTTAGGTCCTCCCTGAGTGTTTGGGCTAGGCGTAGCTCAGCTGCCCCTGTAAATGCACGGAGCTGATGGGGAGACCAATCCCTCTGCAGGGCTGGGGGTAAGGAGAGAGGGAAGGCGAGCAGAGGGACTGGACGTGCCTTCAGGCGCACTTCACGTGTCCGCACCACACTCTGAAGTGCAGTCTGGGGCCGGCTGAGGCTGTAGCTGTGTGGGAATCGAAAGTTGTGCTGAAGCAGCTGTGCAGCACCTGGTCACCGTGCCCCTACCTCTGCTCACACTTTACGTGCCACGTGGACACATGAGAAACCCAAACTCCTAAGAGAATTTCCAAAACTACCTGGGTTCCCAAAGGCGCGTGTAGGTGTCCTGGCTTTTGATTCACATGGAGACTGATGGGACTTAGGTGCAGCTGGACATTTGCTTCAGCACAGCTTTGCTCCGGGACAAACCCTGCTCCACGTAGCCACCAAGAACCTGCAAACAAGAGTTAGACCCTGTGTTGGTCTGTAAATGCCACCTGTGGTGAGGCTCTCAGCTCTTCAGGCTGCCCCAGGAGAGTAGGGATGATGCGCTGTGGCCATGGCTGCACCGAGCTGGGCTGCGGGCCTAGTGGAAGAACAACTGTCAGGTAGCTCTGCACCTCTTCCAGGCTTTTGAGGACATCTACATTGAACAGCGACGGGTGATACGCACCGTCCTGGAGTACGCCGACAAGGTCTTCTCCTACATCTTCGTCATCGAGATGTTGCTCAAGTGGGTGGCCTATGGCTTCAAGGTTTACTTCACCAACGCGTGGTGCTGGCTGGATTTCCTCATCGTCGATGTAAGTGCAACGAGCACCTGCAGGATCGCACTCAGCCAGGGGGTTTGGGAGCGCTACGGGCTTGTGGCCAGCTGTGTCAAACCAAGCCGTGGTTGCATTTTAAAGGACAAAGAGGTGGCTGTGTGATGAGGACTTAGACCATTGTTTTTAATGGCCACTCCTTTTCCCGGTTGCAGAAACCCTTTCAAACCTTTTATGCACGCACCAAGCACAAGCTCACAGGGCTCTACTAGAACCCAGCAGAGATGTGAAGAGGCGTAGGGTCCCCTGAAAGCTCTGTGACACAGCAGGCCATTTCTGTGTCCCCAACCACCTCCACCCAAGAGGCAGGGACCTCCTTGGGGTGGCCTGGTCACCAGAGATGTGGGGACTCAGTGCCAGTCCCTGTGTCCTGAGACAACATGATGACACTGGCCTGAGGGATGAGCTGGGGAGGGAGAGAAGGGCAGGGGTGCACAGATGGGATTCAGTTCCTCCCCGCTGTTTCCATCTGAGGCACTGCTAACTCCCTGGGCTGCTCCTTCCAGGTTTCTATTGTCAGCCTGACAGCAAACTGGCTGGGATACTCCGAGCTGGGAGCCATCAAGTCCCTGCGGACACTGAGGGCCCTGAGACCACTGCGCGCCCTGTCCAGATTTGAAGGGATGCGGGTAGGTGCCTCTTCAAGCTCCAACACGGCTGCATGGTGCAGCACCAGTCAGCAGAGCTGGGCCCTGGCTGGTCACCAACAATGGGAACCCATCCCAGACGATTTCCAAAGGTCTCCAGATTGGTGGGGTCAATGCTAAATACCCTTGGCCGAGCCTGAGCCTGCTCAGTGCTGGGGAGGATAAGGCTGGGACACAGAGGTTCCCTGGCCAGGGCCTCCATGGTTGTTTCTCTCCATGCAGGTGGTGGTGAATGCCTTGCTGGGTGCCATCCCCTCCATCATGAACGTTCTGCTGGTCTGCCTCATCTTCTGGCTGATATTCAGCATCATGGGGGTGAACCTCTTTGCGGGGAAGTACTACCGATGCGTAAACACCACCTCGGGGGAACTCTTTGAAATCAGTGTGGTGAACAATAAGAGTGACTGCATGGCTCTCCTCCACACCAACGAGGTCAGATGGGTCAATGTCAAGGTCAACTTTGACAACGTGGGCTTGGGATACCTGTCCTTGCTGCAGGTGGTACGTACAGAAAGCAACTGCTGTCCCTCCAAGCAGCGTGTGGGCTTAGCAGGGCGGCGTGTGTAGCATCAGGGTTAAAATGAGGTGCTCCCCTGATGCCCAGGACGGGTTTCTTGGCTGCTGCTTAGTTCCAGAGTTGGTATTTAACCCCAAAAACCTGCAGAGTCAAGGAGGAAAGGGAGAAGATAGAAGACAGGAGGGGAAAAGGTGATTGTCACCGGGGAACTGTTGTGGATGAATGAGTATAGCACCAAGCCTGGAGTTGCAGGAAGTCCTCCACAGCAGGGGATGCAAGAGCAAGGAGGCAAGAGAGTTTTAAAGCATCATTATTTGGAAAAGGAATATGCCATAATGCAGGGGAGTTGGAGCCAACAAAGCCTCCCATCTGCCCAATCTATCTCTCAGGCTCCCTAAACTCCAGACTCCAATCCAGTTTTGCAGCCTAACAGATTCCTGGCAGGGATATGTTCCCCTTGCTACAGTTAGGTCTGTTACAGTCACGGGCTGCAAGAGTTTTGCATGAGGAAGATGACAATTGGAAAAAGAGCATGTGTGTGTTGGCTGCAGGGCAGTGGACGAATGCAGCCGTGCTTCCACTGAACCCACTGCAGCTGAGCAAGGCAAGCAGAAGGGGAACTGCTCACCACAATTTTAATAAAAATATAGGTGTGGGCTCTGTTATTGGGTGGACTAGGGTTACTCCCACTGGATCCAGGGGAACTGGTGGTTGCAGAACCAAAGCATAACCCAAACTGATTAACCACCTATAAATTTAGCTTCCTCTTCAAGGTTTGTTGTTCCATCAGATTCAGGAAACAAGATGTTCAAGCTGTTTGCTTAGCAAATCAGCAGAAAAAGCCTGTCAATACACAGTGTGCCTTCACCTTACCAGGATGGGGGTCCACCAGCCATCAGCGGCAGCAAGACAGAAGGCAGGATTTATGGAGGTGGTGCCGGTTCAGGGAGAAGGAAAGAAGCAGCCAGGAAAATTGGGGCAATTCATTGTTTTAGAGAGAAAAGAGTCCACAGCTGCTTTTTCCCAGCCTCTTTTGAAGTGGTGCTTTAGGAAGTCATTGGTAACCTCAGCCACAGAATGGAGCTTATATGCCCATAGGTGTGCACGCACCTGTGTCAACCTCAGTACTTCTGTATGGGTGCATGTTTCTTGTGGACGCAGCACGTGGTCCTTCTGCCATTCTCCCTGAGGAGCATCCTGTGGTGCAGCAGCAGCTCCATGCATGGAGCCATACCCCAGCCTAAGCCCCAAGTGTGTGCTCAGTGCCTTCTGCTCTCCTTGTAGCCCCAGCTGCCTCCTGATGAGCCCGCTCCTCTCTCTGTCCCTGCAGGCAACCTTCAAAGGCTGGATGGACATCATGTACGCTGCTGTGGACTCACGTGAGGTGAGGGGATAAACAAGGACTTCTCGCTGCCAGCACCAAGTGTCACCCATCCCATAGGGCTGGTTCCACCTAGCTGGCCAGGGCTTCAGCTGGGTCATGGGCCAAAGAGTGGAGAACCCCCCCCAAAAAGTCCCCCTGCCAAGGCCTGCAGCTTCAAAGAGGGCGGTCAGTTGTGTCCCTCCAGAGCCTTCTGCCACCCGTGTCATTGTCACCTGCATCCCAGCCTCCATCCCAGCTGCACCCCGGTCCCTGCACTGGGCTCCCAGCCCACCCTACAGCTGGGGCTGAGCCCAGCTTCAGCTTTGTGGTCTGAAATTTCCACACTGCACCTACAGCTCTGTGTGACGTCCTCCATGTGCTCTTCCAGCTCAAAGAACTTATCCCATCCTGGAGACAGTGATATATATACATGTATCCAAAAAAAAGATGTTTCAAAGAGTTTCATGTTTGTGCTGTGATCCATCCCCAGATGTGTCCCTGCACCACCCCCAAGCATGGCCATGGGCTGATACGGTGGGAGGGATTTCCTGCCTTTCTCTAAGGGAGCACAGCATTCACCCATGCCCCATTGAGGGCCAGCCCTGCACACCCACACCCCAAGCACGTTGTTTTCACTGCCTTTTTTTAGCTTCAGAAACAGCCTCTCTGCTCGTCCCGGCTGCAGCTGCCAAGCACCCAGCCATAAAGCTGATATGGGAGAAAATGTGTTCTCCTCTGCCAGGAGCTTGCCTTGAAATGGGGGAAGTCAGCTGTGACACCTAGGGACATCTCCGCTCAAATATTAGAAGAATTAAATGACACCTATTGAGATGAGGAGTGTTGGAAAACCCTCCTTGGGCTGCCAGGCTTTGCCACCCCTGGGTGCTGGTGTGGTGTGAATTAAACCACCCTTCCTTTCCCCTTTCGGCTGTATTTCAGCCCTTGGAAAGTTGACTGTTGGGAAGAAGCCCAATTTGCTCGTTGATATCAGCCCTGCCCCCATGCAGCCTTCCTATTCCCCAGCACAGGGTTCAGGACATCCTTGTCCCCAGCCCAGCTGGCGCCTGCTCCCTTGGGGACCACACAACCCAGCCAACATCTGCCAAAGGCTTTGCAGCAGCCACACCATTCTCTGTCAAGATATGGTGGCCCCTGGACCAGGGGCTTGGGGACATGCTTTTGGGGGAGAGTTAGTGTCATGTATTCATCTCTTATTTCCCATCTCTGCTGGCCAGATTGAAGAACAGCCATCGTACGAGATCAACCTCTACATGTACATCTACTTCGTCATCTTCATCATCTTTGGTGCCTTTTTTACCCTGAACCTCTTCATCGGTGTCATCATTGACAACTTCAACCAGCAGAAGAAAAAGATAAGTATTTTCTGGGTCACGCAGCCATCTCTGCCTCCTGGAGCCCTGGTCCAGGACACAGGGGAGCAACATCTTTCCTTTTCCCACCATGACTTTTTACTCATCGTTTTTCCATGTGTTGGGGAAAGACTGAATTTCTGAAAATGAAAACTTCTGAGCTGTTTTGAAGTGAATAACATGGGACAAATGCGGGGGCAGAGAGTGCGTAATGCAGCACGTGCTGCTCGCACCAAGCAAGTTCTGAGATCACAGGATCTGGGAACACGGATCTAGGGTGAGCTCTAATAGGGCACGGGGTGTCCTGCTTGCTGCATCAGGTGCTTCCCCAGTGCTGTCATCTTGCCGCAGCAGGAGGAAACCACAGCGCTGGGTTTAGCACCCATAGGTGCTGTCAGCAGGGGGAGGTTTCACTGACTCAGCACAGTGAGCAAAGCCCAGCTGGGGATGCATGGTGGGAAGGAACAGGGCATGGTCAGGGGTGTTTGGTGGGAAGATGTGAGTCCCCAAGGCTAATGGTGGCGATTCTCTTTATACTTTGGAGGCAAAGACATCTTCATGACGGAAGAGCAGAAGAAATACTATAATGCCATGAAGAAGCTCGGCTCCAAGAAACCACAGAAGCCCATCCCCAGGCCCTCGGTACGCTGGGTTAAGCTCCTTGGAGCACAGTGGGGAGGGAGTGCCTCAAGCCACTGACTGTCCCAAGTGAACGAGAAAGGTCTGGGCAAGAGTATTTGCCAGCACAAAGAGCCAAATCCTGGTTCCCCCTTTATCTCCTCAGATGGGATCTTTGTAAGGGCTGGGGCTTCAGGAGAGGTTCACCTCCTGCCTGGGTCTGTTCTTCAGCCCTGGGTATGCTGGCAAGGGCAAGAGGGGAATCCCTTTCATAGGCATCAGGTTTTTCTCCTAGTTCCTCTCTCACAGATAGGTTAGAGTCAGGGAAACCTCAATGCTCATGGAAGAGAAGCTGGTCCAGCCAATACATACCCAGTTGTGACTAGGGATTCTTCTTGGTGGCCCAGCTCAAGTGAGGTCTTTTCCCGTGTGTTCCTTTTTGCCCTGATGCATTAGCAATGGGTATACTTGGAAAACAACAGCCCTGTGCCCACACCTCACCCACAGTGTCACCAGCCTGGCCTCATCCCACGAGGTGCTGGGTGTTTTCCTCCCGCAGCTTGGGCTGAGGCCCACATAGGGGCTGTGACCCTGAGATTTCCTGCACACTGTTAAATATGGTTCCTTCTTCTCTTTCTGTTGTGTCTTTGTTTTCTGTGGGTCTGTTCTGTGTTCCCACCTCACCTCTGGTCCTCCATCGTTACCCACACGGCCCCCACGGCAGAACAAGTTTCAAGGGATGGTGTTTGACTTTGTTACCAAGCAAGTGTTTGACATAACCATCATGATCCTGATTTGTCTTAACATGGTGACCATGATGGTCGAAACAGATGATCAAAGCGAGCTCAAAACAGACATCCTCTACAAAATCAACCTGGTCTTCATCGTCATCTTCACTGGAGAGTGTGTGCTAAAAATGTTCGCCTTGCGCTACTACTACTTCACTATTGGCTGGAACATATTTGACTTTGTGGTGGTCATCCTCTCCATTGCAGGTAAGCCCTGGAGGCTCTACCAGTTCCTCAGGTCTCCCACCAGGTAACAGAGAGTAGAAATTGTCTGTCCAATCACAGCTGTCACCAGCCAACCCCCTGTGCCCACCCTTTGAGCAGGGTGAAGGGACCTGGGACAAGAAGGATGTGAGGCCACCCTGTGCTACCAAGACAGGGTGAGGGTGATGTGTCCTGCACCCTCCATCTCAATGTTTCATGGCTGCACTGCAGAAACAGAGCAGCAGCATTTAATCTTTGGCTCTGCACTCAGAGATTTGAGTATGTTCCCTTTACCATCGGAGGAGCCAAGAGAACTGCATGCTCTTGGGGACGGCCTCATCCCAGCCCTGGTAGATGATGGAGAAGCTCCACCTTGCCCTCCTGTGTCAGCTGCAGAGCACAGCAAACTCACTTCTTTTTCATCCCTTTGCAGGTATTGTCCTCTCGGACATCATAGAGAAGTACTTCGTATCACCCACACTCTTCAGGGTCATCAGGCTGGCAAGGATTGGCCGTGTCCTCCGACTGATCCGAGGAGCAAAAGGTATCCGGACTCTCCTGTTTGCTCTGATGATGTCCCTGCCTGCCCTCTTCAACATCGGCCTCCTGCTGTTCCTCGTCATGTTCATCTACTCCATCTTTGGGATGTCCAACTTCGCCTACGTAAAGAAAGAGGCAGGGATCGATGACATCTTCAATTTTGAAACTTTCGGGAACAGCATCATCTGCCTCTTCCAGATCACCACATCGGCAGGATGGGATGGTCTGCTCAGCCCCATCCTCAACAGTGGCCCTCCCGACTGTGACCCCGAACTGGAGAACCCTGGCAGTTCAGTAAAAGGGAACTGCGGCAATCCATCCATCGGCATCTTCTTCTTCTGCAGCTACATCATCATTTCCTTCCTTATTGTGGTGAACATGTACATCGCCATCATCCTGGAGAATTTCAACGTGGCCACAGAGGAGAGCAGCGAGCCGCTCTGTGAAGATGATTTTGAAATGTTTTATGAAACGTGGGAGAAGTTTGACCCAGATGCCACCCAGTTCATCGCGTACAGCACCTTGTCTGACTTTGTGGACACCTTGCAGGAGCCGCTCAAAATTCCTAAGCCAAACAAGATCAAGCTGATCACCATGGATCTACCGATGGTTGCTGGGGACAAAATCCACTGTCTGGATATTCTCTTTGCCCTGACAAAGGAAGTGCTGGGAGACTCGGGAGAGATGGATGCCCTGAAGGCCACCATGGAGGAGAAGTTCATGGCCGCGAACCCCTCGAAGGTTTCCTATGAACCCATCACCACCACTCTGAAAAGGAAGCACGAGGAAGTGTGTGCTACAAAAATCCAGAGGGCTTTCCGGAGGTACCTCCTGAGGCGCTCGGTGAAGCAGGCCTCCTACATGTACAGGCACAGTAAGGATGAAGATGCCCTGAGAGGGGACGCGCCTGAGAAGGAAGGTCTGATCGCAACCAAAATGCATGAGATGTATGGGAACAGTGGGACAGACGTGGAGACAGCCCCGGCCTTTAGCCTTGCACCTGTGCCGAGCTCAGAGACTCAAGATGCTCCCGGTGAAGTGAAAGTGTGGGATGGGAAACGCATTGTGAAGGAGTCGCTTGTATAACAGGGAGCGATTTCCATCTCGTGGCATCGCCCATCCTGAAAAGACTCCATTTGTATCTCCTCTTCAGAAATCTTCCATGTTCAGATCAATAGATCTCAGATGTTGAGCTAATTTCAGATATTTCAAGCAGACACCTTAATTTTCTGAGCAGGATCTCTTACTGATCCTGGTTTTTGTAGCTCACTGTACTTGCAAAGGGCTTAATATTTTTCTTATGAGATTGAAATGTGAAATCTCTCTATTGTTGGTGAAAGAGAAACATTTTAGTTTTGAAATGATCTAATCATGGTAATGATGTTTTTCAGACATTAACAAATGAGGATGGCTGTCCTTTTACTTAAAGTAATTGTTTATTAATGTTATTTCACAATGAAGATATTTTCTTCCTATTATTCTTCCAGAGTGCAGCCAAGTAACCAGTGAAAGATGAGCCAAGTGAAATAATATTAAGAATAATTACAGAAGGGTTTTGTGAACAAAAAAATCTCCAAAGTCTTAAAGTAGCACCTTTCTTTTGGATATTTTAATAAGCTTTATGGATTTTTGTTATATACAGAGAAAGTGCAATTATGTCTTAAGGATTTGTTTGCATAGCCAAAACAAGCATCTGCAGATATGTTCTCAGGGTTAAATATCAGATTTTAAAGGTCTCTGAATATACACTGAAACCATAAATCATTCAGGTCTCCATGGTACGAATATAAGCTGTGTTTATATTCATGCTTCTCTTCTGTTTTCCCATTCCATCCAGATTTTGTGGCAGGAAAGCGATGGACAGAGGTAGCATTTGGAGAACCTCCTCCAGGAGCTCCTTGTAACAAAAAAACACCTTGCACATTTTTCTTCGAGCCCCACAGCAAGCAGAAACTAGCCTTAGCTAATGAGACACATCCCCGGGGAGTAAGGAGTGGTCTTTGCATTGATGGCGTCATTGATTGCTCAATGACATCCCATAAACCCCATCAGCTACCGAGCGCCAGGGCTTTAACACAATGAATGCTCCTTCCCAGGAACACTCAGGAGGGGTGGCAGGTGGGTGTAAATTCTCCAAATTACCTAATACTCGGGCAGGGCGTCCTTCCCTCTGCCAGGGCTCTGGAGCTGCCCCTGCGCCTGTTGGTGCCATGGTACCTGCAGAGTCCCTGGGGCCAGGAGGATCCTCGCCAAGAAGCATCCCACAGAGAGGGGTTCTCCCAGGGGAAAGTCCTGTCATTGCTCCCATAGGTGGCCAAAAGGAAAGAAAATGGAGTAAAATGAGCAAAAGTACCCCGGTTAATCTCTGGACTGCCTTCTTTCTACAAAAGGGAAAACACTCTTAAGATCGAAACAACCACAAACCAAAACTTCCAGTTAAAACAAGGGCTGCTGCTTGAAGCCAGGGGGTCTGTCTTTTTTTCTTCTTCTCTTCTGTTTTGTTTTGTTTTTAATTATTAATATTATTTCTTCTCCCTTCGGCTGGTTTTGGCTCAGAGCCGTTGCAGATGCCTTATGGCACCCTGCGGAGCTCGCTTGCATCCGTGTGCTTTTGGCCAGGCGGCAGAGCCGGGGCCGCTCTGCCCACTGCATCACACCACGTTGTGCTTCCATTTCCATGTGCATAGAGTGACGCTCCCTGGAACAGGAGCCTTAGGGTGTGGCATGCTGCTTTAAAGTGCCTTTGCATGGGAAGCATCCATGGCACAGCTCTTTCCAGCCCAGGTTGTGGTTCACGATCAATGCTGCTTGTACGTACGCGTCGTCGGTGATGGAAAAATGCCAAAGAGCAGAGTTTGTGTGAGCTAAAGCCCTTTTTCTTTGTACATTTCTTAAAATAAAAAAAAAACGTAAATGGTCGATTATTACAATACCAAATGTGTTGGTGTGCGTTAGGGGAGAAAGTGTTTCCCATACCACTGGGAGGGGGAAATCACCTGCCCCAGTCATAAATACCTGCTCCCTCCAGGGAGCCTCTGGCCACACCATCCTCTGCAGGACCCCCAGTGGTGGGGTCCCATTCTGCTCAAGAGACCTCCCGAGATGAAAGCTCCCCCCAGCCCCTCCAGCCCAGTCTCTAGAGCTTCTGTTCTGCTCATGGATATGTCCCATGCGTCCTTGCTGCCTCCTGCCTCCCCCAGCAACAAGCCCCAGCTATGGGAGACACTGCTGTCACGTCAGCCGAGGAGAAGGGAGGACTTGGAGGCGGTGTCCAATGCTGGGCTCTGTGGAGCCAAACCTGTCCCACTGGCTGCATGGGAGCAGGGAGCATCACGCAGAAGAGGCAGCAGCAGGTGAAGAACATTTCTGTGCTGATGTGTGGCCAGAGGCTGAGCTGGGAGAGACCTCCAGGACCTGCTGATGTCCCTAGGGGCCACAGCACAGCCTCACTGTTGTTTTCTCTCTCCCTAGAACAGCTCGTGCCAGGGCTGGTGTAATTCAAGTGGGACGCATCACAGCACCCACGCAGGCAGCAGGATGGAGGGAGGAGGTGGCACAGCCCCCATGTCCCTGTCCCCCTGCGGTGGCAGGAAGGACAGCGGTGAAACACAAGCCACCATGAATAAGAATGGGCTGGTGAAGGGTGCAGCTGCCTGGCCCTGGCTCAGCTGTGCCCTGTGCTCGTCCCGCCACCCGCTGTGGGGACACGGGCCCTTCCTCATGGGACCATCATGTCTTTCCCAGGCACCTCCAGCCTGGGGAGCAGCTGCTGGCCTTCCTTGCATGCTCATTGCAGCTCCTATATCCAGCCCCAGGGGCTGATTACCAAATCTCTCCTGTGTTTCCTGTGCTGTCCCAGCTCCTAAGCATCTCCATCACTGCTGGCTTGCCAGGACATCACAGCCAGGCTGAGTTTTAGCAGCAATACCAAGGGTGCTGACAGTTTAGCCCCAGCGTACAGCTCCATGCATGGCACAGCCTGGCCGCTCTGCTGCAAGAAGGCACCTCTCCCATCATCTCTTTCCCTGGGGCCACAGTTTCTCTGGAAACCTTTATTTCTGCTCTTGCTCGGCTCACACCCCCTTGCACACAAGGTGAGACTTGGGCCGGCTCCCAGCAGCTGCCGGATGCTCAGAAACAGCAAAAAAGAAACGACCTGCAGAAAGTGGAGGTTTGGGGAGGCCCCAAGAAGGCAGAGCTGGGCTCTGGGGACCAACCCGGCTGGCAAAAGTACCCCAAGGTGTTTTTCAGATGGAGTTACAGTTCAGTGCTCACCCGTAGTTCGCAGAGCACAGTGGTTGGAGAGGTGCTGTGGCACAATGTGACGGGGAACTACATCTCTGTGCCAGAGAGATGGGGCCAGGGCACAGCTTGGGTGCCACTTGTGGTGGCTGTGCCCAAAGGATGCAGGAGGAAGGGTCTCGGTCATGGCAATCATGCTGCAGAGAAGGACCAGGCATGGTGAGCACCCAAGGAGGGGGCTCTGTTTCCTGGACACCCTGTCTAGGCTTCGCCCTTCCCCAGATTGGCAGTCCTGGGGACTCTTTGGGGTGCTGGGGACAGGAGCTGTGAGCCAATGCCACCGAACCCTGCAGCGAGCAGGAGAAACCCAAAACCCACCTCCTTCCCGCGCTTCATGTGCTGCTCTGACCTCGCAGCCACTGGCCCAGCCTCCACCACTGCCTGTGGCTGCGTTCCACATCTCACGCAGGGCAGAGCCCGCGCTGTCAGGGAGCTGGGGTGTGATCCTGCTTCGCCTGGGGTAACCCCATCCCCTGCCCTGTGGCACGGAGCCGTGTTGGTGCCAGCACCCCCTCCCTGCACTGCACCTCTGCCAGCCGAGGCGAGGAGTCGCCGAGTGCTCCACAGACAGGCCCACCTCCACCGGGGGTGCAGAGCCCCCAGCCTCGGTCCTCTCCCTCAAATAACTCTGCCATGGTGAGCACGGCCCAAGGACATGAGGCTGGACAAGGCAAGGGCGGGCACAACAACAGGGGCCCCAGCGTCTGCGCTGCATTCAAAACCAGCCCCAGGGAAAGTCCCCACCACGGCCAATTTACATGAGCAGGAAAGACGCCGTCTTGCGTAGCAGCAGCTTTGCCATTTTTAGGTGCAAAGGCCAAGCTGTTTGGAGCAGCCGTGGTGTTTTTGCAGAAGCAAGGGTCAGCGACTGGATGCTTCCCTGTTGTTTGCAGTGAAAAAATGGCTGATTTCTGCAGGAGGCTCTGGGTTCTCCAGGCAAACCTCTGGCTGATGGCCCTGGCTGCAGGTAGGCATCCAACACCGGCTTTGTGCTGTAGAGGGTTGAAGGAGCAAGAAAGCATGCACATCGGCATGCGTCCCTTGCTTTGTGCATTATGGGACTCCATCCATGTCTGGCTTTAAATAAATTAAACTTTACAAGTTGTGAGTTTTCGCACGAAGCCAGACTGTGGGGGGATGGGGAAAGTGCAGGGCTGGGGTGGCGCGCAGGAGCTGGTGGGCAGCTGGGGCCAAGGGAGCTGGGGAGCCTGGTGCCGAGCGGGTGCAGAGCCTTCATGGCTGTGGTGGAGGGAAAGAAGAGTTTTCTTCCCCATTTATTGTTCATGGAGGCTGGAGGATGGGAGCAAGCTGGGGGCAGCACATCGCTGAGGCCAGGGCCAAGCCACCTGCCTTTGCTGCACAGGGCTGCGTGTTCAAGAGGGGAGGAGAAATGGGAGGAAAAAGGCTTTTGTGGTTGACCTGGGGGGGTCAGTGTGAACATCCCTATGATGTTCCCTTTGAACCCCCATGGAGAAGCAGCCTTTCAACCCAGGACAAGGCTCCTGTCCCTTTCCTCCCTCTCCTTGATGCAAGGGTGCCCACAAACCCTGAAGCAGCCCCCGCGCTCATCTTCAGGCTGAGGAACCTCAGCCTGTGGGAGAAAATCATGTAAAGGGTTGCTGTTGGGCACCTGAGCCCAGCGCAGATTTGGCCTTGTAAGGGTTCATCCTTACCCTCAGGGTGGCTTCAGAGAAGGTGGGGAAAGCTCAAGCTGCTTGTGGATGCAATCGAAATCTTGCCTTTGGAGGGTCTGGGGGCTGCAGGGTGAGGAGCCAGCTTGGTCATCATTCAGAAACAGCAGCAGAGCTCAGAGCGAAGCCCCAGCTGCAGGTGTCAGGGACACGAACCCAGCGCACAGGCTGGACCAGGGGCATCTCTGCGTTGTAAAACGAGATGAGGCCAGAAGGGAGAGGGGGCAGGCATTAGAGACAAACTGGGCAGCCTGGTCCAAGGAAAGTGTCCGGAACCAAGTCCTCACCACGCTGCTCATCGGGGCGGGAAGGTCTGCAGTGGGGCAGCAAAGTGTGGGGCAAAGCTCAGGCTGGGGAAACGGCTTCTGGTTCTTCTTCTTATTATTCTCTTCTTCTGGGGGGCTCTGCAGCAGCCCCAGCACGCTGGAGGTGGTGCAGCCCCCACCTCCGTGCCAGCTGCCCTGCAGCAGGGCTTGGCGAATGCTCACTGAGCAGACGGAGCTGGGCGCTGAAGCGGCGCGGCAAACAGGGCTGGTGCTTCCTGCCCAGCTGCAGCAAGAGGAACCGGGCACCCGCGGGGCACCGGGCTCCTCGCCCCGGCCCAGCACATTTTAATAGCAGAAGCAGGTTTCACTGGGTTGTCAACCAGAAAGCAGCTTACTTCATTCAGGAGATGGGGTGGAAATAAGAGGGCTTGTGCTCAAATGGCCTCTGCGTGGGGTCTGGTTGATGCTCCTGAGCTCACTGCCCCGTATGGGGAGGGTGTGAAGGAGCCACAGGGCGTGCGGTCCCATCTGGAATGTCCTCAGTGGGCTCCTCCTACAGGAGTCCTTGGCCAGTGTCTCAGAGCCCTTCTCCTGTCTTGCAGGTGGGATCTCAGCATTCGGGAACAGCACCAGTAACAGCACAGGTAACATCTCAGACCCGCTGGGCCCTTTCCTGCGTCCCCAGGGTCCCTCCCAACTCTCTGGCTGTACCATGAGGCTGCCAGCCCCAGCAGAGCCACAAATGTCCCCAGAGCCCTTCCCAGGCTGCAACCTCCTCTGGGGCATCTCCCTCCCCTGCTCTGCCTCTGCAAATCCGGATCCGTTTTGTCTTTCCTAAGGATGTGAGCATTTTAACTCAGCATTTGCAGAGTGCATTGGGTGATCGGGCCATGGCTCCGGACCAGGTGACAGAGGTGATGGGCTTGTGCCATTCCCACCTCCAGGATGCTGAGCATGAGCTCTGCCACCCAAACAAGTCCCAGCTCTGGGACATGAACACAGGCAAAACACAAAATACAGCAAAATGAACAAAAAGAAAAAAAGAAAGAAAAAAAAAAAAAAAGTAGAAGTGATGGGGAGAGAAGCCAACTGGGGGTCTTGGCAAAGGCTCCGTGATGCATGCCAGTGCAGACTGTAATCTGGGAGCCAAGCTGGGGCTAAGAAGGCATAAGTATATAGAGATGGGTGGGAGCAGCAAAAAAGTGACCCAGTGAAGTCACTTCCACAAAAAAATGAGTTTCCACTACAAGCACCATGGCTCGACGTGCCCACCCTTGTCCCCTGGCAGGCAATGGGTGCCGAAAGCTGCACCAGCACCCGCGCTACGTGGCGGCCAAGAGGAACACACCCATCAGCTTCATCTGCTACACCCCAGAGCCCCAGAGCATGCAGTGGTACAAGACGGTGGAGGGCAGCGATCAGGTCTACGTGAGGGACCAGAACACCTCCCGCTTCAGCGTCGAGAGGACAGAAAACTTCATCAACTTCACTATCTTCGGGATCAGATACGAGGACAACGGCATCTACGCGTGCGACAGGAAGAACCTCAAGTCGGAGAACAAGCGGCCGCACATGTGCGGGACGGAGCTCAGGGTCATGGGTGAGTGGGACCCCCCGTCACCCCCACCGCTGGTGTGTGCCCTCCACGCACTTTTCCTCCTTCCCCCCTCCACGTGAAGCCCACTTCACACTCCTGGCACCAACCTTTCCTGTGCTGGTGGGATCCCTTCAGACACAGCCGTAGGTGCTCCACCACATGGCAGATGTTTCCTTGTGTGCGGGACAACCCCCCAGCTTTGCCTTGGCATGTCCATCCCATATAAATGCATCCCAGAGAGTGCATTGCCCTAAAAAATCACATTTTTCCCAGTTCTGGTCAGTGGTGGGTCTTATCCAGGGTGTCCCATTCCAGAATTGGTCCCTGATGCCAGCCTCAGGGGGCTGCAGTGCCCCGGTCCCCTCCTCTGCTCTGGCACAAACCTGTGGTCGTGCTGAGCTCGTCCCCGTTCCCTGGGAGCCTGGCATGGAGACAGGGCTCAGGGCTCTGTGCTGCTGCTCCCAGGTCACAGCAACATCCAGCAGATCCGGAGCAGGAACACCCTGAAAGATGCCATCATCATCATCCAGTCCATCCTGCTGGTCGTCTTCATCAGCGTCCCCATGCTCCTCTTCCTAGACAAGGTGAGTGGCAGCATCGCCAGCAGCGGGGACGTCCCCGGCTCCACCGCCGCAGTGCTCAGAGCAGTGCCCCGTGTCCTGGGCAGGGCGGTGAGGGCACTGCTGGGGCCGGAATGGGCAAGGACCGGGTTTGGGGACATGGCTACCTGAAAAAAGCATTTAAAATGGAATGGGGGAACTGTCCAGATTTGCCTGTGGAGGCTGTGGGGCCTGGCCTTGGGAGAGGGGTGGAGGATCCTGGCGCAGGCTGCACCAGCTATTGTGAGAGTGCTGGTGACACCCAACCTGTGACTCTCTTCTCTATAGGGTGAAGGCAAAGAGAGCCCTGAGGAGGACCACACCTATGAGGTAATGCTCAATTAATTATAGAAATACCTCTGTAATATCAGTCTGAACCTTGAAACAGCCAGTTATGCCCTTGCTGGGTGCCCTCGCAGAGGGCTGCGTTCCTCCCAAGTGCTTGTTGCTCCTTGGCCATAGAGCAGCTTGTAGACCCCAAGCCAAGCTCTAAGCACATTCACCCATCTGTCTCCATCTCCCCTTCCAGAAGCTGCCCTGATCCCTGGGGGAGCACTCTGGAGATGGGTCCCCACTTAGGGGTCCCCCTCCCATGTCTCAAACTGCTTCTTCTTCGGCGCAGGGTCTGGAGGTGGAGCAGATGGCCACCTACGAGGACATCACTCCTTTCCGTGACGTGAAGGCCAAATGGACAGTCGGGGAACACCCAGGGGAGGAGTGAGGGGTCTCACACCCACCGCCAGGCCAGCACCGGTGGCATCGCTCCCTGCCAGCACCACACCAGTGCCCCGTGGGGACAGGCACCCAGGTCCCGATCTGCCACCATGGACCTTCAGCTGCCTCCAGCAGCCCTGCACAGAGCTCGAGCCTTGCTGCCCTTCGGTGCTCGCTGCGCTCCCCAAGACTGTCCTATCCCGGCTGCTGAACCCCTAAAGCCCATGTAGATATTAGGAGCCAACCCCAGCCCCCTGGTCACCAGCAGCCCCGATCCCCAGGCAGCCCCACACCTTGCTCTGAGCTCCTGCGTGGCCAACACAACGGCAGTGCGGTGCTGGGTGCTGGGGCTCCTCCGTCCCCACCACCTCCTGGAAGGAGAGGACCATGCTTGATCACTCCCCGTGCTGCAAGGACCCTTGTGGGCTGTGAGACCCCGCTGTGGGCCCTGTAATCCTGGCAGTGGAGCCAAGGTGAGCAGAACTATTGGGGTGTTTTAAATAGATTTGGGGCCACTGTTTAGCTCTCAAGCCATAGACGTGCCCAGCAGGCCAAGCTGGAAGTTGTACAAGCTGGAAGATCCTCTGAAAGTGCCTCGTTCTCTCCAAAGACTACAGAAAAGCTGGGGAGGCAGCCCAGTCCTGGAGGGTCTTGCACAGGGCTTGCTCCTCACCAGGCAAGAGCTGGCCTGTGTCAGAAGGATGTTCCCTTGGAGAGGGACAAGTGCAACCTCAGAACCTATGGGAAAGATTTAAAGTGTGGGACACAGATGTACGACTGCTTTTTCAAGCCATAATAAAGGTAATGGGTAAATTCACATCCTGCACCTCCTGTTCCAGACATCCAAGCTGCGTCCTGCTGTGCCTGATCCAGGGGTGTCCTCAGTGCCGCATCCTGGTGCCACCCCACTATAACCCTGGTGCCAGGGTCTGTGGGATGTCTGGGAACGAGCAGCAGCTTTCTGTGGGTTCTGCTCAGGCAGCTGGAAACCAAATTTCACCCCTTCAGGGCCCCAAGTGCAGGCAGGGATGTGAAGTTGAGAGCAGCTGTGGGCTCTGCTGGAAGCCCCAGCTGAGCACTCACAGGGGGACCACCGCGGCCCCAAGACGTCAGTGATGAGCTTGGGACGAGACAAAAACCACCGCCAGGAACCGAAGCAGGAGGAACAGGGCCCCATGCCAGGAACAAAGAGCTGAGCTCTGCTCCAGCTACATGTGCTCTTGCAAGAAAAGCTAGAAAACATCTGGAGAGGAGCAGAACGGCACTAATTGGTTCTGTTAATAAAAACTGTTTTGGCGCGGCAGCAGCAGGCGTGCGGGTGACGGGGCTCAGGGCTGGCTGGGCACACAGCACCGGGGCTTTCACTGCCGGGGGGGTCCCCGGAGGCGTGGGGAGCCCATCACGGTGGGTTTGACAGGATGAAGCTGGACAAGGCAGGACACCGGGGTGACGGGCAATGGGGGAGGGGGGGTGACAACAACTGTGAGGCTGAAAGATGAGACCTCCCCAAGTCATGGACAGCCAGCAAAAAAAAAAACTAGGGTAAAATTACGAGCAAATAGGGAACAGGCTGGTTCTTGTTTACTGGTAAATCAGCTTAATGGAAAACTGGGATTCAATCTAAATAGCACAAAAACAGCATTTTAAGGTTGTTTTTTATTAGTTAAATAAGCTGTCCTAAACTGGCTAAATATACATGTATTTAAATGTTACTTAAACACGTCTTACTTGTAAATTTGATTAACTGAAGGAGTACTCACAGTGAGGGAAGTGAATTCCTGGTTTCCATGTTTGCCAAGATTTTAGAACTAGCAGGGCTCATCCCTCCATGCCTTGTTTTCAGCTACAAAATGGGAGAGGAAGGCAAATTTTCCGGCCTTCCCAATTCCCAACTGGTTTCTCAGCTCTGTGTAAACAACTCACTTAACCGAATCACACGAAGTATGGAGAATTTGCTGTTTCCAGCTGTAGAGGAAGCAATGTCAAAAGCAGTTTCAGTGACCCCAGTTCCGCTCTGCCGCTTGGCTACTCTCTTAGCCCAGGGCCTTAGCTTCCTTTAAAATGCCAGAAGCAAATAAGTATTTCTGTATTGCTAGGGTTTTACTTTAATTGCTTAGATTAGTTTCTGGGGAGTACAGAGATGGGTTTTAATTTTATATTGAAATAGGCTTGTATTTAAAATGCACTCAGTGTAATTAAATACATTTCAATATATACAGTCCAGGCTCTGTATCCTGATTCTTATCCCCACCATTGAAGTATGACTGGGCAGACAGTTGTTTTTAAGTCCCACTGGGCTGCAGTCCTGGACCTCCTTCAGCCTCATGATATCTGCCATTTAGAAATAGGCTGGGTGAAATTGAGCAGTCCTGGCTCCAGAAAATACACACACAAACACACAATTCAAACTGAAAGGACTATTTACTTTCAGGGTAGTGAGCTAGCAAAGGTAGTACAACCATCACTTAAAGCCTCTACCATCCATCTCGTTACCGACGGAGCTACAGAGCCTGGGCTGTGGGCCAGCATCTGGCTCCTCAGTCAGGATTCACCGTTTGCAGGTCCCCAGGCTGGGAACCTCTGCACAAAACCCCTCCTGGGGGGCCAGGAGGAACCAGGGCATACACATACCTTCAAGGAAAGTTGTTTCATTTGTCCACAGGGCAAGGTGGGTGGACGTGGGACCACCCTGAAAAGAATGGAGGTTTTTTTCTCTTTCAAATAAGAAAAGGAACTTGGAAATTACTGAGCCTCATGCTGCTTTATGATGTTCTACTTTGGGTCACGCATGTGGGCACTTGGAAGCTAGAAAAATGCCAAGCTGATATTTGCAAGCTGCTTATGCAAATGTAATCGTGCCAGTGGTGTGTGTTTGTCCAGCCCAGGATCCGAGCCATGCACTGCCATCTCCACAAAGCTTCTGCCTCATTTAATGCACAGAAATTATGTGAGTGGGGAGAAAACAGACCTCAGGGGCAGAGTCCTGGAACATGCTGGCATCTCTGTGCTTGGCTCTAAGATGAAAATTGCTGGTTTAGCACCGTGCTTTTGCTAACAGGGCTGGAGGGGCAGCAGGGTAGCAAGTGATGGGCAGCAGTCTGGTGCAAGGTGCCATATTAATCTAGCTGCAGTGGTAGAGCATCATTGTGAGCAGGCAGCAGAGCCTGTGCTGGCTGGTGGGGCTGCTGCTCTGCTCACCTCTGACGAATATTGACATATTTAAACACAATCTCTAGTAGAAAAACACACCCAGATGTTGCTGGCTATTGGGTGACCGGATACCTGATACCTGCAGGACCCACTGTTCCCTTTTCTCTAGGGACTGACATTTACTCCGTGACACCACCATGCGAGTGAACACCCAGGGGCTTCTCGGAACAGATCACGCTCTCCCCAGTGTGTTTATTAACGAGCTCTCGCACCCTTTGCTCCACTGATGATGCTGCCTCGTGGAAACTGGAGCCAAAGCAGGGGGGCAGGCCAACCCAGGGGCTCGGGGAGCCAGAGCACTGCCCCTGACCGGGGACCAAACAGGGCCCTGAACAAACAGGGTGGCTTGAGGCACCCAGTGCCCTGAGGGGAAAGAAAAGTCCTTTAAGCACACCCCCCACACACAGCTCTCCATCCCAGGTTCTGTCTTGTCTTGCTCAAAAGCAGGGATAGGTGTGCTGTGACCTTTGTTCTCCCCCATTTCTTCTCCCTCCTTTCCACACCAGCCCTCTGCTCAATGCAGAGATATTTCTCATTCCTGTCTCAGGCAAGAGCAGAAAGCAGCTGATGACCAGATCTTCTCACAGCTTTGCCCAGCTGAGGATGTGAGAAACCTCCCAGGGCTCTGGAACTTGGATTTGCAGCAGGCAGGCTGGTACCCTGTAACACACCTACATGTGACGGCTCTTCACCAAACCTGTGCCAGACAAACCAGCCAACTCCAGGGACCTTATTCTGTCTCTGCCTGGGAACTGCCACGCTGTTTTTCGACAGAGGGTTGGTACCTCCTCTCTCAAAGTAGGGCTTTGCAAATTACTTCTGCAGTTCAATGCTTGAGCTGTTGCATGAGGAAAAAATACATTAGACAATAAAAGCACCTGAGAACAAATGTAAGTAAAATAATGCATTGGCTGAAAATTTGAATCAAACCGTTACCTCAAGGAACAGAAATTGTTATTTAAAAAAAATCGACTTGTTCAAAATATCCCTTTTGAATTTTTGAAATTTTTGGTAGCATGACAGAAGTTATGTGGCAGAAATGTGGTTCACCTGGCAACATCCACCCAGCTCTATCCCCACTAACGATAAATGGGAAACCACCTCTTTTGCTTTATGTCAGAGGTGTCCCAGTCTGGCTTGTCAGCCCTGTTAACTGTGGGCCAGACCCTGCCTGGAGCAGGCAGGAAAATTAGGAGCACTTTCTATCTATGCGGGGAAATTCCACCATGTAAAAGCACTGATCTGATTTGGGGTGGCTCTTCCATGATGATAAAACCGTTATTTGCAATAAACAGCAGAATATGGAGAAATCATTCAGTGCTAATTTCATCCCTAGGCAAACATCCTCCCCAACCTTTCCATCTATGTATAAATGACTACAATTAGGTAGCACCATTGCGAACACGTGTGCATTTATGCATGGAGAAGATATAGAGAGGTTGTTGTGATCATGAACACATATATACATTTTAAACAGACCCCCTACTATATAAGGGGTGTCTCAACAGTTGCCATTACCAGCCTAGATGAAAGGAAGAAACATTCACTTTCAAGCAACATCTGAGCAACTCTCCAGGCAGAAATGGCTCCAGGTACTCTTCTTTATTTCAGTTTACGAGGATTGCCAATGCGGCTACAGGCAGCATTGTGTCCAAAGAAGGGCAATAAAGCTGGTGAAGGGTCTAGAGAACAAGTCTTATTAGGAGCAGCCGTGGGCACTGGGGTTGTTTAGCTTGGAGAAAAGGTGGCTCAGGAGAGACCTTACCACACCCTACAATTACCTTAAAGGAGGCTGTAGCAAGGTGGGGATCAGGCTCTTCTCCCAGGTACTAAGTGGTAAGATGAGGGGAAATGGCCTCAAGTTGTGCCAGGGGAGGTTTAGGTTGGATATTAGAAGAAGTTTCTTTACTGAAAGGGTTGTGTGGCACTGGAATAGGCTGCCCAGGGAAGTGGTTGAGTCACTGTCCCTGGAGGTCATCATGAAACATGTAGATGTAGAAGTTAGTAGTATGTTTTCATGGTGGACTTGCCAGTATCAGGTTAAAGGTTGGACTAGATGGTCTTAGTGGTCTCTTCCAACCTGAATGATTCTATGATTCTGATTATGTGCTTTGGGTGATGGAATATTATGATAGGATGGTACTGTTGCCTATATATGCTCAGTGCCTGCCCCAAATTAAGATGTGGCAACTTAACAATCAATGAAAAAGAATGGCTTTCCCAACAGCATGACTTTTAACCATGGATTGACGCAGGTATTCATTATGCTAATGCAAATGCAAGGGGCATTTAATGCTACAGGCAAGGGGCAAGGAGAGGCTGGAGAACAAGAAGAAAAGACATGCAAGCCAGAGCAGGAATAGTTATTACTAACATAAATAGTGGCAGGGATATTAAAACTCACATTCAAGGCTTAAGACAGGGATCAGGATGATGTCTAATGCCCATATCCAAGTCCTACAGGCTCCAGGGCATTCTTCCACTGAAGGGTGCTTGTTTGAGATTAACTTTGTGTCCATCTGTACTTACAGAGACCACTTGTGTGAGTTAGATGCTAGGCGTTAATAACCTTTAGACTTGTCAGGGATCACTGGATTCTACAGGTGTGTGCCAGAGAGCAGAAGTTCTCAGTTACGACACAGGTAATGCAATCACTTTTCACCCTAGTGAAGGCAGACAGACAGTTTCATGTCAGCAGCATGGTGTAAAACAAGGCTACAGTGAACTATTCCCAGTCCCTCCCCTGGTACTCACCATCCCGTCCGCTCATGCATCATACTCCATTCATGAAGACAAGACTGACTGAAAAACATGAGCGTGTTAAGGAACAACACAGGGATGCACTGCAGTTTTCATGGAGCAACAATCATTCTTAAGGCAGAAAAGCATTGTTTGTAACATTGGGAGCAGCACAAGCCTCGAGGGCACATCCAGCAAAAGGGGATGGGGTGTCACTGGAGGGCTAAGATCGTGCATGAACACAAACAAGACATTCTTTAGGGTTAGCACAGGCAGAAGAGGCCAGGAAGTAATATGCAGGTGCCACCCTCACTGAAGGACAGTTAACACCACTCCTCTCCACTTTGCTGCAGGGTCGTGGTTTTCTCCTCTCTTCATCACTGTGATCACCCTGGGATTGCAGTGGCCACAAGAAGCTGCCACCTTCCCAGCCATGCCCCTTTCCAACCTGTTTGCCAACGCTGTGCTGAGGGCTCAGCACCTCCACCTCCTGGCCGCAGAGACGTACAAAGAGTTCGTAAGTGTCACAGCCTCCGGGCATCTCCTCATTAACCTGATGTTTTCAGGACCATATCACAGCTTCCCACCCAGTCCAGTTTTCTAGAAACAGATGCATTTCAACTACTGGTGTCTCCTGTCAGATCCTGAGGAGGAAAAAGGAGTCTTAATGGGATAGAACCGGCCTCTACCAGCCTGTCTCCTCCTCACAGCTCTCTGCCTCCACCCCTGATCCTCCTCAGGGCCACAGCTGCCCACACCCAAACCCACCACATACAGCCAGCTGCCTCAAAGAGAAACCCAGTCCTGAGAGCTGTGGGGAGCGGCAGGCATTTTGCAACTTTCCTGTGACGGTAACCTATGGCACTGACTTAAAACTATCCAGCTTCTGCTTTGGCCAGGAGCTCAAACAAGGTGTCTGCTTTGGCCAGAGCTGTTCAAGGGAGTCATCTGCCCCTCAGGAGAATGCAGTCCGCGTGGTCTGTGTTCACCTCAGCACTTTGGCTTAGTGAAAGCAAGACCTGTAGGTCCAGCAGCTACTGTGCCAACCAACATGTGATTTCCAGCTTCCTACCTGCCAGTCCTGTACAGAGACACACTTCATGTCTCACATTTCTTTCTTGAAAAGAGCAACCTGTCAGGACAGCCTGAGGAAAGAGTCAGCGCTCTTCTCCCAGTACACGGCCAACAGATCTGGGTGTATTTGGGATGTCTCCACAGGAACGCAGCTATATTCCGGAGGACCAGAGACACACCAACAAGAATTCCCAGGCATTCTGTTACTCAGAAACCATCCCAGCTCCCACAGGGAAGGATGATGCCCAGCAGAAATCAGTAAGTTGTCTCCCCTGGACAAGCACAGAATTCTTTCAAGGAACAGAGGGTTTCCATCTGTGAGCACTTCAGTGCTTGCTGAGGTATCACTCCTCTCTCCTTTTACTATTTACGCCTGCATGCAAAAGAAAAGACACCTTTGGGTTAGACTATAAATCATACCCCCACCCCAAAGAGAGTAACTGTTGTCAGAAAAGGATGTATGTCTGTCTGATGCTCCTCAGTCTTTAACATTTGCTAAAGGTGCAGAAGCAGGGGCACACCCATGGGTCACCTCTGGGCTGTTTCAGAAGGAGCAAGACACACAGGTAACATTACAGAACACCTCACCTGCACACCTTTCACCCCCTTTTTTAATTTCAGGATATGGAGCTTCTTCGGTTTTCACTGGTTCTCATCCAGTCCTGGCTGACCCCAGTGCAATACCTAAGCAAGGTGTTTACAAACAATCTGGTTTTTGGCACCTCAGACAGAGTGTTTGAAAAACTAAAGGACCTAGAAGAAGGGATCCAAGCTCTGATGAGGGTAAGTTGCAGTAGGTAGCATGATTACGGAGTAACAATCTCCTAAACACAGGGCACTGAGCTCTCAGGGTCTTCTACAGGATCCAAAGACCATGAGAAGTCTCCCCACCTTCCACTCCAAAAAACATTGGCATCCTTTGAACTTTGCTTACTTTAACATAGTCACATCACAACACTCCACTGCACACAATTCATCACTGGGAGCATGAGAAAACTTGTACCAGATGTTAACAGCACTGCCATAACCTGCATAGCAGCACAGGCCAGGAAGATCACAACAGTCTAGACTCAGTCTTTACAAACCCAGCACCAAAGAATACTCCATTGGTTAAACTTGCTGTTAAACCTGATGTTTGCCCTATCTCCCCAGAAAACACTTTAAAGTGAAGCAAATTTTGCAGAGTTCTGCATCCTGACTTCCAAGACTCAAGACATTTTATAAAAACAACTCATATAAGTCTGTGTACTGATGGAAGCTTATACTCTGATGTTTCTCTCTTATATTACATTTAAATTAACCTAGCACGCAGACAACTGACAGCTGGAGAATGTTCTTCAGAAAGATTACTTTTGGCTTTGTTATTTTAAATGACATTACTTATTGTCTGTCAGGATCCCATCTTAGATTTGCTCAGCATCACCACAGCTAGAGCCCCAAGACCTGTCTCCATGTGATGTCAGTCTGGACGATGATTTTCATCATCTAGCACCTAAATAACTACAAAAGTCAGGCACAGAGAGTAAACAGAGATCTTCTGTCCTGACTGTAGTCTGTAGCATTTCCAGGTTTTGCTCTCCGTTTGATATAAGTTTGGGCAATGGGAAGCAGTACACAGTAACCAGGTAATGATCACTCTTTAGCCTTTTAACACCCTGTTTACTGAACAAAAACGGTTCCGTTGACCGAATCAGCTGGCAAGCAAAGCAGGGCAGGAGGAGAGGCGGCCTGCAGCTCCAGATGCACATGGCTTGGGTCTGGCTTCAAGCTCTGGTCACTGGAAAAGCGTGAGGAAAGAGAGCGTTACTGACCCCTCGCATGACCTCCTCCTCTCCAGTGGCTACGGCCGGACTCTGCTTCCCTGCCCCACTTTTTAGAGCCCCTGGTGCGAGCTCAGCCCCGGCCCTTTCCCTCCTGCAGGAGCTGGAGGACCGGAGCCCGCGGGGCCCGCAGCTCCTCAAGCCCACCTACGACAAGTTCGACATCCACCTGCGCAACGAGGACGCCCTGCTGAAGAACTACGGCCTGCTCTCCTGCTTCAAGAAGGACCTGCACAAGGTGGAGACCTACCTGAAGGTGATGAAGTGCCGCCGCTTCGGAGAGAGCAACTGCACCATCTGAGGCCGGGACGGCCGCCCTCCATCCCGGCCCCTCGCCGCGGGCCTGCCCCGTTCCCTCTCACGAAAATCGCTCTGCCCTGAGGAGAATAAACCCGCTACCGCTGAGCTGTGCCCGTCTGCCTGCCTGGGGGGGCGGGGGGGCGGATATGGGGCGCTTTTCCCCCGTACCACACACACACAGAGCCCCGCCGAGCCTGCGCACCCGGCCTGGGCGGGCAGGGCCGAGGAGGCGGCGGGGAGCGGGGCGGGCCGGGGCCGGGGGCCGGGCCCTGGGCGGCGGGGAGGGCTCCGGCCATGGCCGAGGTGCTGGCGTTCAGGGTGCCCGCGGGGAGCGCCCACACGCTGCTGGTCTGGGGGCTGGAGCCGGCGCCGGGCCTGGAGGTGAGGCTGGGCCTGGGGCCGGGGCCGGGGCCGGGGCCGGGACCGGGACCCCCGCGGGTCCCCCCGGGGCTGGGGAGCGGGGTCGGGCTCCGTAGAGGCCTCTCCCTAAGCAGACCTAAGGCCCCCGTCCCCCCATCAGCACTTGGCCACTTCTCCCATCATCTTCCCTGTGTGCTAATACGCTTTTTAACACCACCACCCCTTCTTTTTTATTTTTTTTTAAATCGTGTTTTAATTCCCTTGAGGCACTCAGGGCAACTGCGAGGAGGGTGGCAGGCTGCCGCAGGGTGATTTCTGCCCCTGTAGTCTGCAAAGCAAAACTAGGAGACCAAAATCTCCAAGAGCTGAATCAAAATCCCTTTAGCCTGCAAAATATTGTGCTAGTGTTTAACTGAAAGTCTCAACAAAACAGCGTGGCCACATAAAGCAGGATGGAAGAGAGTAAGAAGCAGTCAGGGATGAGGATAACCCATGGGACTGGAAACACCATGTCTGGCTGCTCTCCTCCTGGGTCAGAGGCTGGAAGATACTGCTCATGAGACATCGGGGTCAGGGGTCCCATCAGGCTGAGCTTGTTTTTATGGGGAAAGCCTCATCTCCAGTCTTGCTGCTTATTTCAGGGTTCATTGCCATTATACAGAGGGAACAGTAATGAAATATTCCTTGTTTTCTAGGTAACTAGGTCCTGTCTCTGTCAGGGTTGCTTGTTCCCTGGAGTACTAGTGGATGTTCTTCAAAAGACCCTTTTTTTCTCATTTTTCCTCAGCATTCCCTGTTTTCAGTGTTTTCAAAATTTGGGCTGCTGTACTCCGTGCGAGCACACAGAAACGCTGCTGTGGCAGGGCCTGGGTATTACGCCATCATCAAGTTTTACTCAGATAGAGATGCCAGCAGAGCCCAGCGTGCGTGCAATGGGCAGAGGCTGTTCCAGAAATCTCCTTTGAAGGTAAGCAAGGCCACAGATGAGCCATTTCCAGCACTCAGTACTGCAACTTCCAACAGTAGGGTAGAATCACAGAAAATATTTTTTGTTCTCAGTGATGTTCCCTGTGCCTTTCATCAAAGGTTAGCTAACTTTTTGCTGCATGCCTTGCAGTCGTGACATCACCTGCCACTTGTTCCCAGGTAGCACTTAAGGAGAAAAATTCCAGCATCTCTCTGTTTGTGCACCCTGTTCCTGGGTAACCAATATTTCATGCATATAAGATATACTTGTGCTGTTAGGAAATAGGTAATGTACGTATATCTCTCCCAGAGCCATCAATGGTGTGTCCACAGTGGAAACCTTGCAAGCAGAGCCTTGCTAACCACATTTCTTCTTTCCTGAACAGGTTTGTGTTTGCACCAAGCAGAAGGGACTTCAGCAACAAGTCCTTGCTCTCAACAGCAACAAGTGCCAGGAATTGGCCAACCACTACCTTGGCTTTAATGGCTGGTCCAGTCGCATTATCACGGTAAGGGGCCCTTTATATTCATTCACCATCTTTCCCCTTTCTCTTTCCATCCCCTATTCTGAATTAGAGCTGTTGGTGGAATAAACAGAATTGTCCTCAAATCAGCAAATAATGAAGACAGCTCCAGGAGCTGCAGCTTTGGTTTTGCGGTTTTTATGAAAGCTTAGGGAGAAAAGATTGCTGTGGGTGAAGGCATTGGCTGAGCTTCTGTTTATACAAATGGGGGCATCAGGTTTTCATGCAAGTGTGATTAAAGTAGTGTCAGGGCTTGTCTTCGCATGCTGGAAGTGTGTGAGTTGTCTGAGACTCCAGAAGATGGGGACTATGAGCCATTTCTAAAATAGGATCAAAACAGTAAGCATCTCTGTTCTGCCTCCACCATGTGCTACCTACCACCTTGGAGTCACACACTTTGCAGAGAAGGTCTGTACTATGCAAGCAAAGGCCTAAGTGGTCACAATACCCCTTCCTATTCCATCTTAATTAATTATTTGTGGTCTTCCCAACAGCTGCAGAATGTATCAGGCTTTGATGATGAGAACGGGGACCTGGGAAAGATATTACAGAAGCGATCTGTGAAATACCTGGGTGCTGTGGAAGTGACACTGCCCAACCATGGGGTATGCACCAGGGGAGTTGGCCTCGGTGAGGCAGACATTGAAAACAGTGAAGGTACATTTTGCATGCAGATAAAAGTTTCTTCTAGCACCTTTCACAAACACTGGTCAATCTTGTTTCCACAGTTTGTGGATCTGATGTAGTATATTAATTTAGCTGGAGACAAGGATCTGTGCAGGGACTTGTGCACTGCTGTGTTGCTGTACAGCAAGGGATTCTGAGCATGCCTCTTCCCTCCCTGTGTCATGCCAGGAACACTTACCTCCCCTGTAGGTTCTCATCCTCTCACCTGTAAGGCTATTCATTCCCCACCATGATCACTCCTGATGTAGCCATACTATATGATTCTAAAGAAATTTTGTGTCTGTGACGCGGCTCTGATGTCAACTGGGCTCCCCATTGCCAGCTGCCCTGGGCAGGATCCTGACCCAGGGCTGAGGACTGTGTGCTGCTTAGGGTTGACCCATCAAGGCTTTGTGAAGGTGCTGCCACACAGCCAACAACTCCCAAAATAAAAGCAGCTTTCTTACCAGATCCATAAAGCTGTGTTTGCTTTCATTTCCTAGTACAATGCAGCTGGTGTGCTTCATACGCAGATTTTCATCTTAATAACATGCTGTTTGTTTGGTATAGATCCTGTTGAGTTTGTCACAGCCACAAGAAGAGTTCAGAAACTCGCAGTTGGGAAAGCTTTGTCTAGCGCCTTTCAGAAGATACTCCTCGTAGTTTTAGGTAAGGCCTATTTTTGTATTAAACACTGGGGTGTTTAAACTAATGATATGACTTCCGTGGTAATTGATGTGAATTCTCAGGATTCACTGTATGGAGGATCTCAGAATTCATCTTGTGTTGTGGTCTTCACTGATGTAACGCTGAAGAGTAGTTTCACCATATAAGCTATGTGAGTGAAAGGAGCTGGATTTTTTTTTATGATAAAGACACTGAAACTGTTTCAAAAAATACAAATGCTTGAAGTATAAACCCTGGCTTTATGCTTAAGCCAGGGTCTAAGGTAGAGCTTATTAGCACAGTATGTGTGCATGCTGAATGGGGATGTGAAGAATTTCTAGTTCCAGGGGTAATGTGAACTGAATTGCAGAGCTTTGCACACTCGTGACCTGGTTCCAAACCAGTCAGGTGCTATCAATGGTCCCTGCCCCACTGTTGTGTTCAGTGCTGCATATTTGGGCCTGCTCTCTCCTTTATCATAGAAGCTGGCTCTATGTCTATACAGAAACTGCTTGATCTGCTTCTTCTGGGTTCCAGGTCTTGTGCTTTCTGAGCTTTTAGATGACACCTGTTTGTGTGGGATCTGAGTACTTTAGTCTGTAATGCATTCAACTTCAGGACAGACTCTCATGTAATCAGGTCAGTGCCGCTCTCCTCACTTCACAGAGCGGGGACTTTGTCAGTAAACACCATCTCATGCTGTGGTACTGATACAGCAAACCATTTGAGCAGGAACTTAAATTCTGTTGAATTCAGCAGGATTTATATAATCTTCCAGCATCCCTCCCTGGATTCTTTAAGGTATTCCTTAGAAAGGTGAGTATTTAGGTGTTTTGCAGTGCTTCCTGCCTTTCGGTCCGTCACATACACAAAGACCGGTAATTAATATGCTCCATCTTCTCCACAGATTTCTGCTTCCTTACTTTCAGTTTCCAATCCATTTAGTCAGAGCCTTTCAGTTTTTTGCAGAGTAGACAGGCAGGCAAGCCAGAGAAAGAAGCAGTTCTGCAGATCCACACCGCATTACACAATGCAGTAACTAGCACTCTTTTCCTCTGTACCTCATAATTACCATGACAAAACCTTCAGCTCTTTCCTTCCTCAGCTCTCAGAACTCCAGCACTCCTGGAAGTGGCACCGCCCAATCCTGCTTACACAGAAGCTTGCTTGACAGTAGAAAGATCAAACCCTTTATTTCTGAGTCCAGGCATGGCAGCAGGAATCAGAAGCTCTGTCCACATCTGTAGTAATGCTGCAGCCCATGAGCACTTCTTAAACCATTACCAAGAGATTAATTTTTCACAGTAAAACAGTTATATTACTTAAGAAAATAAATTAGAGCCCCACATTATGCTAAGGGACAATAAAATGACCTGTTCCTTGCACACTCATTCAGAGCAGCCAACCACTCTGAAAGCATTATGAGGTAGAATTGTCCCATTTGGAGCTGAGGGTAGGTTTATTGTCATTATGCACACTAACCATATCTCTGGCTGTTTATTTTGTGTGCTTATTTCAGAGAATGGTAAAGTGGCTGTGGAGTATAACTACACTCAAGAGGAGCCCACAGACTCCTTAACAGAAGAGGAACTGAAGGGGCTTGTTCAGGTAAGACCAGCAGATGTTTAGCTTTTGCATAGTATCTGTATCTAGAGATCAGAGAGATACAGCTATCAACTGTTACAACCATTCACATCCTCTTTTTATGCAATTACCTCTTTCAAATTTCAGAAAGTAATCACATCTGGGAATTGTATAGCAGCACACTAAGGTTATAAAACTCGTACTCTCCCAGGCAACTCTGTGTAGAAATGCATGTATATTTTAGCACAGGAATCATATAGTCACAGAATGTTTATGATTGGAGGGACCTTGAAAGATCAACTAGTCCAGTCCCCCTCTTGGAGCAGGAAAGTAAGCAGTTACGTTACAGGACTGTTAAAGGGCAGGTTGATAGGTCTGACACATGACAGTGCCAAAGCCTGCTCTTCATAGAATCTGTGAAAGTGAAAATCCCAGTAAAGTTACAGTAGGTTAGATCAAATGATTTTTTAATAAGTTCTTTAATAAATACAACTGCCTATCTAGAAATCTCCTTTGTGAATTTATATTTATCCCAGGGAAAGATAGCTAAAAGCTTTGGTAAAATCCTTGCAGGTAATTGTGGGATCTGTTAGCATGCACCAAACAAAAATACCCAGGTATAACAGTAAAACTTTAATAATCATGCACAGTGAGATGAGTTCTGAATGCCAGCTTTTTCATACAACCAGTCCTGAGCAGATTTTTATCTCCCTTCATTTGAAAAATGCTATTTACCAGAGATGGTTGGTGCTCTTTTGAAAGCAAGCATCAGTCTCACATGGTGCATCAGCGACACATACAGCACAGTGTCAACTCCTCCTGCAGTTTGCATGAAGGAAGTGTCTAATTAGCCTTGTGACACATTTGATGACACTGAGTCACCTAGTGTCCACAGGCAGAACTGTCTTCCTTTCTTACTGAAAAGTAACTAAAATATGAGGTATTTTTGTGTGTGAAGTAACTAATGTCTACCCCATCTGTTTTTTTCAGTTGAGATGATTCAATTTCTGTAATTTTGTTCTCTCTCTGCATTTTCCTCTGTATTGCCTCTTCTATCTGACTTCTTTTAAACCCACAGAGAAATGTCCTAACATGCAGTGACCATAAAAGAAGTGTGCAGAGAAAACCTACTGCTTCCCTAACCCCTGTTTGAACAAGAGTCATATCTCACTTCTGCAGCCACCTCACTTTCCTGGTGGTGGTGTGGGGGAGTTAATTCATCTCTCTCTCTGCAAGGCACCTACCAGGCTGATGAGGCTAGCTTACAGACAGGAATTTGGAAGGACTTGCTTGGGAGGAGAGCTTCTGGGTGTCATTTTTGGTTCATTTTATTGTGATGCTGCTCAGTATTTCCAAAACAGAAATGTTCCTGAATTTGTAAATTTTATGGAGGCCATCTTTTATACATGGTAAAAATACACTGTGTTTCTAGGTGCAGACATAAGAAGCAAAAATTTGTAGAGGAAGAAATTTACTCTTGGATTTCTCTCCCCAGGTCAATGAATTGCCCTTGGAACAGTTTGACCTCGAAGAAGAAGTTTTTTCCGATCTGAGTTTTGATGATGAGTTCCCTAGCTGGGGGATGTCAACTAATTAGTGCAGGTCTCTCTTCAGATCATTTCCAAAAGGTCTGTAGCGTTTGATTAGGAATGAAAGTCTAAAGCTGTGCAATGACGTATGCCTCATCTCCAATGTTTTATTTTTCTCTAAATACAGAACAGCAAAAGAAATGGGCAATAAACTTACTGTTACTAAAATTAAGCCCAAAAATGTATGCTGTTTCTGGAGAGGAAGTGATTTCCTGTCAGCTTATCCAGGTCAGCTATATCTGGAAGCCAGCTTACCTGCAAAGTTATTATTTAGACAGCAAAACAGATGTGCATAGCACTTACAGAAAAATAAAATGAACAAGACCTCGCTGCAAGAGCCTGCAGCTCAGGTTAGCTCTGATCTGCAGGAGAAAGTCAGAGGCAGGGAGAGATGTCTCACCAGCAGGAGTAGATCTGGTACTTACACATCTGTGCACAGGCACAGAAAAAAAATACTTCTCTAGGTGAAATTTCACTTAAAGAGATAAGCCTAACTCCTGTGTTGATGTATTGAACCAAGCAGTTGGGACATTATTACAATTTAAAGCAGATTTTTTTTAACTTAGAACACATGTTTTTTATTAAATTGAGAAAAATCTTATTTTGTATTTCTGTTCGTGATACATGAATTTTTGAGGCAGCATATTCAGTGGGAAGGTACATTGAGCTCCCAAGCTCACAAGGGCATGTGGTGGGAGAGGGAATGCATATTTCATAACAAACCCCTACTCAGATTTTTTGCCTTCTGTCTTTGGTAAAAAGACAACTGAAGAATGGGAAAGCTCAGGGAAGACCCATGAAAATGACTGCAGGTCTGGAGTACAAATGTTGAAATGAGAAGAGGGTGGCATATTTATTTAACAAAAATAAATAAATAAATAAATAAATAAAAGTGATTTAATCCAGGACTACATGGCTCTGCAAGGAGAAGACACCCGATACTGGTTGAGTTTTTTAACCTGGAAGGCAAAGGTGAAACAAGATCCAGTGGCTGGGAGCTGAATTTAGAAAAATTGAAATGGGAAGTAAGATGCAACGTTTTACAAGTGGAAATAATTAAGCATGAGAGCAGACCTCGGAGGGATGTGGTAAAACCTCCATCATGGCAAGTTCTCAGGAGATCATATTTATAAAATGAAACGCTGGCTGCAAATTACCCAGCTTCCTCTTTCTTATTATTCACATTGGAAATACTTGTTGATGATGTGAAATTAAAGCCCCATTGCTCTGTTTCCTATCAGCATGCTTTATAACTCATCTTTTGAGTGGAAGTAGTGAGAGCCTGGTGGAAGGGCCCCCTCCCAGTGCAGGCGTCCTGTGGTGGTGGGGTCAGCCTTCCTCACGGGAATGCCAGATACACAGTAAAATCTCTCAACATGCTCCTTTTTAGGGGCAGGACATCCCACAGCAGGGAGAAAGAAAAAATAATAATAATAATAATAAAAATAACCAAAACCTCCACTGTGAGCCGTGAGGTGAGTCAAGGCCTGCACAGGCCCCAGGCCTGTGGCCTGGTTGCCCGGCGACCCCGGCTGGGCCTGCGGCAGCGCCATGGGCCTGGGCCTGCCCCAGCCCCACTGCCCGCTCCTCCTCCTGGCACTGCTGCTGGCGGCAGCCCCGGGCCAGGGGCAGCCCAGGGGCTTCTGCCCGGCCTCCTGCCGCTGCCACCGGCGGCTGCTGAACTGCAGCTGGGCCTCCCTGGCTGGGGTGCCCCGGGCCACCCGCCGCTGGGCCTTCTCCATCCTGTGAGTACCATGGGGCAGGGCTGGAAGCACTGCTCCCCCACGTCCAGGTCAGACCCCTCAATTGGACCTTCCTCGGTGTTTTATCCCCGCTGACCCCTGCCTGGTAGCGAGCTAAGGCAGGGTGCCAGCTGAAATCCACCCACCCAGACCCTGTACTGGCCTCGCCACAGGGGACACCCAACAGAGGGCCAGCCGCAGGTGGTGGTGGTTTCCAAGAGTTTGTATGGAAATTTAAAGGGGTGAAGCTGGGCTATGTGGTTTAAGACTCCAGGCCAACTCTGCGCTACCTTAGCAGCCAAATTTGCAGGGGAGCGGGTTTTCCAGTTGCATACCTAACCTTCCAGGACCCCTCTGTCTTCCAAAGAAGCAGTGAGACTTATGGAATGGAAAAAGAGGACTTTATAGATAGTGTTATAAAAGTCTTGACTAAAATCCCTGAGAATTGTGCTACGGGGAAGGAGCAGCTCTGACACAGGGCACAGGGTGTGTGTTTGCAAGTTGTCATTTTGAAGACCTTTTATATACAGCACACTAGTAATGGTAGTGATGTGCCAACCATTTCTTTGCAGAGATTTCACTGGCAACTCTATTTCTTCCATTGAAAAGCAAGTGTGGAGAGAATACCCATGGGCTGAGTACTTGTAAGTATTCTCTAGCATTTTAAATGTCAGGGGTTCAGATATTTTCAATCCAGCCACTCTGTTTTTTGAGTCAAGAGTATGAAGAGCACAAGCACCCACACAAACAATTTCCATGTGAATTCAAAGCTGAGCTGCTCACCAAGGAGGGGCATAGAAGCCCCTGTGCTTCCTGGAATGGCAAGAAATGCTGTGAGCTGTGATCCTCGTGGGAAAGTCTAATGGTCTTCATCCTATGGGGCCATCCCTGTGCCTATTTAATCAATGATCACATTACAGTTAGCTTCAGCAGCTCAGGAAAAAGCACGTGTTCCTCAGATGTGTGGCAATGACCCCCATAGTGACACAAAGAGGTCTTTTAGTATAGCTGTTGCAGGATATTTTCCCTTGAAAATATTATTTCCTTCTGAGGTAGCAGTAAATGTCTGTTTATCTCATTCCAGAGTTCTCCAGGACAATGATCTGAGGGCAGTGAAGAGGCATTCGCTGGAGGGTTTGCCCCTGCTGAAGCACCTGTATGTACCAGTTCTGTCCTCTTCCTGGCAGGCAGAAAGGCCCTGACCAGCACACTGCTGGAGGAGACAGTGGCTCACCCTCTCATTGGGCCCCTGTTGCTGTTCCCACCCCACAAAAGTGTGCTTTGCTCCTCCCCTGTTTCAGGCAACATTCAGAGCAAAATTCACAGGGTGTCTCAGTGCTGCAATAGTGGCCAGTGGGATGATGCACATAGAGATGTGGTGCAGCTTTCATTTTCCCAAGCCCAACAAAGATGAGGAGGCTGCTCCCCTTTCCCACAGGACTTTGGTTGACTTGTAGACAACCTCAATGTAACCATGGCCTCCCACAGCCTGGAAGAATGCCTCTGACTTTTTTTATCTGAGGACCAATTTTTTAGGGGTGACAGTCACCTAGAACAAGGCAAAACCCATATATGCCTTGTTTCTGCTAAGCTTCGGATGGAAAGATATTTGCTGCAGTGAAGACAGAACCCCATATTGTTGGTCACTCTTGGGATGGTCTCTCTGTTTGCTTACTGTATTCATGAAATTCCCCTGGCTGCCTATGTCCCTTCCTGTGCTGAAATCTCAGACAGACTGAGGTTGGGAGGTCTCTGCTACAGCCTCCTGCTCAGAGTAGGGCTGACCTCCAAGGTTGCTTAAGGCTGTATCCAGCTGAGTCCCCTCTCTTCTTGGAGGAGAAACAAATGTGAATGTAAGACCACACAATGTCACATGAATTTGCAACAAGTACTCTCACGCTGTCTGGAAGGGAGCAGTGGAGTACCAAGTTTTGTTCTCCTTAAAGTTCAGATTTTTACATACATGTATTTTGGGTTTGCCTGTATGGTACATGCAAAGGAAGAGTGAGAAAAGAGCAGCAAAATCTTGTCCTGTTCTCTGCTTTTTACTTGGTCACTGTCATCCTCTCTTTTCTCATACTCAGACTACTTAGAAAAGGCTAAAAGCCAGAAATAAATCCACCTATGGAGGCTCAGAGCATTAGTGCCCAGAGCCCACATTTCCTGAGCCTTACAGGACGTGTGGGTTCACTCAGTTCTCAATACAAATCTCATCTTGAATTAAAAATTACTACTGGTGTGAAAAAGTTGACAGCAAGGGAAGCCCTGGCTTGGAGTTGGCTCATGAGGGTCATGTTTTGGACCCTGCTTGTCTGACTGTTACTAGAATAGCTGAGGGACATGTCCCAAAAAAATCTCTGTTGCTCACATCTGTAGATCATTGCAACTATCTCAGCTCCACTGTCATCTGCATTTCTAGTGTCATTTATAGAGTGTGGCCCTTACATGCTAGCATTTTTTCCCACAAAAAGAGAGGTTTTGTATTTTCTAGTACTTACATTGGCTTGGAAAGAGGCATATACTGGGTGGTCTTGGCCTTTCTGGAGCAGCTCCTGCAGTGAGGCAGCCCCAGGGCTGCATGTAGGCCTTGTCTCAGTGCTGTGGAATGAGTGGAAAACTAGGTAGTGTCCCTCCGTGTGTGTTCTTAGCAGGTACTGGTGCCCCACATCTTAGAAAAGAAGGATCCAAAAACTTAAAAGCAGAAAGCATGTTCTGCAGGATGTGGTTTACAGGCTAAATCAGTCAGGTTGGGAACAAGCAGGCTTCCAGCCACATTCCCTTTCCACAAGGCTGTAAACTGAACTCTCCAAAACACTTCTGAGATCACATGTGCCAAGACCTTCTTCCCACCTGCTCTGCCTGCCCCACTGCTGGGCTCTTGCTGGAGCTGCCTCCTTAGAGGTCCAGGTCCCATGGATGACAGCTGCAGTTGCTTGCTGATGCTCTTCCTCAACACTCTCCAGTAGTGAGGCCATGTCCTACAGAAGAAACCTTGTGCATTCATCTCCTCTAATTTTAGACGCTTAATAATTGCCTAGGATTAAGCTAATTGTTCAGGCTCTCATTCTCCATGGAGAGGAACAAGCACTTCCCATTCTCCCAAATGATCTGAGGAACCTGTCTGAGGCAGGGATGAATCACTCCCCAGAAGTATTTCTCTCTCACTGTTTACTGCAGAACAAGCCTGGGCAGGGCTTGTAGGAGGGAGGGATTAAGAGAAAAACCACCATTTGTTGTCACACATGTACTTAACCAAGCCATCTCCGAGCCCCAGAAGAGTGTTCAGACACTCTTTTGTCTGTCTCCAGCAAGCAAAGCCCTGATGGCACCCCAGGATGGCAGGCTGAATCTCTGTAGCACATCCAGAGGGTCACATGTTGCTGTGGTCCATGCAAATGCCTCCTCAGTTGCTAAATTGTGCCTGTCTACAGATTATTTTCTGTTATCATTGGAGAACAATCAAGTCCTGAGATAATTCTTGTGGGATCAATGTTAGAAAAAAATTGCTGAGACGAAAGCCACCTCCAGTCATGAGGGTTATCACAGGTTACACACCTCTGCAAGCTAGTATCAGATATAAACACTGTGAAATCAGAGCCATGTGACATATATGCTGCCAGTGTCAAAGCAAGGGAAAGTAAATACAACAGTGCAAATGTAATCAACATTTCATGTTCTAATTTTAACAGGGATTTATCCTGCAATAAAATCCTGTCGATTGAAGAACATGCTTTTGAGCCACTTCCTTTCTTGCAGCTTATGTGAGTTGTAAAAATTTCTTTCTAGTGTATTTGCTGAAGTCTGTTGGCATTTATAACCCTTTATGTGCTAGAAGATGTCCCTATTATTTTTAAAATAATGTCTAAACTTCTTCTGCATAAAGAATAGATGAGCTAGAGGTAGAGAGATCAATGCAGATGGCTGGATGACCCACAACAGGATGAGAGATCAGTGTGGTTGGCCAAATACAGCCATAATAGGAGCCATTTCTTGAAGGTTTACTGTATCCTGGAACACAAATAGATTAAGCACATGTGCAGTTCATTTCCTCTCCTTCACAGGTTAAAAGAATGAGAAAGTGGCAGTTTCCTCCCTATTCTACCTTGGATTTGCATATTTCCTACAAATCAATACCGCTCCACTCCAGCTTCCTGTAGGACAGAACAGACTCATTTCTGCAATCTTCTTTTCCTCCAGAAACCTCCGTGGAAATCTCATCATGCAGATCCAGAATGGCACTTTCCAGGCATGGCATGGGATGCAGTTTTTACAGAATCTGTAAGTATAATGAGGACTGAAGGTAGATGTGGGTCTCTGCAGTGACAGTGGAAAGAACAGATTTGCTGTCTGTAAAGAGCTGAATCCTGCTTTAGATGTTATCCAGGGTCCACCAGACGTCTGCATTCCGAAAGCCACTTTTTCTGGCCTGCTCCTCTTCTCTGGGGCTTCCTCAAACCAACACTGGGTTCAAACAGCTGTGGAGGGAGCCCAGGGAGATGGATAAGTAAGAAATGCTGGTGGGAAGGGAGAAGAGGCAGGGAAATGAGGGGTCTGGGATGTGACCTGGATTTCAAGTCAGAAATTTCACTTTGAGTATTTTCATTTAAAAATAAAGGTGATCATAAACATCCACAAAAGGGGTGGGGTTTTTGTTCTTTTGGTGTCTAAGAACTATGGCTTAACCCATAGCTCTATCAAGAAGCCCTTCCAAGGATAGGATCACTGTTTCCATATGGACCCAAAGAAAGCTGGGGCATTTTGACCACTGAGGGTTCATATACATAAAGAAAAGGCCACAGTCTCCCTGCTCTCCTGAAAACTGCAATACTTCTCACATGATATACCAAATAAGGCAGGAGAATAAATGATGAATAGCAATTCCCATAGGGCTAGGCTGCAGCTTTGTCTGGCTGGGTGGAGTAACAGAGTAAAAGTTTATGGACACTGGAAATGTAAGAAAATATGGAAAGTAAAAGTCCAAAATAACATCAAAGTCCTGGTTAAGGGAAGCAAAGAGAAGGCGTGAGCTGAAGAGGAAAGAAAGAGATGTTGTGTTTTCCAAAAGAAACACTTATGGGCCTTTTTGCTCTTTTAGCTGGAGATAATCAGGACCTGCTGTATTGTGTGAATCAGCCCATCAGCATCTGTTCCTGTCTGTTGCCTTCATCCCGGGCCCTTCCTCACACATGTAGTACTGAGCCAATTTTTTATCTTCAGGCTGAAATTTCCTATGTTTGTTCTCCACTTGAAAGGAAATTCTTTGGGGAGGTTTGAGTAAAAGTTGTTCAGCCAAATCCACATCTGCCATCCATAAAAGTGGGCTGGATCCTTATCAACCATAAACCTCTTTACACCAGTCACACAGCATAGAAGAGCCTGGAAAGGGGATTTCAGTGTAATTCAGCATCAGATCCAACACACACAACTCTCTTTGGGCCTCTCTGATATTTAAAAGGTAGAAATTTGAAGTCTGGCAAAAAGGAAAAATACCCTGATCACAGAAATGCTTTGCAATGATCTAGTGGAAACTCACTTTGATTTAGCTGTGTTTATACAGTTCAGGAACCACTGGGATTTTTTCTCTATAGTAAATGTTTTAACCATTTCCCAATTCTCCAGTGCCTGCTGCACAGTCAAGCTTGGTTTTACAGACTTCTGTGTCTCTGTATGTTAGAGGACATGTGGACGTATGGAAATGCTTTCCCCATGTGCCCTTGCACATGCAGCTCACATCCTTCCCATCACCCAGTCACAGTGGCTTGTTTTTTGCAGGATCCTAAGCCATAACCCCCTGTCTGTTATCAATGACACATCATTCTTTCAGCTGCCTTCAGTCAAATATCTGTAAGTATTGACTCATTTTTATCAGATTAATATAGATCTTTGTCTCTCTTGAGTGCCCTGCTGTCAGGAAAGTGGAGATCTGGTAGAAAATCTATTCTCCCAGCCTGACTCTGCTAGAGGCGCAAATAACTGGCACCAGCAGAGCCAGGCAAAACCAAGCAGTTCTGCTCTGTCCCCAGCACGGACCTAGATGCAAAGTAACCAAGTTGCTGGGACACAAACTGGAAAAGACAAAACACCAGCCAGGCCTGGGGCTGTGGAGTGGCCTGAAGGGTCTGGGAATGCCCCCACACCTGCCTGTGTGCTGAGCAGTTCCCAGTAACCAGGACAGTCGTGCCAGCAGTCCTGAGCTCCTGCCCACCCCATGTCCTGAGCCTGCTGCCTTGACACAGCTCAGGGCAGGTGATGCTCTGTGTTGATCATGATTCACACCATCCTATGGCTCTTACTCATATTTCCATGACTTCAGGGAGGAAAGTGCCTATGCTTTTTGCAGAGGTCCTTCCTGTTCACAGCCCCGGTATCCCACAGATACCCTTAGCTATCTGCTCAGCACATTTTCTCTTTTCACTGGTATAATCTCTCTTTCCAAGATCAAACATCATCTTGGGCAAGAAGAGTTTCTTAAGCAAGGGAGAAGGACTGGATTTGCACCCAGCACAGCAGTAGGAGGGCTTTGAGATGGGGAATCTTTCCTGTTTACATCAGGCTCCCCTGAAGTCTGCAGGACCCACTCCTGCTTCAGGCCCTATGTCAAAGGAGCATGTCAAAGGAGCATGTCAAAGCAGAAAAGCAATGGGGTTTTGAATTACTTCTGTCCGATTAGCAGAAGTGGATCCCTCTGAGAACACCATCAGGGACCTGGGCTTGTTCTCGGAACAGAGTTTCCATAAGGTGGCTTATAAATTTAATGTGTTTTTTCAAATCCTTTCAGAGACCTGAGTGCAACACAAGTGACTCAGCTGACATTACTCACACTCCTCCTGACAACAGTCCACTTGGAAAAGCTGTGAGTATGCAGAGACTTGGTCCCAGCTGCCAGCAGATTGCAATTGCTGAAATAAGGGGTCTGAATGGGAGACAAATCAGCTTACTGCTAAATCAGAAAACCCCCACCTTCTACACATACACACACAAGCCTAAGGTTTGGCGTTTACTTTTGAGAACTCCTAAACTCACCTGCTAAGTGTCAGAATTTCACTATTTAGGTGACATGTTCCGTGTTTTTCGAAGGGAAATTTTAAGTCATGGTGGGGTGTGTTTCTGTTTCAAATTGCATTTTGGGAATGGTTCCATTTTCAAAGGTAAAATGAACATTCTGATCAGAGAAACCTATCAAAACCTCATTTAGAAATCTGGAGCACATATTTGTCCAGTGGGATTTGGGGTTTGGGGGGAAGTTTTCCAGAGCTGTAGAAGAAATCCAAGCAAAACTGAGCACTATCTGTTACCTGAGCTAGACTCATAGATATGGATTGAGAAGCTGGGGTTTTCTCCAGTAACCTCTTATCTTTAGCAAACTGCCCAGTGATACAGCCTGCTGCCTCTGCCAGGAGAAACACACCACTGAAACCCCATGCAGGACCGTCCAGTTCCACTGTGAGGATCTGTGCACCACCAGCACTCCCCAGTGCGGTAGGTTTGCCCATGATTTATGCCACTGTTGAGGTAGGCTTGTCAAATCTGCTCTAGCTTTAGAAGATGCTGTAGCAAGGCTCCATTTTGTGGGTTCCCAGCCTGTGCTGGCCACCCCGATGGCAGCAGCCTAGCTTGGTGATTCCTGGCCAGTCCCAGGGACACTAAAACTGGGTGGATGCTGTGTGGCTCACCGAGCACAGCTCAAGGAATTTCATCTAAGCAAGGCCTTTAATCAGCCCACAGGCCAGTGCAGGCAGCTCAGGTGAGACCTGGGAGACCTCAGACTGTGCTTCCTCAGCCACAGGCACAAAAATTTCTCTTTTCAGAACAATACTTGGAAAAAAACAAGGGTTGAAAAGTTACTAGCGATTACACATATCTTTTGTGTCAAATAATATCTTGAGAAGAAATAGCTTGCAAGGCTAAACAAACACATGAGCTTCCAATCCACACAGTGCATCTAGCCAAGTAAATCATGTGTGCCCAGTACTATTCCCAAGCACTGGAAGGCACATACACCCCCCAAGTTTTCCCTGAAAACCTCCTGAGCCTTTCCAGTGGCACCATACCTTGGCTAGTCACAGCTCAGCAGTGGCAGCAGTGCCAGACACGGCATTGGCATGGCCAGAGGGTCCTGCAGAGTTCAGATCACGCTGGCTGGGTGGGACATGCTGAGCTGGACCTCAAACCTGCCACCCATGCTGGGAGCCCCAGGAACCATAACCGAGCATGGGTGCCCCTAGGCAGGCTCTGCTGAAACCTCCTGTACTTCATGGTGTGCTGGAGGGGGGCCAGGACACTCAGGCTCCAAAAACTGCTTGGAGGACCTGAGGATATTGCTAGATACGTCTGCCCTCTGTAGAAGAGGGAGCAGTAACTCCGATCTCCTTTGCAGGGCACTATGTGAACACCAGGCATTGTCTTGCTAGTCTGTGCAGAGTGAGCACTGCCCTGCTCAATCTTTGCTCAGGGTAAATATCAACCTATTCAAAGCAGAGACAAGCTAGACTTCTGCAAATAGATACAGCAATGTTTCCAAGGTCCCCAGGTAACTCATTTTCTAACTGGATGTAGACAAGTGAGCCTAACCTCATTGCACATCTAGGGAAAACAGGCCACTTAATCCATTTAGGGCTTGACACCCAAAGATGCTTTAATTTCTTATCAGTTTAACAGGAAAAAAGGGTGAAATACCTTTGTGATCTGTAAATATTCTTGACCATGTCACCCTGCCTCTAGCATTAAGCTACCTGCAAAGCAGGCTTAGAGATAAAGTTGTGTTTGCAGCCTCAGTGTAGGACTCTTGGAAGACTTATGCTAGCTGCAGACTCAGCATGTTCCCTTTGCATGCCAGGGCAGGTGCTCTCCTGGACTTTTTGCATCACTCTGGGTCAAATGTCCACATCTTCCACTTCTAGGGCTGGTTGAAGGGAACTGCATCCATCTGCAGAGAATCAGCTCTCCATTGTCAGGGACTTGCTCTGACTGCAGCCCCATCACTGCTTTGGGGAATTAGACAATAACCCGGTGGCACTTTAACGTGAAATATCCTGGGCTTTCCTGCCTGCAGGGAGAAGGGCTAGTTGGGATAACCGAGCAGGGACAAACACCGTGTCTTTGGGTATTCTGCTTTCCAGGCTCACTCCTAGTTAAAAAAATTTACAGTGACTTTAGCAACTCAACACTGACTCGTATCAAGCTATGGAAAACTCTCCCACAGAAAACCCATTCCCCCAGGATGTTTCACATTGATCCAAACAGAGCCCTGGGAGACACCAGAAAAAACAGCTATCTCTTCTGCCCCGATGAGATAATCTGATTGATTTAACAAGACTTTTCCCATCTGTAACACTTCCACCATTCAGTTCACACACTCCTTTGTCTTAAAGACAAGCTCCTGCTGTTCAGGGTAAACCTTTGACCCTGCATTTTGGCAGAAAGTTTCTCGTGGCTCAGGAGTCACTGATCTGCTCTCTTGGTGTTCAGCAGCTCACACAGATTCTCTGGCAGAGGCACAAGCAGAAGTAATGAAAGCAGTCCAATCCAGAAAACCAACCACCAGCACGGTGTTAAGCCTCAAGCCCAAGGAGCCTTCATTTGAAGACCAAGAAACTGCAACACTTGCAGTTGTCCTGCACCCAGCTGGCACTGACAGTGATCTCAGTAACCCGAATGATCACATTTCCAGAACAAACTCATATTCTCCTCAGCACCTCTCCAGGCAGGAAGGCAAAAACAGTAAGGAGCTGATGCTGCACAGCATTCAGCACATGGACTGGACCAGTGAAAGTGATAAGAGAAAACTCTATTTCCTAGCAAAAGCACTAGTGGCTGAGCTCAAGAAGAAGCTGCACATGGTTAAAAGTGTCGTGACTGTGGAAAACACCATCTCACACCCGCCGACACCTGCCATGTACAAGATCTCAGAGCAAGAGACAGCCTCAGGCTGGGTGCAAAAGCTGCGTGACTTAGGTTTGAACCATGCACCATTAAACCCCCAGGAAGTAGCTGGGAGGTTAAACCCCACCGACAACATCTCTGTCCTCGGACATCACAAAAGATCCATACTTCCTTCAAAACATTCCCTTCCACTCTCCCCAGCAGAGGCTTCTCATTTGTCTGGGTCTTTTGAGATACAAAATTACCCCTATGCTGTGGAACAGACCAAGAAAACTCATTATGTGGAGGATGCAGAAGATGTAAAGGAAACATCATCTCCAAGGCAGGGCTATCTCTGGGCTTACAAAAAGCACAAGCAGCAGGATAGCCCATGTCTGAATAAAAATAATCAGCTTTTCTACAATGTGTTTCATGATGTGAATCCGGAAGAAGAGCCCACACCAACAAAAAGTAAAGGAGAACAGAGAGAAAACATGAAACAACCTTTTTCCTCGAACCTGTCAGTTAACAAGAGTCGCCCCGCTGCAAGCAGCATGCTGAAGAACACTGGCTGAAAACGAGGGCTCCTCTGTGGGTGAGAATTTCCTGGGCACCCATCAGACCACAGAAACACACTGGAAGCTTCCAAAGGAAGGATTCGATTCCCTCATTAAACGAAGAAGCTCAGACAGCCCGGACAACACACTGGTTCAAGGAGACCTCTTTGAAATCAAGGTCAAGCATCACCTCCACTTGCTGGTCCCAGACAAAGCCCTGCGGACGTTCATCGCCCAGGTGGCGCGAGCCCTGAGGATGGACTGCAGCCTGCCTGATGTCCAGCTGTCCTGTGCGAAGATGGTGTCAAAGACAGGGCTGCTCATAAAGCTGCTCAGCAAGAGGCCAGCTGGGCAGGGAGCCTCCTCTCGCACGGGCTGGTGTCTCCTGCAAGGGAACATCTCCACCGGCATGGCCCAGGCTGGTGCAGCAGGCAGGAAACTCGCAGGGAAGGTAGGGCAGATGCGGGGTATTGCTGGATGTGATCCTTCTGGGCAGTGGGAACGGAAGGAGTAACAGTCTCTCCCTCCCCGATTTTCTCTCTTTTTGTCCAAGTGGAAAGCAGAGCACAGCTCTGGCAAGAAGCTTCTGTTGGCGGTATCGGTGTCCCTCATCATCACGATTAATCTCACGGTGATTTGTCTCATCGAGGTGAGCAGATAACTCATGAGGTGGGCAACTGGCAGTCAAGCCTTGCAGCCGGAGCGTGTGGGCTGGGGTGGTGCCTCCCTGCACAGTCTGTGGGAGCCAGGGTGCCAACGTGGGTGTCTGTGGGCGTCCTGCATGGCGCAGGAGGTGTTTACCCGCACCGTACAGCTCTGGGGGCATCCTGGCATCCTTCACGACCTGTCCAGATCTCAGCTCTGAGCTTTGCTTTCTCAGCTTCTCTGAGGGGGCTCCCTGTCATCGCGGCCTCTCCCATCAGCCCCTCCTTGAGTTTTATGCCACAGCCCCTGCCCTGCGCCACCCTGGCCCTATAGAATCTCCTACCAGGCTCTTCTCCTGACCCTGCCCTGCTCTCCTGCTGGTGCTGATTGCTTTCAGCCACGCAATGATTCCCATGCTTCCTTCACTCTTGCCAAAGCCAAGAACTTGTGCAAGGTTAAATTGTCCTGCATGGGTCAGAGCAGTGCCAGGGACAGACAGGGGTGAAGGCCCAGCATGACCACAGGTATCAGCCTCCTTCACAGGTGCTTCTCCCTGGAAAAAGCTTTTATTTCTTTAAAAGCCTACCTACATGTTTAAGATCGGCTTTGAACAGAAGGGGAGTACCCTGTAAAGCACGGCACAGATAAGAAAGGCAGACATAAACATTTCTGAGATTAGGAGAGCTCTGGGAGTTCAGGTCATTCCTAAGGCAGAGAGTGGGGAGGCAGGAAGGGAGGATGGGCTCTCTCTAAAAAATGTGGCTGCTGGCACAGGCTTGCACATGTATATAACACTCTTGGTTTAAGGAACAACCTTTTGGCCTCCCTTGTTTTGCAGAGCGTGACGAGAAAATGCTGATGTTACGAGTCTCTCTCTCTCTCTCTCTCCTTGACCAGGTTTGCTCCCAAAAACCTGCAGCTGCTTCCCAACCGCAAACCACCAGTAAATCACGAATAAGATGGTAATTACTCCCTCCTCCGTGCCACTGCTGTGCCACAAACAGTCCTTTCTCTGAACAGCACCTAACCCCAGGGCCCCCAGCATGCAGGCACCGGTTACGGAAGACTCACCAGCTGAGTGGATGTGTTCAGCTGAGTGGATGTGTTTAGAACATACCGTTTTTTAGGAGACCCAGAAAAGGGACCCCAAAGCGTGAGTAATCAGCACAACTGTACACTCTGGGCCAGCACCTCGCAGACACCCAAGCTGCATGAGGCAGCACACTGATGCTTCACCCTGGGTGTGGGTTTCTTGGCCCAGGGCTCCTGCCAGGCCCCGTGTCCCCGTGGCTCACCCAGCCCCAGCCTGACTGAGCTGCCCGGTCACGATCACACCTCGCTGCTCTGAGTGATGGCAGCGCTGCCCTATTGCCCCCCGCCCCTCTCCCTGCAGAGTTGCTCCTGTGCTCTCTAGATGCCGTCACATCCGAAACCGGAACAGCCCTGGGTGCTTTCTGGGGTTGTTAAGGTCAGTCAAAACTTCACCCTGTGTGGGGAGAGGCTCCTGCCCTGGCGGGGCTGCAGGGCAAGGTGACTTCTTGAGGTGAGAGATGATGCACACAAGCCTTTCTCCTCCCGCTTCCTTCCATGTGCTGGATCCGGACGTTTTGAGCACTGTAAATGCCAGTTGCCCGAATCTACATGCTGCCATTACCAGCTTCCTTCAGTTTTTATCCTGTTTTTTTTTTTCAGGTTCTTTCAGAAACTCCTGCCGCTTAGATGGCGCAAGAACAAGTATGACATTAGAGAGCAGGTAAGGGCCGAGACTGGCTGAGGTGTGCCCCTCTGCCTGCTCGCTGCCCACCGTACAGAAACGTTCCCTTCCCTGGTGCTTTCCAGGGCTCTCACGGATCGGATCGGAATAAAACCAAACCGCAGTGGCTTATAGACCTCTACAAACCTCTTGATGACCAACTGAAGAAGGCCTTAATTGAGCTGTATGATGAAGAGTCCTCCGAGGAGGAGATTTTTGGCAAGCCTGAGCTAGAGTAAGTGGGGACGGTGCCTGCGGTTGTTTCTTGTTCTGGCGCAGAGCTGCAACGCTTCCCTTCGCTGCCTTGCCGTTATTTCAGCAGGATGTCCACAGCACCCGAGAAGGGCCATGATCTCGTGGAAATGCAGCTGCCTGGAGACCTGACGCCTCCGCCTTGCAACCCTGCTGCACCCCTAAACCCCCTCTCCGCCCAGAAGGATGCACTGGGAGGCCACGTGCCAGGGGTGCCCCCGAGCCTGGCCCAGCAGGACAGGAGCAGAGGGGCTGCGACGGACGGGGAGCCCCCCTAGGGCTCCAGCAGCGGCAGCGGTGTGGCACTGGGCACCGAGAGCCACCCTCTGCCTGCGGGCACGCGGCCGGCCCCGCTGCCACGCGGTGCGAGGCCACCGAGGCCTCTTCTGTGGCAGCCAGCAGAGGCCGGGCGCTTCGTTCCAGGAAGGACTCGGGGTGGGGGGGGTGGAATTAAAAGGATTTGTTATGGAAACGTGTGGGGTTTGGGCCCAGCGTGAGCGGACGGGGGGGGGTGGCTGCGTGCGCGTGGCTGGGCTGTGTGCACACGCGTGTGTAGTGCTGACAGGAGGGCCACGGGGAGGCACAAACCTCCTGCTGCCCCTGCAGCGTGCGCCCCCACGGCTGTGCCCAGGCCTCTGCACACGTGTGTGTGTGTGTGTGTGTGTGTGTGTGCAGGGGGGGCTGTGGGAACGTGGGGGGGGCAGCGCAGCTCCGTGTGTGGGTGTGTGCCTGTGTGTGTGTGTGTACACGTGTGTATGCCTGTGTATGTGTGTACACATGTACATGTGTACATATATGTGTGCATGTGTGTGTGTGTGCTGTGTGTTTATGTGTGTACGTGTGTGTGTGCACATGCACGTGTGTGTGTGTGTGTGTGCATATACGTGTACATGTGTGGTGCGCGTGTGCGTGTGCGTGTGTCCATGTATGTGTGTGTGCTGTTTGCATGTACGTGTGTGCACGTCTGCACGTGTGTGCTTGTGTGTACGTGTGTGTGGTGTTTGCATGTCCATGTGTGTAGGTGTGCACACGTGTGTGTGTGTGCACGTGTCCGCGTGTCCGTGTGCCCGTCCCTGCACGCGCACCTCCCCGTTCCCGCTCCCGCGCTGCTGCCACGCGCCCCGCCCCTTGGCCCCGCCCCTGGGGGCGTGGCCCCGCCGCCCTCGGGCCCCGCCCCGCTGCCGCCACCGTCACGGGGGGGTGAGGAGGGGCGGGGCGGGGCGCGCGGGCTCCGCTTCCGGGTTGCCGGCCGGGAGCGCGCAGCCGGTGAGCGGGGGCGGGGCCGGGCCGGGGGGGGGCGGGGAGGGGGCTGGGGAGGGAGGGGGCTGAGGGGGGGGGGGACAGGGGCTGGGAGGGGGCTGCGCGCTGCCCCCAGCTCCCCCCCGTTCCCTGCCAGCAGCCCCCGCAGGCTGCCCGTGCCTCGGGAGCTCCGGTAGCGCGGTTCCCTCAGCCGCCGCCGGCTGCCCCGTGCTGGCCGTGCCCGTGCCCGTGTGGGGCCGGGGGCCGCGGCCCTGCCCTGCCCTGCCCCCGGCCGGTCCTCGCGGCCCCCCCGCTGCCCTCCCCTCGGCCGCCCCCGCCGTGTCCCCCCCCCGGGCCGTGCCCTCCCCGCGGGCCCGGTGGCCGTGACCCAGCCGGGGCTGGCGCACGGGGGTGGCACCGGCTCGGGCGGACGAGCCCGGGGGCACCGGGCTGGGGGGGGCAAGGGGCGGGCTGGGGGCGGCTCTCGGCCTCTGCTTCGCCGCCACCCGGAGCTGCCCGCTCGGCACGGGAGGGCCGCGGGGCTGGGGCACGGGGCCGGGGCAGGAGGGGCCGGGTTCGGTGTCTCCTCGCTGCCCTGAGGGCCCCCGGTGCTGGGTGCGGGCACCTGGAGAGCAGCGGGCCTGCAGGGCCTGCAGGGACACACCTGGGGCTTTCGGGGCCCCCCCGTATTGAAGCAGGGCTGGGTGGCCGTGGGGCCGAAAGTTTCCCTCGTGCTGCAGCCAGGGCAGGACAGAGCTGTCCTGACGCGGGGCTGGGGCTGCCCGGCCCGGCACAGCTCCCGTTCCCCCTGGGTGGATGGGGCCCGGCCCCGTGCTCGTGCCTGGAAAATGAGTGGCTCCGTCTCCAGGCCTTGAGTCAGCGCCTAACGCCGTCCCCTCGGCGCTTGTTTTCCATGCCCAAAGTGCCGGTGGTGACTCGGTGTTTATTTATAACTTGTCGGGAGAGCGAAGAGCCGGGCTTCGGGACGGAGCGGAGGGGCACTGCCCAGGCTCCATCCCAACAAGCAGCTCCGGGGCCTGGGGCCGCTTTGTTGCGTTCTGGGAATCGGACAGCTCTGCTCACACACCGCGGGCTCCCTTCCTTGGTAGGTAAACCACACGAGCTGGCTTTCTGCTTTCTTGTTCTCTGGTTTATTTTGTTCCACTTTGGCAGTTTTGCTCAGCCCGCAGAGCCCTCGAGGCAGCGGGTGCTGGGAGGCCACGTGGGGTTTGTGCCGTGGACGTGCTCCTGTCCGTGCCCACACGTCCGTCCTGCGCCAGGTGCGCCTGGAGACCAAAACCAGCAGTGGCTTTCCGAGGGCTCTGTGAGCATGTCGGGCAAGATCCGCCAACACGGCGTGTTTGTTGTGCTCACTGCTCGGGGAGGTGCTGCCCCAGCAGATCGCTGGGTGAATTCATGGCACTGGGATGAACTGGTTGGACTGGTCGTAGCGTGCGTCCTCAACCTCCTGCCTCCCGGGGAGGCTGGAGGAGCTGGGGCTGGAGGAGCTGAGGCCAGCAAGGGAGCAGAGGTTTTGGGGGCACCTCTGCTGGGGTCCATCCTGTGCTTAGCAAGTCTGGAAGAGTTTGCAAAATTATCCCTCACTGTGACAGCTGGGGACACGGGTGGCTGGGGCAGCCCCAGAGCCAGCGCTGGCTCTTGCAGGAGCCACTCAGGTGCAGCAGCAGACGTGCCACCCCGTGCCCACAGCTGTGTCTGTCCCTCCAGCAGTGCTGAACCTCAGGGTGGCATCGGGCGAGCTGTGGGACCCGTTAGCAGGAAGGCAGCAGGTAAAGGGGCAGAGTCTGACACTGGCTGAGCCTCCACGGCACAGGGCAGGGATGGGGACGGCTCCCCGTGGTCTTCAACCACTGCTGCCGTCACCTCGGCGCCCTCCCTGCACCCGCTGCCCCCTGCCAAAATGCCGGGCAGCAGCTCGGAGCCAGAGGTGAACATTCCCGTAATCGCTGTGCTCCCGCTGGCCTGTGTCGCAATCCTGGGAGAGGAAATCTTATGACAAGCAGTGGCAAAAACAGTTTCCTTTTCTATTAAACTCTGGTGAACTCTGGCCACGCTGGGGATGGAGCTGGAGTTGCTCACCAAAGAGCTCCTGACCTGGGGCTGTGCCAAGACGGACCAACCACCCGCGCTGCTCGGGCTTTGGGATTCACAGGATTTGGGCCACCTTTGCCTCCACAACTGGCCTTTGCGGTGGAAGTGCGTGGTCGTACCCAAACCCTTCTGTCCACTGCTGGCTCTGTCCTCTGCTTCAATGGCAAAGCCAAAGCGAGTGCTTCAACTCGAGGGAATACGTTTCCAGCCCCTAGTCTTTGGGAAGCTTCGTAGCAGCTGCTGCTGGAGCTTCTCTCAAGCTCATTTAAGCACCCGAGCACGTTGTGTTGGAGCTGGGCTGCGGCCACGCGCCAGCAGCCACGCGCCTTTGCTCCCAGAGCCTCCAGGTACACGCCGGTGTCGACAGACGGCTCCTAAGAGCTGGGTAGGAGGCCAGACGTCAGAATTAAAGTCTCTTTGTTCTCTGCTACCACCTTCCTGTTACAGACAGCTCTGGCACAGCAGACAGTTCTCGGTATGGCTTTGCCAGGGTTTCCCGTAGTGGAGGGCAGTGTTTTTTTTCCTTCTGCTCTGCGTTCTGCTGGGAAAGGGGCGATGCTGGAGCATCTGCCTCTGAATGGGGCAACTGAGAACCGCATGGAGAGCCCTGAAGTGGCTGCTCAGACCGCTCTGTGACAGGCAGAATTGCTGTCACCTCCACATCCCCCCTGTGCCACCACAGTGGCGATGTCATCTTTGTTTTTCTGTGTCCCATCATTCGGGCTGCCCGGCCAAATGCAGGTGTTTTGCTGTCCTCGCTGCGTGCCTGGTGGTTGGCACTGCAGGTAGTGGGGGAGCAGAACAGAAGCAGTCCCTGGCCCTGCGCACGGCGCTGGTGGCTTGGCCAGCATGCAGCCTGGCGTCTCACCGGGTTTAGTAATTAACCTGCAGAGGCTAATTACTCCTCTCGGTCTCTCGCTGTTGGCCACGCTCTGTTCTGTCTGTTCCCGTGTGGTCTTGGGTTGGTCCCGGCTGGAATGTGGCAGCAGTCTGGCTGGGAGCGCTCACTGCTGCGTGACTCTGGGTGCCCTCTGCACGGCAGGCGGGTCCCCCGTGAGCCCAGTAGGTGAGCAGCGCTCAGACACGCTCCTCCTCCTTGTCCCAAAGGTGACATGTGAACGCAGTGCCGGGAGCAGCAGCAGCTGAGATGCATTCGAGCCACGCCGATGACCCCAAGGAAGTCATACAGGTGAGTACATCACATGCACCCTGAACCCCAGCCTGCGCCAGTTGCTCCCAGTGCAGCCCCAGTTCCTGGCTGGACGTGGTTGGACACGGCTGTGCTGCCAGCTGGGGCTGGGACGCTGCAGGCAGGAGAAGGGTGGCTGGTGCTGGCGGAGCATCCTCAGGTCTGCCTGGCTGTCTGAGTTGGAGCAGAGGTGGGTGGCTGCAAGTTAAACCCCACCAGGCTCCACCGTGGGATGCGCACTGAGGAGCTGGGGAGGGTTCTTGGCCCCTTACCCGGGGAAGGAGCATTGCTGCCGAGGCTGTTTGGGGTGTCTGGACTTCCTTCACTCAGCCTTTGGAGTCTGAACACATTTCACGAGCAAGGTTCAAACGCGGCAGTGAAGTCTGTGTCTTTAATTCATCCTGCAGCGGAATTATTCATGCATGACAGATAACATCGCTTGCACTCTTTAATCCTGTTAGCCCACGGTTGCTGCTCGCAGGCAGGTTGCTTGTGCTGGCAGATCTGGGGGCAGCTGGGAAGGGGTGGTATGATCAAGGATACAGCATGTGTCCCTGAACTACAGCTGCCACAAACCTTACTTAGGTGCATTTCCCCTCCTGAAAAACTATTTGGGGCTGGAAGTTTGTTAGGAGAAAATTTGTGGCTGAGAAAGGTTGGAGAGGAGAAGTCATTTGAAAAAATGTTACTGAATATCTCCCTTGCAAGGAGAACAGTCTCTCTGGAGCTGGGACTTGAGTGGCCCATCTGAACCCCAGCTCTGCCCCCTCCGTTGCTCAGTGGCAGCGGCTGGTGCCTTTGGGTATGAATTCGGAGGGCTGCGTGATTGACACCCAAGTGCCAAGTGCTTGCTAGGTTCACGGCCAAGCTGGCAGAGTTTGCCAAATGTCTGCTGGGAAGTGCAGCTTTCATTTTAAATAAGGCTGACTGAGACAGCTGGGCTCAGCTGCGTTTAAAAAATCGTTTCCACCAGCATAAAATTGTTAAATTCATTGAATTTGCTTCTTTTTGACTCTGGTGGAAGGAGGAGGAAAGCAGAACTGTTGGAATGTGAAATCCCCATGTTACGGCTTCTGAGCTCACCCCGGCTCCCAGAAGAGTACAGCAAACAACACAAGCTGTCCTCTCAAAAGCATTTGCCACAATGGCTTTGATTTCTGTGAGGGGTTCCCTCCTTAGCGTTCCTTGTTTATCACCCGTGCTTATTTAATCCATGTGTTTTCCCTGAGCAAATGCCTGGAAAGAAAGAACCGATTTCTTCTTTTCCCCACCCTCTTAAGCAATTTGATGTCTTTGGAAGTGCTGCACGCTCTAAAGGCAACCCCAGAAACCCAGTGGGCCCCAAAACGTGAGCTAAAGGAAGAACTATTTGCATAAATTACTCGTTTAAAAAAGGCAGATCGACGCTGATGCCAAGAGCGTGAGTCCCCAGCTGGACTGGTTCCGCTGTAATGCTCGCTGCTGGTTCTCTGCGGGGCACGTGGATAAAGCAGGAATTGCATGGTGCCTCTCTGGATGAGCCTTGCAGTTTTGGAGCCCTTTTATTGCCCTTTTTTCCTGACACTTATCCTTACTACCTAAGCCTGCACCTCCTGTGTTGCAGCTGATCAAGAAGCAGCTGGTGAGCGCGATCAAGGCGCTGCAGAAGCAGTACGTCTCTTCAGATGCCGTTGTGACCAGCGACGATGGCAACGCCAACACCCTCTGCAGCGCCCTGGAGGCCGTCTTTGTGCATGGGCTGAAGGCGAAGCACATAAAGACAGAGACGGGGGGGAAAGGGAAGAAAGCAGGCAGCCGCCTGCCGCTTCCCCAGCCTGTCTTTTGGGGCCTGCTGAAGAGCATCACGCACCGGTGAGTTTGCACACCCAGGTTTCTGCCCTCCCTTTGGCACCAAGAGGGGCAAACACCACAAAATTTTAAGGGGAGCTGGCTGGACAGGGGTTTGCTTTGCTCCCGCTCCCTGTACGCTTCATCCCTACAGCCAAAATGTTGGATGGTCTCAAAGGGTGTCCTGCTGGGCAGGGGCTGCCCAGGACCATGCGGGCTCCGGAGGAGGAGGGCAAAACCCCTGTGGAGCCGAGGGATGCTGTGGGGCTAGGCACGGGGCACCTGCTGGTACCAGCACGGCCTCTAAGCATGCGCTGGGGGTTTGGTGACATTTGGATGTTAGGCAATGTCACCATTTAAAGCTCCGCCTGCACCAGGCGTTAAACTGCTGTGCCAGCTTGGGGCATGCTCCTGTTTAATTCTGGGGAACCAGGCTGTGTAGGGGGGCTTGGTGTCCCCAGTGGGACCAGAGGACCGTGACTGCACAGCGCAGGGCCTGGTCTCCCTCCTGCCATTTACCTTTTGGGGACAATCGTGCTTCTCTTCTCCACGCCCAAAAAGAGGAGAATCAGGCCTGACCTTATCTGTGAACCTTGTGGAGTTCTCGGGTGTGTAACTGTCATTACTTGCTGGGGGTTTTGAGCCACTCCCTAGGCAGAGTCTTTCCGCACAAAGTAACAACCCACAAAGAAGGATTTTTGAAAGCCTCATCCAACTCCATCAGCGACTCTTGAATTATGAAAGAGTGGATGAAAATAGCAGATTCACACGGTATGGGGGATATCTTTGTGCCCTTTGAAGATTTTCGTCTTTGAGAGACAGATTAAAAACTTCAGAAAGTTCTGCTCTAATTTTTGTAGCATCTGAAGTGTCGACTACAGAGGTGTGAGCTGGGGCCAGGGGGGATTAGGAAGCATGGTGTCGCTGTTGGATTTGGGGAAAAAACAGCTGAAGTCAGGAGGCTGAGACTGGTTGAGGAACTTCACTCAAGCCTTGTGCTTTGCTTTTTGGCTTGCCATGGCGCTTTCCACTGTGTTTTGGCTGGTGGGAAATGTGGAACTAGAACTTGGACATATGGTTGTCACCAATGAGTGACACAAATGAGTTTTCCCCTCGTCTCCTTCCCATGGTCCAGGGCAAGCGCAGAGACACAGGAGATGTCTCCAGCCAGAGCAGCAGTGCCCAGGGGCACCCCCCAGGGATGGCTGGGCTCATCACCAATATATTTGGTTTAGAGGAACTCGGGAGTTGTTTTTTTTTTCTCTGTGGGAAACCACATTTTCCACGGAACAAAGATTTTCCACTGCCTGTTCTGACCCAACTCCTAATCTCCCATAGCAGAACAGTTTGGCAGCCCGGGATGGACTAGAAATGCAGCCCCTCACCTCCTCTTCAATTCTTTTTCTCTCTTGCCCCAGGAACATTGTCTCAGAGCTGGAACAACTCATTTTTATCAACACGGACGTCGGCCGCTGCCGGGCCTGGCTGAGGCTGGCTTTGAACGATGGCCTCGTGGAGTGCTACTTGAAGCTGCTGCTGCGGGAGAGGCCGCGGCTGCCTGAGTACTACCAGTCCACGGCTCTGCTTTTGGACGCCGAGGAGTGCGAGTTCCTCCTTAGCTACCTGCAGGGCTTAACGTCCTTAACCTTTCAGCTGTCTTACAAATCGGCAGTGTTGAACGAGTGGACTGTCACCCCTCTCTCCCTGTCCGGGCTGTGTCCTGTTTCGGAGCTGCTGGAGCCCCTGACGTCCTCGACATCCGAGCCCCGGAGAAAAGCGTCGCTGGGTTCCATCTCCCAGTCTTCGGGATCAGATGAGATTGAAATTCAGCCCTCCATCCTGCCCATCAGCAAAGCTGGTGTCAAAACCAAGCTGACGTCGTCCTCGCTGAGCCTCAACACGACAGGCTCGTCCCAGCTGTCCTCCAGCCTCGGCTCCGACAGCGCCCTCCAGCCCCACTGCGCCCAGAGCCCCGAGCGGAGCGAGGAGCCGCTCTCCTGCGACTCTGACCTGGGCACAGCCACTGCCGAGGACCTGGACAAGTCACTACAAGAGTGAGTCTTTCCCCAGACCTCTTCAGTGGGATTTCTAACCCCTTTATTTTCTCTCTATAGGCAGGAAGGCTTTCTCCCCTTTTTAACAGGCTGCTTTTTCCTCCTGGAAAGAACCTGAAAGGTTAAAAGATGAAAAGCTTGGCACAGCTTGCCAGGACCCTGCTGCCAAGGCAAATGAGCACCTGAGGACTGAAGTGTGTGCCTGTCCTCTCTGCCAGGGCAGACACGTCAGAAAAATGCTGCTCCCTGCTTTCAGGAATGTGACATCTCCATGGCATACGCTTGGGGCTTTTCGGCAGGGAAGAAATGAATTTGGTCATAGGAAGGAGTTCTAATTTGCACCTTCTGCAGATACTTCAAAGGAGGAAGGTTGTTAGTTTGTCATCCTCGTGATTTATTTCTGCAAAACACTCAGACAGCAAGCACAAGGATCTCCAGCAGGCTGTATAAGCTCTGAGTAATCAGCAAATATTTTCCCCACTGCCCTGAAAAATGAAGGATGTGTTGTCTGACTGAGCCTGGCCTTGGGGTGGCGTTTGGCAACTGCACGCTGCCCGGTGTTGGCTTTAGAGAGGGCTGCAAGGCTGTGAGCAGAGCTGTAACTGCTGCGTCTCGCCCTGCTTGCTTGGAAGAGGCCACCTTTAGTGGCAGAGCCAGAGCTGGGCAAGGGCTTTCTCAGATTGCGACCAAACAGCCATTTCACATAGGTCTGAAACAGCAAGTGTGCTGAAATTCCCACAAAAGCAGAAACACTTTGCTTTCAGTTGACCAGCAGGATGAACGCCTTTAAAACCTTCTTGTTTCAGGTCACTTTATGCCCACGTAACAAGCAAAAAAAAACCACACAGGCAAATTTTAAAACAAAAGTAGAATTTTGAATGGAATGGTCAAACTGAAACAGGAGACTTGTAAATGAAACATTACCTTTGTTGTAAATGTTTTATTGGCCAGAAGAGGTGCACATCAGCTCAAGCTCATGAGGAGCTTTGAAGTGCTTAAAGCTGACATTTTTGGCAAGCTGGTTAATTGCTCAGTTATTTCCCAAGGTTTAGAGCTCTTGCCTGCGCTTCCCCATCAATAACAGCGTTGTTACCTACTTCTAGGATTTTGCATTTTATGATAATCCTGGAAGAACCACCCTTGATTTGACTAAACTCACGATGGAAAGACTTTGTTTTGAATTTTCAGCTGGGCTGGTTTAGTTTGACTTGGTGCAGCAGAGGCATGGGACCAGCATCTGGCATGGCCAAGCTCCACTTAAAGTTGCTTGTTAATGGTTACAAAAACATCTGAAATTCGGGGGTGTGTTGAGGAGTCATACGATGGGCCCATTAACCCCTCAGTGTCAGAAGTAAATGAAAATCTGGTAATGCAGCTCAGTAGGAAAAGCATCCTTTGTGGGGTCTTGGGCTGGTGATGGGCTGGCGGCTGGGCTTTGTGTTTCCTGGGGGCAGGGCTGGTGCCTGGCAGCTTGGAGCTGTCAGCCCGCCGGGGCTGAGCCCTGCTCTGGGGGCTGGTGCTGAAGAACCAGGCAGAGCCACATGCTAGGTCCAGGTCAGCGCAGCTGCACCGAGCTCACTGCTGTTTCTTTCTCAGGGTGCTGTCCGAGTTCAGCAAAGCCAAGCCGAGCCACGACGCCCCACCAGACCAGCTCGTCCCCGCCGTGCTGGGGTGCTCCCCGCCGCCGCCCGCCTGCCCCCCAGCACCCCCGGCGCCCTCTGAGGATGCTCGCCCACCACCACCTCCCACCAGACAGAGGGGCAGTGTCCGCACTGTCCCCCAGGATGATGCCAGCGTCCCAGCCCCGAGTCCCAGCAGCACCGATGGAGCGGAGGAAGGTGGCCGCGGTGTGGTCAGCAGCAGTGAGGGCAGCCATGCAGTGCGCAGCCCCGCGGCCGAGTACCTCCTTTCTCCGCTGCCGGGTTGCCCGGTAGGTGTCCCAGCTCGTGTGCTGCGCTCCCCAGTATCCTTGTTTTATGCTTCCTGATCTAACGGGAAAGGAAGGTGAAGGTGGTGACAACTTTGGTAGGCTCCAGTTTCTCTGAACTCTCATCTTCAGGGCCACCGGTGGCACATTTGGTATAAATAACACATAACGTGGGAATCGGCAGGAAGGGGTGGTGGGAGTGCTCCCTGCTCCGTGCACACCTTCCTGGGCCCTGTGCAGCCATCCTGGGCGTGTTGGACCTAAGTAAATATTTCCTGGCAAAAAGAATTCAAAAGCATTTGAAACCCCCCATGGCAAGCTGGTTGTCCCTCACCCAGTCCCCAACAAGAGAAGTTTTCTGTTTTATTAATGGTATCTGAAGGGTGATGAGCTCTTGCACAAATCTAGCCCTCAGCTCTCTGAGCTGACAGAACAGCTCAGGAATGGATTTTCTCCTGGGCTGGGGCCAGCGGACTTTCCTTCACCCTTGTAAGAGGAGGGCGAAGCACTACCTAGGCAGGAAACAAATTGCAGTTGTGCAGTGGAAGAACGTTCACCCAACACAACTGTTCCCGAAGCAGGATGGTGTTCCCTGGTGCTCAGCAGCAGTGCACATCCCTCTTGCAGTCCTCTGCGATCCACTTGCTTTTGCTTTTAAGAAACCTTCAAACAGTCCCATCCCCTGCCTAACTCTGGCTCGCTCCTGACTCATCCTTCCACTCCAGGGAGGTTAGGATCTGCTTTGCACACCCGCGAGCGGTTTCTCTTTTGGGTCCCGGCTCCTTTCGGCTCCTTCCCGGTTATCCCATTTCCGCTGCTTCCTCCTGGCGCTGGGCCAGGCTGACTAATCTGTGTATAACATACGGTGTCAACAGGAAATCCCCTCCTGCTTTCCCATGACTCATGGAGCAACCTGCATTCCGAGCCCCAGAGTAAACAGAGGCTTCCTATAGCGCCTTGTGTCCCTCCTGTAGGGTGGCGCAGACTCTCCCGCTGTGACTTGGTTTGTGGTCGGAATAAACGGCTCTTTGAAAGCAAGGTAGGGTCCTTCCTGGTGGGACACAGCCCTGGAAGGGATGCTCTGGGTCTGGCAAGGCTGCTCCCTTTTGCAGGAGCCCTGATCTGGGTCGTGTTTTGCTCCTGGTGTTTGTTCAGAGGCCTGTCCCACAACCTCACTCCCTGCTTGCAGCCAAACTCCCAGAGCAGCTACAGCTTTGTGTTCTTTCAGCTTAACAGACATCCTTCAGCTTTCAGGTCTCAGCCCCTCATGACATAGCGAGACAAATGTTTTCTCTGCCTTCCCCGCTTTGTTTTCTTCTCAAATAGACAGCAGAACGTTGCTTGTAGCATCCGCTTGCAAGACAGGGCTAGGACCTAGATGTCTTCTCTGCTTCTCCCTGGTAATAAATAATGTTCCTGGCCCCTGTTCCTGCACTGAGCTGGTGTCTCACCTCACCTCAGAAATGCTTGCTGAATCCTTGCATGTGGATGTTGCAGGGAATGTGCTCCTTCCCCAGAGCCCTCTGTGACTTCAGGGCAGGAGAAGCGGTCAGTTTGTGTTTCTGGGCTTCCAAATCGCAGCGTTTTGTTGTGGCTCAGCAGATGGGTGCTCTCAGCCCTGCAGCAGCGCTTACGGGGCACTGCACATTGCACTTTGCTGTGCCCCAACTAAACCTACGGTCAGAAAGTGGTTTGGTGATGTTGTGGGGTAACCCAACCAGCAGCTCAGCACCACACAGCTGTTCGCTCACCCTCCCCTCTCCCTCTGTGGGATGGGGGAGAGAATTAGAAAGAAATGAAAGCCTGTGGGTTGAGATAAAGACAGTTAATTAGGACAGAAAAGAAAGGAAAATAATAATGATGATGATAATAGTACTACTACGAATAATGTGTACAAACAGATGATGCACAGTGCAATTGCTCACCGCCCGCTGACCGATGCCCAGCCTACCCCCAAGCAGCCGGTCCCCCCACCCTGGCCAGCCCCCCCCCATTAATTGTTCACATCACGTCCCATGGTATGGAATACCCCTTTGGCCAGTTCAGGGCAGTCATCCTGGGTCTGTCCCCTCCCAGCTCCTGCTGCACCCCCAGCCTGCCCGTTGGCAGGACAGAGCGAGAAGCTGAAAAGTCCTTGGCTTGGTGTAAGCACTGCTCTGCAACAATTAAAACATCAGCGTGGTATCAACATAATTCTCATCCTAAATCCCAAACACAGCACCCTACCAGCTACTAGGAGGAAAATTAACTCTACCCTAGCCAAAACCAGGACAGGTGAGGACAACCAGGCAGCAGCCCGATGCGGCGAGGCGATGCGCCGTGGTGCCAGCTGCAAGCTCAGGCTCATTGAGCACTTCTTCGGTGCGAGCAATGACAGCCTCCCTGCGGGGTGGTGTTTGCTCTGTCACCCACCCGTGGACATCCCTGCCATCAGCTCCCCAGCTGCGTTAGCCAGGCAGCTGGCAGCCCGTCCACGCTCCCCAAAATACGGCTGCTCACTGGCAGCATGCAGCCAGGGTGTGCTTGGGGGGCCAAAGTCACTGTGCTGGGTGTGCACGGGGCCACCGTGGATGCATGGGTTTGAGTTTGCTGCTGAGGTGTCTTTTTTCATACATTTTTTTTAACAGAAAAGAAAGAGCTGGATCTCGGAAGATGATTTCTACAGGCCTTCTGCAGGAGAGAGTGGCAAAAGCCCAGCTGACATCAACGGCTTCGTGCCAGACGGTGCTGGGGAGGGCCCAGCCCCGGGGCTGATCAGTGCTCTCGACTTGGAAAGGCTGTCGGTGCCTTCCTCGCGGGGCGGGAAGCCCAAACTCTCACCCGAGCGGGAGCAAAAGGGCTTCAGCGTCGTGCATCGCCGGCAGATGGGTGCGTGACCCCCACTTTAAGCACGCGTCTGCTGTGGGCAGCGCTCAAGGGCTGGGCAGGGAATTTGGGTGGTCACCTGTCTGGGAGCAGCCCTTGCCATCAGCTGGTGGTGGTGCTGGAAGCTCCAGAAAAGGCAGAGATCCGCAGTGTGGCCGATACCCCCGTAGCTCTGGTGGGAAGCCCTTTAGGGACAGAGGACGTGTGCTGGGTGCCTCTGCCCCCATGGCTCTGCCCACCTTGCAGGACAGATTTCTTTTATGCCATCCCTCTCATTCTTAACCTCAAAACCAAATGCATGGGGACGATTACAGGGGCCCAGCAAGCAGGTCCTGCAAACTCCTGCCCCGTTGCACCTCCCAGCAGGGCTGACTCAAAGCTGCAATGCCTCTGGCTGCTCCCCATTTCCCTTCCCACCTCATTTCCCTTTTGGTTATACTGAGACGTTTGCTTTTGCCCAAGGTCTTTCCAACCCCTTCCGAGGACTCCTGAAGCTCGGCACCCTGGAGCGGAGAGGAGCCATGGGCATCTGGAAGGAGTTTTCCTGCGAGCTGTCACCACTGGAGCTCCGGCTCTTCCTGGACCACGAGGACCGCATCTGCGTCGAGAGCTACTCGCTGCTGCGGTGCGAGTCGCTGGCGTTGACACACTCAGATGGACGCTTCGAGCTGGTTTTCCTGGGGAAAAAGCTGTACCTACGAGCTCCTTCTCGAGACGAGGCCGAGGACTGGCTGGACAGGATCCGGGAGGCGCTGCAGAAGTGCCGGCCTCAGCTGGAGGAGGAGGAGTGGGAGACGCTGGAGTACCCTGAAGATGGTGGTGAAGGCGGCGATCCCGCTGCTGTCCTCCAGTACAACGAAGCGCCTGGGACCAGCTTCGATTGGACTTCAGCTCATGAACCAGAACTGGATGCAATCAAAGAGGCTGTTCTGTACGTGGACGTAGACAAAACATGGGTCCCTTTTATTTTTTCCCTGTCACTGGAAACCTTGAAGTGCTTTAAGGTGAGGAACAACGACAAAATCTTAAGCAACAGTTACGGCATAGAGACGATCCAGGACATTCTTCCAGACACCAGCCTCGGGGGACCATCGTTCTTCAAGGTGATCACCTCCAAAGCTGTCCTGAAGCTGCAGGCTGAGAGCGCAGAAGAAGCAGCATCGTGGAGGGAGCTGGTCCGAGGGGTGCTCGCCTCCTACCTAGAGGCGGCGGAGGAGGCCCTGACGCTGGGTGGCAGCTTGGATGGCAACTCCCAGGTCCTCCTCAAGAGCATCGTGAAGGAGAACGGCTTCTTGCTGCAATACCTGGTGGCCATCCCCGTGGAGAAGGGCCTGGACTCTCAGAGCTTCATCTGCGCAGGTATACGGGGGCTGGTTCGAAAACAAGGATCCCAGCTCTGTCTTGGAGGATAATGTCAAGTTCATTAAGGTTAACGAGGTGACCAAATGCTCTGAGCCCTGCTGCCAACCCCTGTAGCAGGTGGCACCGAAGCCCCTAGGTTGGGCTTCACATCCCAAAGCAGTGGCTGTCCGTGGGCATAGGGTGAGTCCCCAAATACCAGATCCCCATCACACCCCTGCACGGCCTCCAAGGTCAAACTGGGCTGCTGCTGGGGTCCTGCTTAAGAGATTTATGGTGTAGACAGCAGAGGCATTGGCTTCAGTCAAACTCAGGTGGACCTGGTGGAGCTGAGGGGCCCAGGACCCCCTTTCTGGGCATTCGGTGGCCCCAACCTGTGGGGAAGGTGTAGTCAAGGGCAAACCCGAGCCATGGGGGTAGAGCTGTTTTTCCAGTAATGCAGCACAGGAGCAAACGTTGCGATGGGTGTGACAAGCCAATTTTGTGCAATGTTCGTTTGACCTTCAGCACAACGCCTCCCAGCACGCTGGGTGACGCTGGCTTAATAGGATAACGCTCTCTGACCTCTATGGGAGGTGTAATTTGTTCTTTACCTCAGTAAGTCAATTAAACTTCAGATTGCTTTCCTGTTTCTATTATATTTCTTGTACCCCCCAGCAGTTTTTTTTCTAGATCTCTTTTGTTTTATTTTTTATAAGGTATTTTTCAGTCTTTTTTTATTTGGTCTCTACCTTCCCCTCCAGGCTCTGTCCTGCACCTTCCACCTACCAATAGATGGAAGCAGCAAGCCAAAAAGGCCGATCTCACTTCCCAGTTTCTTTGTGTAGGTTTCCTTGGGCATCTGCCGGCCCTTCTCCACAGCTCTGCCTCCTTCCACCCAGTGCCGACCTGTGGCTCAGGATGCCCATGCTCGCCCTTCTCCTGCTGCGCCACCCTTTTGGCACAGGAGTGGGTTCTTTGTATGTCAGAGTGGGACAAGCCAGAAGAAATAGAAGCATTTTTGTTTAATGCAGAGAGCAACATCTGAGCTCCATTGTTTCTTTTTACTGCACTCCAGCTACTCCAGAGTGCAAAGGGCTGGACGTTAAAGCCTTGGCAGAGGGTGGTGGAGTGGCCCCAGCTCTTCCCAGGGCAGACACAGCCTCCAGCTGCACCTGCTGGAGCTCAGAGACCCACTGACACTGTTGGTTATTTTAGAGAAGTGAACCCAGTAAAAATAGCACAGAGTTTTCCTGTCTTTACGACTCCAGCTCAGATGTGCTCGCTTCTCCAGCAGCTGTAAAAGCCATGCACGCCTCCCCTGAGACCTAAGCCAGGTTCCTGCAGGGTTGCACACTGCTGGTCTTTTGCTTCTCCCAGCCCCACATTGCCACTCATGGGTGCGGAGCCCGGGCTTTGCTGCTGCTCCCTGCAGCGGTGCCATGCAGAAAGCAGAACTGGGCAGAGCTGCTGGGGCCGGTGGTGGAACGGGCAGGTGGGGATTTTGGTTCTTCCCTGGCCCACTGTGATGTTCTTACAGGTCACTTTTCCTAAAAGAAGGAGAAAAGCAGTTTGAATTGAACCAGTTTATGGATCAAAAAATGTGGTGGGTTGAGGTGCCTTGTTTAGGAATGTTCCTGCTGGGCCATTCTGATCTGAATTCCAACCCCTTGTGCAGGAAGGTGCTGGGAGCTCCCAGCCAGCGTCCTGTCACAGTGCTTTAGCCAGTCTCTGACCCTCTCAAAGATTTCCCTGCCCCATTCTCCCCACAAAAGCTTCTCCCCTGCTCCAGCAGCAGCATGTTGGGCCCTGGGGCAGCACGGGTCCCCTCTCACCATCTTCTGTCTGCTCCCCGAAGGCTGCTCCAGGCAGATCGGCTTCTCCTTCGTGAAGCCCAAGCTCTGCGCCTTCTCCGGGCTCTACTACTGCGACAGCTGCCACCGGGACGACGAGACGGTGATCCCCTCACGCCTCATCCACAACTGGGACCTGACCAAGCGAGGGGTAAGCCCCAGCTGAATCCATGCTGAGCGCAAGGAGATGTCCCTCTGAACGCTCCCACCATCAGCAGGGGTGGAAGCATCTCCCCGGACTTTCCCGCAAGCCCCTCACACCCAGCCTCTTCCTGCTGCAGGTCTGCCGGCAGGCGCTGAAGTTCCTCACCCAGATCCGTAACCAGCCGCTGATCGACCTCAAGCTGGTCAACGAGAGCCTCTATGACCATGTGGAGAGGATGAGGCGAATCCTCCGGAGCAGGGAGCAGCTGAAGCTGCTTGGAGATTACCTCATCATGTGCCGCAGCGGGGCCCTGAAGGAGCTGAGCAAGCGGTGAGCACCCTGAGTCCCCTCTCGTGCTCCAGGGTTTCACCTTGCTCTGTCATTGTTGCTGCCGTAGGCTGGGGGTGCCCAGGGTACTGGACAGGATCATCTCCTGGCCCTTGGGTGTGTGCCCTGCTCCTTATTGTCTCATCAGGATGAGGACTGGTTTTCACCTCTGTGTCATGTGCTGGAAGAAGTTACCCGTCTGTTTGTGGGGCAGCACGTGGAGATGGGACTGAGGAATCGTTTTCCTGACCAAGGCTGGACAGGAAACACCTGGGAAAATAGATATTTTTTCCCCCCTTTGAAATGCTCTCAAACAATTTTCAATGGCAGGATTTGGGATGTGTTGTTTGGTGTGAAATCAGGTTTGCAGTAACACTGAGTCTGCATCGCCTGGGCTCTTTTTACTGTGAGGCTGTCTGAGATGTGGTCTAAAGTGTCTAACACACTCCCCTCTGTGCTTGTTTGAAGGCTCGATCACAGGAACTACCTCTTGGAGTGTCCCCACAAGTACAGTGTCACTGATCTGCGGCAGGTGAGAGCTTTGCATTGTAGTTTTGCTGGTACAGAACATCCCCATTTCTGCCTGTGGAGACGCTGCGTGGAACACAGCACTTCTTCAGCAGAAGATTTCAGGCTGCTCAGTTCCTTTTTGCCTTGCTTTCTGTTATCACATGCCTTCTGCAAGTCTTGCACATTAGCTTGGAGGCTAAAATAAGTGACCTGTATCCTCCAAGAACTGTGGAGATTACACGGTAACTTGTTTCAGCTCCCATTAAGTCAGTATTGCTCATCACCGTACCAGCTGCCGTCTGTCACAACTTCTGGAGATGGTCAGTAGGTTTTACAGCAGGAGAATTTTGCATTAACCCCAAAGCTAGGAACCATCCTGGCAGCTTTTGGGTGCTGCTGTGGGTTTATTTTGGCATCCCATTGAGATGCTAAACCCCAAGGCAGGCACGTGGGATCTTGGGTTGGTTTAGGAGGACAGCCGTGTCTCCATAGGCAGCACGAAGCGTGGGTGCAATGTGCGTTTTGCACAGCGCACACCCCTCTGGCTGCAGGCTCCGTGTGCCTGATGTCTGTGCTCCACAGATAGCTGATGGCACCTTCGAGACGTTCCTGCAGTCTCTGATCCAGTTCGCGTCCCATCACGTCTACAACTGCTGACCTGTGCACCCAGCGAGGCTTCATCTGCCAGATCTGCAACCGCAGCGACATCATCTTTCCCTTCGAGTTTGACACCACCACCAGGTGAGTGACGTCTCCCTCGCTTTGTGCCTGAGGACGGGCGTGTTTACTGTTGGGCTTTGTGTTTTCTGTCGAAATCCTCTAAAGAGACCAAATCCTTCCCGCACAGAGCCTGCTGCAAGGTGTAGGTGCTGTAGCTGGAGGGTGATCCTTGTCTCACTGGTTCAGCTCAGAACTGGTTATAAACCTTTCCCTAGCAGAGACACTTAACAGGCTGGTGGTCTGCATGAGCTTGCTTTGCCTAAAAGCAGCTCCTAAAACATCCAGAAGCTGCAGAAAATATCACCAAGACTAGGGTCCCCTGCTGCGTTTTCTCTGCAAATATTCCCAGGGTGGCTGAGCAGGATCGCTCATTATCCCTCCTTGCTGCAGGGACAGCACGGTGCTTGTTAAGAGGGCAGTGTCCCCAGGGAACTGATTTTCCCTGTTAAGAGCCCGTGGGCGCTGGGAAGAACTGGCACGTGGGGCTGAGCTGCGCCAGCAGCAGGACAGAGGTCGCGTGTGCTGGGAGCTGGGCTCTGGAGTTGTCGACCTCCTTTGTGTCAGGGGAGGCCGAGTGGGGTTTTGCAGCAGGAAGGCAGCTCAATAACATCCTCGCTGAGCTGCACCCAGCTTCCTGCCCCTCCGCCACGCGTGTGACAGCCAGCCGCACGGGTCACACCGCGACTCGCTGCAGGATGCAACCGAAACGCCTCCGAACAATAACCCAGCCGGGCGAGTGACGTTTGCATTTGCAGCAGCCGCTTCCTGAGGCCACCGTGGAGGCAGAAGCTGCTGCTTTTGGGGAGGGGCTCACTCAGAAACTCGCAGGGCAAAACCTCCGCTTCGCAACCCGCCCCCTGCAGCGGCAAGAGGAGGAGGAGCTGCCTGAAAAATATTCCCCTGGGAAAGCACAGGGCACCAGGCAGCACCCTCCTGTCCCGTCTGTCTGTGCACAGGCTGTTTCCATATCTCGAGCAACTCTGGGTTTGCACCCGTCTGCTGGGAGCAAGGTTTGAGCCCAGAATTTTCATCCCAGTGGTATTTTGGCGGTCTCCTGGCACATTGCTCTGCATCCTGCACTCCCTCTGCCGTTGCTCTGTCTGGCAGCCCCTGCTTCCTTTGGGAAATGCAGCTCAGGTCTCACGTGGCGCTGGAAGCTCAGCGCCAGGTTGACGGCATTAAACAAGGCACGTCTGCAGTCAGCTGAGCACCAGGCATTTGCAGCGCTCAGGGCATTTCAGCTAGCTGACCCACCGGCATGCGGATCAGCTGCATTTTGCTGCTGCTTGCAAGGTGAGAAAGGTGGGGGCTCATGACAGGGAGAAGAAAGTGAGCCCAGCCTCTTAGCACTCACTGCTGTTTACTCGAGATAACTCGTGAACGCCCCTCACAAAATGGGTGTCTCCCGCGAGCCAGCCCCACACAAGGTGTAATTTACAGCTGTTTACATTCCTGCTGCATCGCGGCCGCCCTGGTGCAGGCCAGCTCCAAACGCTGCACTCAGAGGCTGCCCAACCCCAGGGTGGCTCTCATGTCCCCAAACAATGTCCCTGGCTGTTCTGCAGGCTGTGACACTGACTTGTGCAGGGCGGGGGTCTCCAGGCTGTGCCCCCAGTGTGGCGAGCAGAGGGGAAAGCCCTTGCAGAGAGCCGCATCTTGTCCTCACCAGTACAGGCTGGGCTCAGGCTGCCCTGCGACTTCGCAGGGTTTAGGGGCTCAGCCTGCAACTGTTTTACTTGATCTTGTGGTGCTCGGAAGCCTCTTCCCCCTCCTGCCCTGCTCCGAAAGCAAAGTGCAAAGCTCACAGCTCACTTGATATCTTGCTCTTTCATCTGCAAAAAGCCAGCAAGGTGCTGGCAGCTGATGCTCGATGCAGGGGTTGCTCTTTCAGGCAGAGCTGCTGCTTTTCTCCTGTGTTTGCTGGAGGCAGGGCTTTTGGGGGATGAATTACTGCTCCTGCTAGCAAAGCGTGCCGTTTTGTGTCCAGCAGGTGGCTGGATCCTGCCAGGGCCAGCCGACGTGTCGAGTCCTCAGGGCTTGTCTCTCTCCGGGCACTTACTTGGAGGAAAGGGAAACAAGGAAGCATCCCCAGGTCCAGTTTGGTGGGAGAAGCACAGTCGTTGCCCGATGTTGCCAACAGGATGGGGTTTTCCTTGCTTTGTTCTAGGTGCAGTAACTGCAAAACCGTCTTCCACCGGGAGTGCCAGGCCAGTGCCCAGTCCTGCCCGCGCTGTGAGCGCCGCCGGCGATACCAGCAGGAACAGGAGGCGGATGGTGCGGGGCCAAGCCTCTAGCACCTGTGGATTGGCCCGAAGACAGCACTTGGCCTCTCCGAGAGCTGCAAGACCGCTGAGAGTCGGGGGCTGGCACGCTTGGAGGTGTCGAGCATGGACCCCAGGAGCTGCCAGTGCTGAGCAATGACCACGGCTGGGGGCTGCTCCTGCACCCAGGAACCCTGCAGCCTTCAGGGGCCGAGCCAGGGGAGCCAGAGCTGGCCGGGAGCGAGCTGGTGCTGTGTGGGGCTGGGGCCAGCAGCCACCTGCTGCCGAATCCCCCAGCAGCACTTCCCCCGGCGATGGAGATGCAGCGGCTTTCCCGGGTGCACGTCAGGATTTCAAATCAAGGGTGTGGATAAACTGACAGTGATTAAAGCTCTAGTTTTTTAGGATGTTCGGTACAGAAAACTGCTATTTTTATATGTAGGGGTTTTGCACAGAACTCGCTTGCCTGCTTGTGGGGGCACTAATGGCAGCCGCAGCACGGGGTCAGGGGGATGAGGTGACACTTGTGCCTTCAGCGATCTGAGTGCGTGGGGCAGGCAGAGCATCGCCTGCGGGGAGAGCCCACGGCACTGCGTGGCCTTCCCCGAGAGGAGAGCTGAGCTGCTCCCCCTGCCTGCTGATTTTAATCCTTGGCCAGTTGTGAGGCCACAAAGAACATTTTATTTTCTTCTCACTCCGGTGCAAAAATTATTAAAGTTTATTTAACAACAAGTGAATCTGCCGTGTTTGCATCTTCTGGGTTTGCTTCTCCACAGGGGGTGCTAAGCTGGTGCCTCGGCAGGAGGGGTTTGCTGTCAGTGCTGTGACCTTGCCTCCATGTTTGATGTCACAGAATCACAGAATCACAGAATTTCTAGGTTGGAAGAGACCTCAAGATCATCGAGTCCAACCTCTGACCTAACACTAACAGATGTCCTCCATGTTCGCATCCACCTGCAATTTTGGGGGCTGCTGTGGGTGCGGGGTGCCCAGCTGAAGTGCGGGCTGTTGGGGTGCTCTTCCTGGCACCCCAGGGTGCCTCCCTGTCCCTTGGTGTGGGACACACTGCCTGCTTCCCCATCGGGGGATAGTCCCCATCCAGTCCCTCTACTCGCCCTCAGCACCCTTGGGGCTGCAGCACCAGCCCTGTGCTGCCATTCCCAGCCCCATATCCCTCCCCACCTGCTCCCCCCGTCCTTCAGCATCTCCCATGCGAGGTGCCACCTCCGTTCCCCTGCCCCTCTCCCTTCCCTGACAGCGGGGGTTCCCCAGGGCGCACCCACCCCCACCCCACAGCATCCTCCCCACACCTGGGTTGCAGACAAACCCCTCGGCGGGGACCCCCGGGCCCGGTGACGGCATCGCCCGCCGCGGAGGCCGAGGCCCCGGCAAGGCCGGATCCAGCTCAGCCTCCGGGCAGGGCCCTTCCTGCAGCAGGAACCACCGCGAGCAGCCGTTTCCTCGCGTCCCCTCCGCCATCACCCCTTCCCTCCCTCCCGGGGAGGAAATAGGCCGGGCTGCCAGGCCCGCCGCCCCCTCGCTTCAGGGCCGTGCAGCAGCAGCGCAGGGCGAGCCGGGACGGGCCCCGCTGCCGCCCCAGGTGAGCTTTGGGGGACGCCGGGGATGGGCCCGGGAACGTTCTGGGCGGGTTTGGGCGCTCGCAGATAGCGCGGGGCGTCCAGGGTGGTGGGGACCCATGGCTGGGGGTCCCCCAGAGGGGCTCGGGGCTGCCAAAATGCCCCGGGGCGGGTGGGGAGGAGCCGTCAGCCCCATCCCTGCGCCCTCTCCCGCAGGCGGAGGAGCTGGGCCCGCCATGGAGTCAGCGGGGGCGCCGGAGGAGGTCTACGTGCTGGTGGAGTACGGCTTCGAGTACCGGGCCAAGGACGGGACGCTGGTCTCCATCAAGCCCAACGAGCGCTACGTCCTGCTGAAGCGCACCAACGACCACTGGTGGCACGTGAGGAAGAGCCGGGACGCGCGGCCTTTCTACATCCCGGCCCAGTACGTCAAGGAGCTGCCCCCCATCGCCTCCCCGGCACCACTCTACCACGAGGAGCCGGAGCCGGAGCCGGAGCCACCGGCAGCCTACGAGTACCGCTTCATCGGCGCGGCAGCCCACGGCCAGGGGGGATTTGCCACCCACCCTCAGCTCTTTCCGGGCAGCCCCAGCACCGAGCCCCCACCCCGCCGAGCCCATGCGGCCCACGCAGTCCCTGGATGACCTGCCCAGGGTGACGCCGGTGCCACACGGTGCCACCACCATGGGACCCCATGGGGACCCCCCCGCACGCCCTCGGCCGCTCAGCAAGAGCCGCTCGGAAACCCTCTGCGTGCCCAGCAAGGACACGGACACGGCGAGGCAGCCGAGGTCCAGCCACATAGCTCAGGTACGGTGAGGTCCCTGGTGCTGTCCCCAAATGTAGGGTGTAGAGGGGGCGGGGGGACAGCAGGACACTTGGGGCCCCTCCCCTAAGCACAGAGCTCCCCCTCGCTGTCCTCTCCCTGCACCCCATGGGGCTCGGCACCCAGGGGCCCCCCGGCACCGCTGCCACTGCTGGGGCCCCGCGCGGCTCCCCGCAGAGCTGGCCCCACGGGGCAAACCTGATCTGCAGGAAGTGCCGGGTGTCTCAGGGCCAAGCCCCCAGCCCCGCCAGGGCAGCCGTGCTGCCGGCTCTGGGCCACAACTGTGACCGGAGGTGAGAAATCCCCCCCCAGGTCCCTTCCAAAACCAGCCTCTGCTGCGCACTGTCTCAGTTCCCCCATCACAGTCACAGTCCAGCAGGGCAGGCAGGGGGACGGGGCCAGGAGCAGGGTGCGCCCTGAGGTTTTGGTGTCAGCCTGAGGGTGGTGTGGATGTGCCAAGAGCGGCTGTGAGGGTCCTGGGCAGTATGGGGTCCAGAGCACAGCAGCCACCCGCTCACCCCAGTATTGGCCATGGGTCTGTGGGGAGCGATGCTGTCCCCAGCTGCCACCGTCCCCTCCTGCTTCTCATCCTAACCCACCCACAGGAGGATGCACGCTGGCACTGGAGGGGCTCGTGGAGGGCCAACCCCACCTGGCTGGGCAGTGGGAGCAGATTTGGGGCACAGCCGGGGTCCCGAGGGCTGAATTATCCCTCCTAGAAGGTAGAAGGGGCACAGGTCCCAGCAGGGCGCAGAGCCAGCATGCCAAGCCAGGGTGGCAGCGCAGAATGGGGGGGTGTCGGAGTCCCTGTGAATCCTCCTGGCATTGTTCTGGGGCAGGAAGAAGCAGAAAGGGGTTAACAGGGAAGTGCAGCAACTCCTCCCTCGTGGGGCGGGTGTCTCACCTGCAGGCAGCACCCAGCAAGGAGGGAGGTGCTGGGTGCACCCTGGGGCCAGGCAGGTGGGCACCCTGGCACCCCAAAACCGACTCTCACCCCACTCCAGTAAGTAGCGAGGGGCCCTCCTGGGGACTCCTGGATACAGGTGCTGCTCCCACCTGCACACATTTTGCAAAAGGGGCACCCGAGGGTGGGGGGGGTGCCTCGCAGCCCCTTGCTCAGTGGTGACAGCGGCCGGGGCACGGTGGTGGTGGAGGGGTCCCACGTCCCCTCACCCCTAGCCCCGGCACCTCTCCCTGGGTCACTGGCGGTGCAGGGTGCTTGTGGGTGTCAACTGGGAGGGAAGGACCAAGGTGTCACCCTCACCCTCAGGACCACCCCTGGGGCGTCACCCCACGCAAACACCCGCAGCACCCATGGGCTCAGCACCCGCAGCCCAGGCTTTCGGGGTGTCCCCCACTCCCTTGGGCTGATATTGGGGGTGTTTGGGTGGGGGAAAAGGGGGTTCCTTTTGGGGACCGGGCTTAGCACCCCGTCTATCACTGTTGGAGCAGAGCTGCAACCCCAGCTGTGCCATGCCGAGGAAGAGAGCTCTGTGTGTTTTTTTGGGGGGGGGCTTGGTTTTTTTGGTCACCCCTGGGCTGCTTGGACTTCTGCAGCCTCCAGAGGAGACATTCCCCAGTGTTCCCAGCAGGCACCGGCTGCTTCCCGGTGCTCTTTGCTCAGCTAAAGCCATCAAAACCGGCCTGGGCCGCAGGGCGAAGCTAGCAGGAGATAAGGACCAGGCACTTTTGTTTGCCCTGAGCTCCCATGGCCCCAAGGCTGGGTGGGCTCAGCTCTGGGGACAGTCAACCCGTGTCTCCCTGCTGTCCTCACCCATGGTGAGCAGGGTCCCAAAGTGGATTGCATCCGCCCTGCGTGCACCGGCACTGCTGAACCTCACGGCTGCTCAGAGCAGCTGGCTTTTGCAGCCCACGAGCTGCCATACCTCAACCCGCAGCTGCTGCCTCGACACTGGGGTGTTCACGTGCATTTGTCACCTTCCTGAATGTTTGTGCTTTTGGTGTGCCCACCCCCAACCCATCCCAGCCGAGAAAACCCTATGCTGGGGGAAGTTTTCCCGGGACGGTGCCTGTCGCATCTCTGCTGCAGCATCTCAGCTGCTCCCCCCTGCACGGTCCCAGCAGCCGCCACCGCCGAATGCCTAAAAATGTCCCCAGGAGCTAATTCCGCATCTGGGGGAGCGCCGCTCGCCGCCACCGCTCTTCCGCCCCACCGAGCCAACAGGAAGCGGGCGACGCGCTCGGGCCCATAGCGGGGCTGGCCGGCGGCGCTGCTGTGCCAGAGCATCTCAGCCCCACTGCGCCCGTCGGAGCGCCTCGGCCCCGCTGCGCCCACCGCCATGGGCGAGCGGGCCGGCAGCGTGCTGCAGCGCTCCCGCAGCAGGGTGTCGCGGCTGCTCCACCTGGGCAAGGTAGGGACCCAGAGAGGGGTTGGAGGGGGACCCAGCTGTAGTGGGGTGTAGGGAGAGCTCCGGCACCTGGAGAGCCCTGGCACACTGTGCGGTGAGCCCAGGTTCTCCCTGAATTTTCTGCGGGTGCCGGAGGAGGCAGCGGGTGGGTGCAGTGGGTGCAGAAATATCTGTTCCCAAGCAGGGACAGGAACCAGCTTGTGGTTTCCTACCCCCTGGGGAAGCAAAACAACTGAAGGTACAAACGGTGTGAGCGAGTGGGGAGCTCTGGGCTGGGGGGAGGGAGAGCAGGACCACCAGGTGCCCTGTCCCTGCCCCGTGTCCCTTGTCCCCAGGACGAGGGTGGCCTCTCACTCTGTGTTTCTTCCCCTGCACCCCAGGGTGCTGGTGTGGGGGTGATGGGTCACCCAGCGTGCTGCTGCAGGGGGTGATGGGGTGTCACAGGGATGCTGAATGCTGTCTCCCCCACCCCCGGTGAAAGGCAGGGCTGTGGTGGGGAAACTTTGTCCCTGCTGCCATTGCAGGAAGGCTCAGGGGCTGTAAAACTGGGGAGAGCAAAGGGTGAGAGTGCGGGTTTGCAACCTCTTCCTGCTCCTGGCCACCGAGCCCGCGGCGACATGTCCCCATCCGGACCGAGCCCTGCTTGGGTGTCACTGGGAGCGGGGACAGGGTCCCCTCTTGGTTCCCACCACTGGGCACCGACACCCAGAGGGACGTGGGGCCAGGGCTGGCTCCTGCGCCGCAGGCTCAGGAAGCTGCGGGCTGGTTTCGAAGGCTGGAAGATGCAGTAAGACCTCAAGCAATGAAGTCAAAATGGGGAAGAGGCGAGGGCTGGGGCACAGAGAGCTTGGGTAGGATTGGAGGAGGGGTCCTAACCAGGGAGGGAGGGGAGCCTGACCTCTCTGAGCAGCCCCATCTCGGCTGGACGCAGGCGTCTCTTTGGGGCTGGCGGCCCCAGCTCAGCAGCTGTGGGTGCTGGAGGCGTGGGTGGGGATGAGAGGGGTGGTGGCGAGGTGGGCGCAGATGTGTGCGGGTGATGTGGGGGCAGTTGGCGTGCAGAGGTTGGGGCACAGATGAGGTGGGTGCAGGGACAGAGCCCAGGGGTGCAGGAGATGTGGCTGTTGGTGATGCAGGTGCCACTATTGGGGTGCAGATTTTGGGGGCACCGAAGATGAAGGTGAAGTGGGGGCTGGTGAGGCGGGTGGAGTGCTGGTGGCAGTGACTGCAACACTGGTGAGGAGTGAGGAGGAAGAGGCAGGGGATGCAGAAGATCCTGTGTGTTGGTGCTGGGGCTGCAGGAAATGCCAGCTCAGACCTCGGGGTGCAGGCGCTGTGGGTGCAGGTGATGGCTCCAGGGGCCACGACACCCCCCAAGCTGCCAGCACTTCCCATCGCTCACCCCCACACGAGGGTCCCACCGCTTGGTGCCCACGCATGAAGGACATCCCCGCTACCAGAGCAGGGCAGGATCCGGCCCCACAGGACAGGACGATCCGTGCCATGTCCCCAAGGCTTGGACAAGCCGCTCGCCACCCCAGCAGCAGCCAGGACACCCAAGTGACACGTCCCCATCCCCCCAGGTGCGCAAGGAGCCGGAGGAGCCGCCTGCCCACGTCTACCTCAACATCCAGGAGCTGCAGGAGGAAGCCGCCACGGGCAGCTCGGCCCCGCCAGCGCCCGAGGAGCCCTGCGGCTCCAGGACGGACTGGGAAACCCACATGGACACAGACTCTGGACACTTGTTTTATTACAACCCAGTCACCGGCGAGACCACATGGGATTGCCCCTTTGAGCAGGCAGAAGATGGAGTGAGTCCCGCCGCCTCACCCGCCTCCTCGCTCGCCCACAGCCCGCAGTTTGCCGAGTGGGGCCAGTACGTGGACGAAGCCAGCGGACAGGCTTTTTTCTATAATTCGGTAACAGGTGAGACGTCGTGGGACCCCCCACACACGGGCGACAGCTCCCAGGATATGTACCCTGGGCTGACGCCGTGCAGCCCCATGGAGCAGCGGGTGAGCACCCTGCGGGGCGCGTGGGGACGGGGACGCAGTGGGGACACGGCGGGGACACAGTGGGGACGCGCTCGGTGCCAGCGCCACCTTCACCCTGCTCCATTCCCCAGCCGCCCACTCCGGAAGCGGATTATCCTGACCTGTCTCCGGATGAGCTGGAGGGCTACCCCGAGGAGGACTACTCGCCCCTGGGCTCCTATGAGCAGGGGGCTGCTCACTACCTGCCCCCGAGGTACCCTGAGGAGCTGGGCTCATCCCCGGGCTGGTATGGGCACAGCCACCCTGAGGGAGCACCCGGCTACCCCGAGCACTTCGGCACAGAGACGGTATGGGGACGGGATGGGACGGGATGGGTTGGGATGGGATGGGGACAAAGACAAGGACAGAGATGAGGAGGAGGAGGATGTTGGGAATGGGAATGGGAGACAAGAAAAATGATGGGGACGGGGATGGGCATGAGGATTGGGATGGAGCTGAGAATGGGAACAGGAATAAGGATGGGGATGGGGATGGGGATGGGGATGGGATGGGGATGGGGATGGGGATGGGGATGGGATGGGGATGGGGATGGGGACGGGGGTGGGGGTGGGGATGGGGATGGGGATGGGGATGGGGATGGGGATGGGGATGGGGATGGGATGGGGACGGCTGGCAAAGCACAAGATGCTCAGGGGAGTGTGAGCGGGGGGAGCAGCCCTGGGGAGCAGTGGGCACAGAGCCAAGCATCACCTGGTCACTGTCCCCCAGGTCCCGGCAGGCAGCCGGCAGCACCGCGCCAGCAGCAGCTCCAGCCAGGACAGCGGGCTCCTCGCCTGGCCCAGCTGCACGCCAGCGGCACTGGGGCTGAAGGAGGAGAAGGTGAGCACCAGGGTGCCACCACCCTGGGGAATGCAGAGGGCGGGGGGGTCTCTGCAAGCCTGCGAGGAGAAAAGCTGACCCCCCCCCCCCTCCCTGTGCCTGAATTTCCAGTTCAAAAGCCTCGACAAGGCCGGCGTGCTCAACAGGACCAAGATAGCGGACAGAGGGAAGCGGTTGCGGTAAGCGTGTCCCCGCGCCCCTCCAGCCACAACACGAGCCCGGGGTGGCCGGGGTGACACCTGTGCCTGTGCTGTCCCCAAACATGACCCCCCCCGTCTCGTCCCCAGGAAAAACTGGAGTTCGTCCTGGACTGTGCTGGAGGGTGGGATCCTGACCTTTTTCAAGGACTCCAAGCACTCGTCTGCTGGTGCCCTGGTGAGCGCCACGGGGCCCCGCACGGAGCCAGCACCTGTGGGACAGGGCCAGCACCAACAGGATGGGGCCAGCACCCATGGGACAGGGACAGCACCCATGGGATGGGGACAGCAGCTGCAGCGCAGGGCTGTAACATATGGGAAAGGACCAGAGCTCATAGGACAGGGCCAGCACCAGCAGGACGGGACCAGCACCCACAGGACAGGGCACGCACCCACATTTCACCAACAGAGCCCGCAGGGGCAGGGTGCGGTGACACTGCGGGACACAGCAGCGGTGGCAGCGGGACACTTCCACGGTGTGTCCGAGCCGTGCAGGGGCTGTGCCCGGTGTTTTGCCATCACACCGAGCCCGCTGCTGGGGGAAGCGGGGCCCAGCCCAGCCCCCAGCCCACACCGAATGCAGAAGCTGCCGCGGTGCCGCAGGCTTGCAACACCCTGCGGTGCGGCAGGGAAGGGACGGGGCCAGGCCAACCCCGCAGCGGGGGGAACGCCGCTGTCCCCACCGCAGGGACATGGTGCAGGGGGGGCTCCGGTACCCCCGTGATGTGGGTGGATGGGGGCTGCTGGAGGGGCGCGTGCCCAGAGCAGCCCCAAGGGCAGGACACAGGTGAGATGGGCAGACCCCCTAAAAACCCCGCGGTGTCCCCAGGGGGCACAGGACGTGCACCCAGCAGCCTGCAAGGGACAGGGCTCAGCCGCCCCCATGCAAACACCGTGCCAGTGCAAGGCTGGCACCAACAGACCCTCACCTCTGGGACTCGGTGCAGGGCAGGGGCTGTCACCCCACCGGGTGACAGTGGCTTTACACCCCCCCAGCCAGCGGCTGCAGTGCTCTCAACACTTGGCAATGCCTGACCCCATTCAGCAGGGAGCCCATTGGGGACAGGCATGTCCCATGGCAGTCCCATAAGGGGGGAATGGCTGCATTTTGGGTGGAGAAAAGCCAAAAGCAGCTCCAGAGTGCAGGGCCAGCACCAGCTCGCGGTGCCCCATGGGTTCACTGGCCTCTGTGCCACCCTGTCCCCTTGCTCCCGCAGAGGCACCCGGGCAACCTGACCATGCCGGAGCACACGGTGGAGCTGCGTGGGGCCACTGTCACCTGGGCCAGCAAGGACAAGTCCAGCAAGAAGCACGTCCTGGAGGTGAGCTCGGTGGTGGTGTGGGGACCTCGGTCACCCAGCGGGGACCAAGTGGGGACTGCAGGCTGTATGGCAAAGCCAGCACCCACCTGCCTGTCTGCCACCGCCACAACCTCCCCTGGAGTGGCACTTGCTGTGACTTGTCACCGTGGGGACGCTGGGGACCTGCTGCAGTGCCTTTCCTGAGCCGCATGTCACCAAGGGCCATCCCTGCTGCCCCCTGGGGGCTGACACTGCCATGACCTCGGAGGGGGGTGGGGAGGGTTCTCTTCTCGAGCTTGGCATGGGGAGGAAATTTCCAGCCTGGGCAGCACCCAGCTCACTGGGCAAAAGGCCAAAACTGGGGCCATCGGTGCAATGAGTTGCGCCCCGTTCTCGGCCACAGCCCAGTGGCCCTCGCCTGACCGCTGCTCTTGTAGCTGAGGACGCGGGAGGGCTCCGAGTTCCTCATCCAGCACGACTCGGAGCAGATCATCGCCACCTGGCAGAAGGCCATCGCGGACAGCATCGCCCGGCTGGTGAGCGCTAAGCGGGCGCCGTGTGGGTGGGATGGGGGGGCAGCAGGACGGGTCCGAACAGGGGCTGAGCGGCTGGACCTGGGGGGTGGAGGTCGGTGGCACGAAGCCTGGTTGGAGGCTGGTAACAGGGGGAGCTCCCCAGGGGTCGCTGCTACGTCCAGTCCTGCTCAGCACCCTCCCCAGTGGTCTGGGTGATGGGGCAGGGGCCACCCTCGGTAAATTGGTCCCCCAGAGAGGCCAGGCAGGCTGCAGAGAGCCCAGGGGAGGGCCACGAAGGTGGGGGGACCGGAGCAGCTCCGCTGGGAGGAGAGGCTGCGGGAGCTGGGGCTGCTCAGCCTGGAGGCTGCAGGGATCCTGGCCGTGCCCGTAAATCCCCGTGGGGAGGACGGAGCTGGGCCCAGGGGCACCGGGCATGAAGCGGGGCCCAGGAGGTGCCCTCTGACCGCCGGGAAGCGCCTTCTGTGCCCTGGCAGTGGCGGAGCTGGCACAGGAGAGGCTGCGGGGGCTCCTCCTGGGAGACCTCCAGAAGCCGCTGGGACCTGGCCCTGGGCAGGGGCTGGAGCAGGGCCAGGGGGACCCGGGGCTGCCTCTGCCCACAGCCATGCTGTGACCCCGGGACTCTGTCCCATGCTGCCCCTTCCCTAGGGCACTGACCTGCCTGCCGAGGAGGACGCCGAGAGCGGGACGGAATTTGGGTCCCGGGAGAAGCTGGGGAGCAGTGAGGAGAGGAGGGCCTCAGGTGAGCTGGTGGCTCTGCTGTCGCACGGCACGGTCGGAGCCATCCGTGGGGTGTGGGGAGCCACCCCACGTCACCTCTGTCACCTCCCCACGGGCGATGCTCACCCCCTGCCCCATCCCCACCAGCGTCTGGGCAGGCTGCGGGCACGGCCGAGAGCGACTCGAGCAAAGTGCGCAACAAACTCCGCAAGTTCCTGCAGAGGCGGCCGACGCTGCAGTCCCTGCGTGAGCGGGGCTACATCAAGGGTAGGGGCCCCCCGCAGGCACAGCCGCCGCCGAGCGTCCCCCTGCTCTCCCCCCCGTGCTCACCTCTCCTGTGTCCTCTCCAGACCAGGTCTTCGGCTGCTCCCTGCAAGTGCTGTGTGAGCGGGAGCGCGGCACCGTGCCCCGCTTCGTCCAGCAGTGCATCCAGACCGTGGAGAGGAGAGGTACCGCCATGGGGCGTGGGGACAGGGACAGCCCAGGGGACAAAGGGACAGGGTGGCGGGGTGGTGCCAGCTCTGGCGTCGCTCCCCTCGCTGGGGAAGACCATTTTTGATGGGGGATCCAGTTGGGTTTTCAATGAAAAGCACTGGATTAGGGCTGCGAGCTGGCACAGTCATGGCAACCAGTGCCACTTGCTGTCTCCACAGCTGGTGGCAGTGCCACCTGGGTGGCTGTGGCTGACCAGGATCTTGTCTGCATCCCCCAGGGCTGGACATAGATGGGCTGTACCGGGTCAGTGGCAACCTGGCCACCATCCAGAAGCTGCGCTACAAAGTGGACCACGGTAGGGTCCCCATGCTGGGTGTCCCCTCTGGGCTGAAAGCCACAGCTGGGAACGCCCATGGGTGTCCCCACCCCCGGCTGTGCCCCAGGACCAGCCTGAGGTGCCACCCTGTCCCCACAGATGAGCACCTGGACCTGGACGATGGGCGCTGGGAGGACATCCACGTCATCACCGGTGCCTTGAAGCTCTTCTTCCGCGAGCTGCCTGAGCCGCTTGTCCCCTTCAGCCACTTTGACAAGTTCATCGCTGCCATCAGTAAGGGACTGGAGACAGGGACAGGGAAAGGGAAAGGGATGGCTCCAGCCGGTGGAGCCATCACCCTATTTTGTTCTGTCCCCTTGCAGAGATGCAGGAGCCGGCGCGGCGGGGACGCTGCATCCGTGACCTGGTGTACTCCCTCCCGCCTGCCAACCACGACACCATGATGTTCCTCTTCCGGCACCTCTGCAGGTGACACCGCGTGGCCCCGCTCCTGCCCAGCCACCAGCGTCCAAAACCCACGCAGCCACCACAAGCTCTCCCCAAAACCGTGGTGGCAGAAGGGCAGAGGGGGCCACCTCGTGGGTGGGCGGCCACATTCGGGGGCCTGGTGGTGACACCGTCCCTTGTCCCCGCAGGGTGATCGAGTACAAGGAGGAGAACCGCATGTCGGTGCAGAGCGTCGCCATCGTCTTCGGCCCCACGTTGCTGCGGCCGGCGAGCGAGGAGAGCAACATGGCCATGCACATGGTCTTCCAGAACCAGGTGGTGGAGCACATCCTCAACCAGTACAGCTACATCTTCCCCGACGGCTAATGCCTGGCCACGGGGACACGCACGGGGACGAGCCCGGCGGCGGGGACACGAAGTGGCGGGGACTCGGGGCAGGACTCGGCTGCCCGGCACCACAGTGTGCGGGTGGCAGCAGTTGGCACCCTGGCGATGGGCAGCGCTGGTGCAAGGTGCCCGGCTCGAGCCTCCCGGACATGGCTGGAAGGATGGGGACACCACTGGTGGCACGGACCCTGCGGGGATGGGACCCCTTGGGATGGGGAGGGCAGGGAGGAGCCGTGGCTGGGACCGATGGCTGGCATCAGTGCTCCCAAATAAAGAGCCTGTTCAGCCACGAGGACATTTGGGCACCCATGGGGACCCCAGGCCAGGTGTCCCAAGCTCTTGTCCCCCCGAGTGGGGCCAGGAGGGCTCGGTGCCTCTTGGCTCTGCTGCTGGTGGCCCTTGGGGACAGCGTGTGCCCTTGGTACCCCATAAGGAAGAAGGAAATTCTTGAGGAGGCGGGAGAATTGGTGTCCCCAAAAGGGTCACAGTGCAGGCCACCCTGGTGACCATGTTCCCTGTGCTTTGGGGTACGACATTTCCTGGCTGGCATCACCAAACCCCGTGTCCCTTGGCCTGGGGACCACAGGCAGCAGGAACGGGTGCTGAGAGCAGTAGGGTGGGGAGTGGGTGCCGCTGGGATGTGAGCCCCCGTCCCCCGGAGACACCTCTCGGGAGGTGGGGATGCTTTGGGTCGTGCTGGAGTTGTTTTGGGACACAGCAGGGACACAGCATAAATGCTTTGGGACGTAATGGGGACACTATATGGCATGGAGATGTTCTGGGAGACAGTGACAATGCTTTGGGTTGCAATAGGGACAGGTCAGCGTATGGCAGGGGTGGTTTGGGACACGGGGGGGATGGCTGGGATGTGGAGGGGACACTGGGACATGGCAGGGACACTCTGGGACACAACAGGGGCATTTGGGGATGCAGTGGGGACACTGGGATGTAACGGGGATACCTTGGGGCACAGGGCAATGCATCTTTGGGACAGGAGGGGATGCTGTGGGACACAAAGGGACACCAGGATGCGGAGAGGACATTTGGGGACACAGGGCAGTACTTTGAGACAGTTTGGGGCGCAATGGAGAGGCTCTGGGGTGCAGTGGGGACACTCTGGGACACAAAGGGGTCGCTTTGTGCTGCAGTGAGGATCCTGGGGGGTGTATGGGGACACTTTGGCAGTGCTTTGGGATTCAGCGTGGACAGCTTGGGATGCAACAGGGAAACTTCGGGCCGCAGCGGGGACGTCTGGGGACACACGGGGGCACTTTGGGCTGCTGAGGGGACACTTGGGGGGAACAAAGGGGAACTTCGGGGCAGTTTGGAGCCCCGAGGGGGCCGGCCGGGGGGTGCAGCGCGGGTACCTCGGGACCCTTTGGGACCCCCTCGCTGGCCGGGGGGCCCCTTGGCAGCGCCGCGGGCGGGGCCGGGGCCGGGGGCGGTACCGGGGGGGTGGGGGCGGCCCCGCACAGCCCCGGCCCCGCTCCCGTCCCGCTGCCGGCCCCTCTCGGCGCCCCCCGGCTCCATCTTGTGCGCGGCTCCAGGTGCGGGGGGGGGGGGGGTGGAAAGGGGCCTGGGGGGGGACCCCGGAATCCACCCCCCCCGGCACCAAGGGGTTAAAGGCTCAGAAGCGGCTTTCCAGCCCCAAATCCGCCTCGAGGCGCTAATCGCGGTGGGAAAGGGGGCCGGGGGGGGGGCCGGCGCCGGGGGGGGGCCCCCTCCCCGCGCTGTCACCGGGGGGGCACAAGTGCAGCGCCCCCGAGACAAAGCGCCTGAAATTCCGTGGGATTGGGGAAAAAAAGGGAAAAAAGGTTGGGGGGTGCGGAGGGGATGCAGGGAGCGTGGGGGGCCGGACACGCGTGGCCCCCCCGCGGCAGGGCAGGGTGTTGGTCACGGTGTAAAGGTCGCGGCGGTGTTTGCTCGCTCCCTGCGGAAGTGGCCCTGGGCCCGAACCCAATCCCGGTCCCAATCCCGATCCCGATCCCGATCCCGATCCCGGATCCGATCCCGATCCCGATCCCGGTCCCGGTCCCGGTCCCGTCCCCGGCGGCTCCGACTGGCAGCAGGTAGCGGGGGGGGGGCCTGGGCCGGGCCTGGGGGAGCCGCTGGGGGTTCCCGGTAGGGAGCGGGTTTGGGGGAGCCCCCTAGGGGCTGGGTGGCCCCGCAGCCCCACAGGGACCGGCCGTGGGGTTTCAGGATGGGGGGTTGGAGGCGCTGCTGCCCCATAGGGACTGGTTCTGGGGGTCTCCATAGGGACCGGCTCTGAGGGGCCCTGCAGCCCCATAGGGATCAGGCTCAGGGCATCCCCACAGCCCTGTAAGGGAATGGGTTTGGGGGTCTGTGTAGCCCCGGGCTCTGGGGTCTCCATAATCCTGTAGGGATTTTGGATGTCTCTGCAGCTGCATAGGACCAGGCTGTGGGGGGCCCCCATAGGAACCAGCCTCGTGGTCCCCACAGCCCCAGAGGGACTGAGTCTGAGGTTCCCCATAGTGACTGGGCTTTGGGATCCCTGCAGCCCCACTGGGATCAGGGGCTGGGGGTCCCATAGGAACCTGTCTCGGAATCCCCAGAGCCCCTTAGGGACTTGGCTCAGGGGTTCCCTGCAGCCCCATATAGACCAGACTTTGGGGGTCCCTGCAGCCCCACAGGGACCAGGCTCTGGGCATCTCCATAGGAATCATCTGCAGGGTCCCCAGAGTCCCATAGGGACTGGGTGTGAGGGTCCCCATGAGGACAAGGTTTGAGGGTCCCTGCAGCCCCATAGGGACCCAGCTCTGGGGGACCCATAGGGACTGGGCTCAGGGGTCCCTGCAGCCTCATAGGGACTGGCTTTGGGGGTCCCTATAGGAACCAGACTATGGGATCCCTGAAACCCCATAGGGACTGGATTTGGGGGTCCCTATAGGGACCAGGCTCTGGGGTCCCCTTACCCCCAGCAGACCAGCCCTCACCAATCCCCGTACCCCCGTCCCATCATCACCCCGTGTCCCTGTGGGCGTGGTGATGGGGTGGGGACCGTCCCCTGCGTCCCCGCAGCACGGCTTCCCCCATTGCAGGCACCGCCGGGGCCGAGATGGAGCCACACGCCTGAGCCAGGCGGGGACAAGCCATGGAGACGGTCGTCATCGTGGCCATCGGGGTGCTGGCCACCATCTTCCTGGCGTCCTTCGTGGCGCTGGTGGTGGTGTGCCGGCAGCGCTACTGCCACCCCAAAGACCTGCTGCACCCCTATGACACCAAGTGAGTGCACCCGCTGCCGCGACGCGTGGCTCTGTCCCCGTCCCCTGGTCTGTCTCCTCCGGGTGCTGTGGGTCCGGGAGGGACGCATCCTGTGGGGTTGGGGACAACGCTGGGGACACGTGGTGCACTGCGACAATGGGGTGGGAAAAGCCTTGGGGAACCCCAGGAGGGGCAGAGAGGTGGCACTGTCCCGAGTCACCCGCATCTCCACCAGGCCCATCGTGGACCTCATCGGGGCGATGGAGACGCAGTCGGAGCCCTCGGAGCTGGAGCTGGACGACGTGGTCATCACCAACCCACACATCGAGGCCATCCTGGAGAACGAGGACTGGATCGAGGACGCCTCGTAAGCCCCACGCCACTGGTCCCCAAACCACCAGTGCCGAGCAGAGCTCTGGGTGTCCCCAGACCCCACAGGAGGGGATGGTCCCCAGGCATCTCCCTGTGTGGGGACATCCCCACGGGTCTGGATGCGGCCATGGTGGGGTTGGTGGCTCGTGTGCTGGGTGGGTGACGGGGACACGGGGCTGAGGACAGGGTCTGCCCAGAGTCACGTCTCCTCCTGTCCACAGGGGCCTGGTCTCGCACTGCATCGCCATCCTGAAGGTGAGTTTGGGCGGTGGCGCCTGGTGTCCCTGATGTGCCCGCGGTCCCCAGGGTGCCGAGCAGCCACCCTGCCACCTCCCTGACCCCACAGATCTGCCACACGCTGACGGAGAAGCTGGTGGCCATGACCATGGGCTCGGGTGCCCGCGTCAAGTCGCCCTCCAGCCTGGGCGACATCATCGTGGTGGCCAAACGCATCAGCCCCAGGTGAGGGGGGCCAGGGGGGTGCGGAGGCAGGGCCCCCCCGGCGTCCCCGCGGTGCTGACCCTGTCCCCACGGTGCCTGCAGGGTGGACGACGTGGTGAGATCCATGTACCCGCCGCTGGACCCCAAGCTGCTGGATGCCAGGTGACACGGGCGGGTGGGAGAGGGACACGGGGGGGGGGGGACGTGCGAGGGTGGGGACGAAGCCACCCCGCAGGCGTCCCCCTCGGGGCCGCCCTGACACGGCCGTGCCCCCGCAGGGCCGCGGCGCTGCTGCTGTCTGTCAGCCACCTGGTGCTGGTGACGCGCAGCGCCTGCCACCAGCCCGGTGCCCGCGACTGGGTGGACCGCTCGCTGGCGGCCGCGGAGGAGCACATGGCCGCGCTGCGCCAGGCCGCCATGGCCACCGAGCCCCCCCCGGCCCCCGACCCCTTCCGGCAGGAGCAGTCGGCCATCTGAGCCCGCGGCGCCAATAAACCCCGTGACACCGCGACACCGTGACACTGTGACACCGTGACACCGCCGCTGCCTGTGCCTGGGCCGCCTGTCCCCGTGGGGGGGCCCCGGTTGCTGTGTCCTGTGTCCGTGCCTCCCCCCCACACACACTGCTCCCACTTCTGCTTTCGGGTGGCTGTGGGGGGGGGTGGGGGGGGTGGGGGGGGGCTGCTGCTTCCTCACACACACACGGCCTGGGGGGGGTGGGGGGGGGGGCTGCAGGAACCCTCCTGACCCCAACCAGGACTTGGGGGGCTCTGCTGGACCCCCCCCAGCTGTAAGGCCCCGCGGGACGCCCCCACAGCCCCAAACAGCTCCAGGTGGGGGCCCCGCGGGGACCCCCCGAACCCCAGGCCTGGGGGGGGCTCTGCTGAGACCCCCCCCCAGCCAGCTCCATGGGGGGACCCTGCAGGACCCCCCCCCAGCCAATTCTGAGGGCGGCCCCCCCGAGCCCCGGGGGTCCCTGCAGGGGTCTCTGCGCCCCCCAGGCCGGGTCCCGGGGGGGGGGGGTTCGGGGGCTCCCTGCCCCCCCCCGGCCTCCTCGCACTGCCCCGGGGGGCAGGGGGCGGTCACGTGGCCCGGCGCCACGTGATGGGGAGGGGCGGGGTTGAGGCCCGGGGGCCGTTGTCCCCGCCCCCTTAGCGGCGGCAGCCAATGGGAGGAGGGAGGGCAGCGCGGTGGGCCAATGGGGGAGGAGGGGGCGGGGCTGGCGGCCGGCCGGGCAGGGGGACGGTGAGCGTCGGGAGCGAGCACGGGCACGGGCACGAGCACGGTACGGGGCGGGGGGCGCGCAGGGGTCGGGGGGGACGGGGGGGGCTCGGGGCACTGGGGGGCACTGGGAGGGACTGGGGGGCACTGGGAGGGACTGGGGGGGGTTGAGGGGGGTTGAGGGAACTGGGAGGCAATGCGGGAACTGGGAGCACTGGGAGGCACTGGGAGGAAGTGGGAGGCGCTGGGGAGAACTGGAGAGACTGGAGAGCACTGGGAGGTGATGGGGGGACTGGGGAAACTGGGGGGGACTGGGGGAACTGGGAGGCACTGGGGGGCACTGGGACTGCTGGGAGGTGCTGGGAGGCACTGGGGGAACTGGGAGGTGCTGGGACAACTGGGAGGTGCTGGGGGGCACTGGGGGAACTGGAAGAATGAGGGAACTGGGAGGTACTGGTGGGAAGTGAGATGCAATGGGGAGAACTGGGAGGCACTGCAAGGACCTGGGGGAACTGGAGGGTACTGGGAGGCACTGGGGGACCCCGGGGAACTGGGGGGCTCTGGGAGGGTTGTCCCAGCCCTGACACGGGGGGGGGCCGTGCTGTGACCCAGGGGTCCCCCCACACACCCCAAAGGGAGGGGGCAGCGCCGGGACCTCCCCGCTCCCCTCCTCCCACCCGCACCTCGGTTCCCGACAGGGAGGGGAAGTGAAAGTGGAGGGGGGGGGGGGGGGGGGAGGAGGAAGGGGGGGCTGGGACCGGGGGGGGGGGGGGATCAGAGCACCCATGGGTGCCCCCACGAGGTGCTGCCCCCCCCCACACCCCACGTGCACTTTCCCCCGCCGCAGTGAGATGCTATCGGGGCGCTGCGGCCGGCGGGCGGCGTGTGGGACACCGCAGGGCTCCCCCCAGTTCCTGTCACCCCCAGATGGCGCGGGGGGAGGGTGTTGGCCCTTAGGGTCCCCCCCGGGCCCTTAGGGTCCCCCTTGGCACGCAGCCCCCTGCCCCCTGGACTTTGTGCTGTGGTTTATCGGGAGCGGCAGCAGCCGTGGGGCAGGGTGCTGGGGAGGCTGCTGTAAGGGGGGGGGGGGCAGGGGTTTTCCACCACCCCCACAAAAAAGAAAGGGGAAGCGAGAGGCGGGGGTGGGGGGCAGAGCCCAGCCCTGCGCTGTGAGGGGGGAAACTGAGGCACGGGCGCGCGGTGGGGGCGCTGCCGCCCGCAGGTGTCCCCTGCGCCATGAGGACAACGGTGACGCTGCGCCTGGCCCTGGCCCTGGCCCTGGCCGGGGTCGCTGCTGTGTCCGCGCTGCGGTGTCCCGACGGGACGTCCGAGTGTCCCAGCAATGCCACCTGCTGCGTGACGCCCGACGGCTCCTGGGGGTGCTGCCCCATGCCTCAGGTACGGAGCCGGGCACGGGGGGGGCACCGGCCCGCAGCAGCCACCGTGGTGACCGGGTCTGGCGCCCGCAGGCATCGTGCTGCGAGGACAAGGTGCACTGCTGTCCCCATGGCACCACCTGTGACCTGGCCCACGGGCGCTGCATCTCGCCCCACGGTGACATCCCCTTGAGCACAAAGTTCCCCGCCTGGAAGAGCCAGTGGCGGGCACCGGGTATGGCACGTCCCTGTCCCCATACATCCAATGTCCCCGCAGCGGGTATGGCACATCTCTGTCCCCGTATATCTCCATATGTTCCAACACTGGGTATGGCACATCCCTGTCCCCATATGTCCAATGTCCCAGCACTGGGTATGGCATGTCCCTGTCCCCATATGTCCCAGCTCTGGGTATGGCACATTTCTGTTCTCAGTGCCCCAGAGCTGTCCCCAAGCCATCGTGGCGCACCATGGCCCCAGGTGCACCGTCATCCCAGAGGGCGGGGGCCCCTCACCTTCTGTCCCCCGTGACCTGTGGGGACACGGAGCTGGGGGGGTGGCTCACGGTGACACCGTGTCCCCCAGCAGCCCCGCTGCGCCAGGTGACGTGCCCCGATGGCCGCTCGGCGTGCCCGGACGGTGCCACCTGCTGCCAGCTGCCCTCGGCGCAGTACGGCTGCTGTCCCCTGCAGAACGTGAGTGTGTCCCCATGTCCCCACACAGCACCCCGGGGTGGTGGCGGGCTGTCACCCGCGGTGTTGTCACCCACAGCTGTCCCCCCCCGTAGGCCGTGTGCTGCAGTGACGGGCAGCACTGCTGTCCCCAAGGCACCACCTGCGACCTAGAGCGCTCCATGTGCACCTCGGTGCAGGACCCGGCGTGGCCGCCGGCACGCGGTAAGGTTGGGGTGGGGCTGGGACCCCCCCGGTGCCATCCTGGGGGCGCAGGGGACGCTGGCTGTCACCATCCGTTTGTCCCCAGTTGGTGATGTGAAGTGTGACGACGAGATGAGCTGTCCCGACGGGAACACGTGCTGCAGGCTGAGCTCGGGCGCATGGGGGTGCTGCCCCTTGGAGGAGGTGGGGGGCACGGGGGGGACACGCAAAGGTCCCCAGGGGAGGGATGGGCAGGACGCATCCCCCAGGGATGTTTCCAGGGAACCGTGTCCCCTCCCAGGTGTTCCCCATGCCCCAGGAGGGCTGGGGGCAGGTGTCCCCGTGCCCTGGGTGGGGTGAGCGTGGGTGTCCCCTGTCCCCCAGTGTCCCCTGTCACCCACTGCTCACTGGGACAAACTGGGGGCTCCAGTGACAGGAGGGGACACCTCACGTGTCCCCAGGTGCCCCTGTGGGGTCACGCTGAGTGCCACCCATGTCCCCCCAGGCCGTGTGCTGCCCCGACCACGTGCACTGCTGCCCCCAGGGCTACACCTGCGACCCCCAGGGGGGCACCTGCCTGCAGGGGGGGGTCCGCCTGCCCTGGCTGAGCAAGACCCCGGCACGGGGCCGGGCAGGGGACGTGAAGTGTGACGACGAGACGAGCTGTCCCGATGGGAACACGTGCTGCCGGCTGAGCTCGGGTGCCTGGGGGTGCTGCCCCTTGGAGCAGGTGGGGGGCACGGGGCAGGGGGTAACGGGGGGCAGCAGGGGGATGGGACCAGGCTGTGGTCCCCAGTGGGGTGAGAGTGGGGGTGTCCCCCCTTGTGCTCAGCACTGGGGGGGGCTTGGGGAAGCACCCAGGGGTGTCCCTGTGGGCAGGAGCGATCCCATGGGTGGGCGGGGGGCTTGGGGATGTGGGGGTGTGTGTAGGGGCGAGAGGTGGGGATGGTGTCCACTGGGCCTGGGGAGGGCTGGGGGCAGATGTTCCCTGTCCCCTGATGGGATAAGGGCAGGTGTCCCCATGTCCCGGGTGGGATGAGGGTGGGTGTCCCCTGTGCCCAGTGTGATGGGGCCGTGTCCCCTGTCCCCTGCTGCTCACTGGGACAAGCTGGGGGCTCCGGTGGCAGGAAGGCACAAAGAGCTGCGAGGCCACCAGGATGCTCTGGGACACCCCACGTCCCCCCCACCCCACACAGGTGACATCTTAGGGGACAGCCAGGTGCCCCTGTGGGGTCACACTGAGTGCCACCTGTGTCCCCCCAGGCCGTGTGCTGCCCCGACCACGTGCACTGCTGCCCCCAGGGCTACACCTGCGACCCCCAGGGGGGCACCTGCCTGAAGGGGGGGGTCCGCCTGCCCTGGCTGAGCAAGACCCCGGCACGGGGCCAGGGGGGGGACGTGAAGTGCGATGACCAGATGAGCTGTCCCGACGGGAACACGTGCTGCCAGCTGAGCTCGGGTGCCTGGGGGTGCTGCCCCTTGGAGCAGGTGGGGGGCACGGGGAGTGGCGAGTAAAGGGGCAGGGGGGTGGTCCGGGTGGCATCTGGGGGGGCTTTGGGGCAGAGTGGCACTGTGCGATGTGGCTCTTTGGGGACAGTTAGGGGACATGGCGCAGCCTCCATCACTGCCACCCCCTCCCCGTATGTCCCCTCCCATGCTGGAGGGCCATGGCAGGTGGCCCCTGTGCCCCCTCTTTGGGCACAATGGGGATGGGGTGTGGGTCTCTGGGGGGGGGGAGGCTGCACGCCCTGAGCAGCCCCCCCAGCAGCACCCCACGTCCAGGATGTGACACCCACGCAAGATGGAGGGGACATCACGGGGGTGCCCTGTGTCCTGTCCCCCCCCCAGCTCCATCTGCACCCTGGCTATGGAGATGTGCCAATTTGGTGGGGGGGGCTTCCCATACACGTCCCCCCTCCCCACCCCCCATAACCAACCACTTCAGTGTGGGCAGTGTGGCACTGGGCTGGGGGGGGACACGGGTGCTGGGGGGGGGGTGCAGGATGTCACCAAGCCGTTGTGTGCCCATCCGTCCCCCCCCCAAGGC